GAGGAGGATCACTGAGACTGGACTCCTGCTGGGACTCTGAGGAGCACAGGGACTGGCCTCCTGCTGGGACTCTGAGGAGCACAGGGACTAGCCTCCTGCTGGGACTCTGAGGAGGATCACTGAGACTGGACTCCTGCTGGGACTCTGAGGAGCACAGGGACTGGCCTCCTGCTGGGACTCTGAGGAGCACAGGGACTGGCCTCCTGCTGGGACTCTGAGGAGCACAGGGACTGGCCTCCTGCTGGGACTCTGAGGAGCACAGGGACTGGCCTCCTGCTGGGACTCTGGGGAGCACAGGGACTGGCCTCCTGCTGGTGCCAGGAGTCAGAACTAAACATGATTTATGCAGCTATAATCTCTAACAGTCTTCCTGAAGATGTGAGACAGGCTTCTTCTCTGAGAATGTTTTAATCCAGGTTTAAAACAGTTCTGTTTAGCTGTGCACACAACTGACGGATTTTATCTTCACTCTTTTTTCACAGTGATTATTTATGATTTTAACGCCTTGTCTGAGTGTCTCTATCTTGTTTTGTGCAGCAATTTGAGTTGCTGTGTGTATGAACAAATAAACCCGCCTTGCCTATCTTGAAATTATGTTGGGCAATCTACTCCCAATGCCCATACTTTTGTCCCTGGCTCATGTTCTTTCTCTTCAGTCACTTGTAATGTCATAATTAGTATCATTCAATTTTAAGGCACGATTTCACACGTCGATAATTTAGACCGAGAATTTTTTTGATCATGACATTTCTGGCACCACCCTAATGAAATAATCATCACCTTCACCGTCAAGCAGATCAAAAAGGTGGGTTGGCGCAGCAGACCGTGTTGACCTGGGACAACAGTGGGAAAGGTTGGCGTGTTGTTTGAACTCATATCGCTTCTTTACCATGGGAAAGACAGGAAGATGTCAAAATAAAGAAAGAGATATTTTTAACTGTAAAATTAAGTCTCCTATAGTTGCAGTACAGTACTCGCAGAACCCCATGGAATCCCAGACTACGGCAAATTTCAGTATATATTTTTTTTTAGGACAACTTTATAAAGTAAGTAAGTTGGGTTTTCTTTTATAGTGCCTTTCACAAAGCTCTTTACAACAGATGTGGGTAATTTTTCGCGCTCCACGTGGAAGTGGGGACACCATGCAGGAGGCTCATGCAGGACCTATAGTACCTTCTTGGTGGTAGGGGAAACCGGAGCACCTGGAGAAAACCTGTGTCTGCGTAGGTTTCATCCAGGTGCTCCGGGGAGAACATGCACACTTCACACAGAAAAGCCCTGGAGGTGTATTTCAACCCAGGACCTTCTTGCTGTGAACCCCAAATGCCAATGCGCCACCTTTCTCAAAGAAATAGCAACACATGCAAATGCTATGATATGAAATAGATTTGGTTTGGAGAATTCGCTCTGACTGAACACGACTCAACAAAATGGTTGCTAAGCATTGTAAGGAAGAAATGAACATTGAAAATTACTTTGTCTGACCTTGGTCTGAAAAAGCGCTACATAAATAACGGTGTGGAAATGAGCCTATGTACTCGTTATCTGGCCTCTGTATAAAAACAGGCTTGAAGAAATAATTGCACAAGAAGGAACTGGAGAAACTAAGATATAGCGTGTTTTTGAAGAGAATCCATGAAGCTTGATAATGGATCTACAGACAGTCGCTACTGGTGCCTCCAATTGACAATGTATCTCACAGCAGTGTAAATCCATACATTCCAAACATATTTAAAGCAGTAGTTTCCATGGATCAGCCGTTAACTCTTGGGTGACTAATCCTATTGTCTCTTCAGTTTTTCAAGTGGACAATAGCCTTACTTACAGCATTTCATTTACAATAACTGTTTCAGCGACAGGCAACTTAAAGGTTTATAGAAGGATTTTCTTCTTCCGGTGTAACGCCGAGATACACTGTCTTGAAGAGATGCACTGCTTCAGCTGTTTATGATGTAATGCAAACCTGCGCATGCGCGTCTCACGGCAGCCGAAGCAAACCAAGATGGCGGACCGTGAATTGCTTTAAAAGTTGAAATACGAACGAATTAAGACACGAATGTCACTTTTAATGCAATTTGAGGCGAGATGTTGATGGTCCCGTTTTGTCACATGTGGGTTTTAAGAGTCAAAGTTTCGTGCAAAGTTTAGTTTAAGCAGTCAACTGCGCCTGTGAAACCACAAAGCTAATGTTTTCATAGCAGTCCGCGGCTGCTGACGTAGGCTGATGACTCGTCCTGTGGCCACTCTACACTCTTACACTGGTCTGTCGGGTTGATAATGGAAAATGGGGAAAAAAATCAATCTAATTAAATATTTTGTTTGAACACTACAGTACGATACATGTATTGAATGAAATTTATTATTTCCATTATCAACCCGACAGACCAGTGTAAGAGTGTAGAGTTGCCACAGGACGCGTCATCAGCCTACGTCAGCAGCCGCGGACTGCTATGAAAACATTAGCTTTGTGGTTTCACAGAGGCAGTTGACTGCTTAAACTAAACTTAGCACAAAACTTTGACTCTTAAAACCCACATGTGACAAAACAGAACCATCAACATCTCGCCTCAAATTGCATTAAAAGTGACATTCGTGTCTTAATTCGTTCGTATTTCAACTTTTAAAGCAATTCACGGTCCGCCATCTTGGTATGCTTCGGCTGCCGTGAGACGCGCATGCGCAGGTTTGCATTACATGATAAACAGCTGAGGCAGTGCATCTCTTCAAGGCAGTGTATCTTGGCGTTACACCGGATCATCGAGACTGTTGGTTCTCCCAATTGTCAATCATTCTGGTGATACAAATCATTGGCGTTTCAGCCTGAAGGTTGTGGGTTTGAGCCCACCACAAGACCTACTTCATGACTCCCACTGATGACTGCTGTTGTTGTGTCCTTGGGCAAGACACTTAACCCCACTTTGCCCGAAGCCCCCGCTGAAAGATTAAGGCTCCTGTGGACTCAGCACCTGCAGGAGGATCAGTGAGGGGCTGGTGCTCTGTGACTGGGTGCAGCTCTGACTGACACCCTCCCGACCCAGAAATGGATTAAGGGGAAGAAAATGGATGGATGGATCTGGTGATACTTTTATTTAATTTTTTTGATCGGGACAACACACATTAATGAACAATCATATACAAGTTGGACACAATTTGTAAATGTGCCAGATTGTAGCAAAACTGCTAATTTACATCCATAGTCCCAAAAACATATGTGCTCATCAAACTTTTGGAAATAAGAATTTTGGAAAATCCTCCTTTAAAACCTATAAACCATCCCGAAAAGGGTCAACAACATATGATCGGCATAAACACATAATCAGTCGCTTTATCACACATTTGTCCATGATCTAAATGAATGTTCCCAGCTTTAGATAAATACATATTTTGTTTTCTTCTCGCTGTGAGAACTAATGCAGACCTGTAAACCCAAACCCATTAGAAGCAAATGCTCCCTTGTGAAACAGCTCGTTGGTCATTACTGCAGTCTTTTAAAAGCAAGGAGCAGCAAATCAAATCATTTCATTAGTTTTTACACATCCCTGCAAATCAATAAAGAATACAACCTGGAATCTTTGAGAAACGTCGCTCTCTCCAAAAGTAGATTAATATTACGGTTTAATTACAAGTCGGCACAGGAAGGGTAAGCCACTTTTAAGCATGCAATACAAGACTTTGCTTGGATTAGCGTAGCGGATCAGTTCCCACCAAAAACAGAGAGAGCTATCCTATTTCATCGTTCTTTCATATAGTTTTTTGGGTTTGCTTCTGCAGTTTTTCCAGGCTAATTACGCCTGGCAGACACTTGCCTCATTCCCCAAAACTACACCGGACAGCTGTTGGACATGCAAGGTGCAAAAAGCCCCGAGTTCCTTGGCACTATCCCAGATGTTCTTGGACTGTGGCTGGTTTAGTTAAATGCCCTGCCTCAATGCACAAATTCAGCCATCTGATAGCAATCTAGGCCAGGAGTACAAAGACACCACACTCATGCCCCAGCACGCCAGTCGCACTGTGCAACCAATGCATTTGAGAGAGAGGCTGTGTTTAGCCCGTACAAAAAAAAAAAGTCCACACCTGCAATCATTTCTGTGCCAGCCATATGCACCATGCAATCTCAGCGTCCATTCTCAACTCCTCCAACCTCCTCCAACGCGTATATAGTCTCGTTCTTTCAAATAACAGGAAATTGATCACTGCTGGATCGTCTCGGGGACTGGGCTGCACACTCAACCTAAAACTGCGCTATATATACGAGGCCTGGTGGTATTTTTAGCCGGGAATTGAGTAAGACTGAGCATCCCCAAAACGCAAATGGAAAGCATCCAGGCGCGGGCTGCTGCTGTGTGACACCGAGGTGATTGCATTTGCATCCGTTTGCGACTGTGAAGGAATGCAAGGCGCAGGGAGAGAAAGTGCTGCTCTCTTTCTGGTTTCTGGTAAGGGACGTTTGCTTGGAAAGAGGGGTAAAAAAGACATGTCAATCAAAGCAACCCGGATAAGACCAACACGCATATACCAAACAGATGCATGCAAAACCCACGGAGGCGACAGGGCAAGGCTTTTCCATACAAACACGGGTCTTTAATTCAACATGGCAGCAGCATCAGAATGGAAAATGCACGGTCCGTGGGAACCAAGGAGAGTGGACATTGGGGCGCACAGTGGCCGCGCAACTCCTCGCGTGGTTCCCGGGGTGAAAGATCTGAAAGGACCCGCTGGTTAGACTGACACCGGATGGATTGGGTGCCCAGCAAACAAGATAGTTGCACACTTTTCACATCATCTTGAAATTAAAGCAAATATATGTAACATTGGACAGCGGTGTGCACGATCAAAGGACAGAACAGAGATTATAGGGTAAAATGTGTAATAAGGACATCATAACAAAAGCTGATGAGAAAAGGGGAAGGGGTTCTTTGGTGCTGGGGGGTCGGAGAGGAGCGTGTGTGTCCGTAAATGTGGAGAAATGGTCTGTGCAATAGTGACATGATGTCGAACAAATGAAATATGTGTTTTCAGTGGCTCGCCTCGCCGCCTCTCTCCGCTCGCCCAGAAAACCCACCGCCAAGTGTGGTTTGCGTGCGCGAACAGGTTTACTGCATTACGAGTCACACAATTACCATCACCGTTATTTATCACCTCCATAAACAACCCCCGGCCAATACACTCACTTCCGAAGCTGTTCCCGCATCGCCGGTACTTCCCCTGCGCTCTCACACTCCAGCAAAATTAAAAAATTAAAATAAAAAATAAAAAGACGCGATCCGCTGGTGCGATAAGCGACGCAAGCTCCCCGAAGGTCCGAGCTCAGTCCTCGTCCCGCGGTGGGAGACGGGGTTCGGATGGCGGGGTTGGGGGGAAGAGCGTGAGCGAGCCCCGGTGTGGACAGAGCTGTGATCCGCTGGGCGAGAGCGGCACAGTGGGCTGCAGGCTGCGGGGAGGCGAGCTCAGAGCCGCGCACGTCAAGCAGGAGCGCAGGAGCGAGACATCCGGTCGGGTTTTCACAATAAGACACAAACCCGAATCACCCGAGCACGTGCGCTGACTTGCAAGCCCACTTCGGGCCGGTGGGGGTGGACACAGAAAGAGAACTACCCAATGTTTTTTATGGCGTCTTCTTTCCTTTAGATAACGGCTTTACAGGATGGTCCAAAAGTCGCTCTTGGCCCAATGGTACGTCTTTCGATGTGTGACGTAACAATTGAAGACGATGACAAAGTCTGGGATCGTGTATTTAATTCAGACAGAAGACATGTTTTATTGTTGATGGTAGACAGCATGAACACAAGCACAAACAAAGAATGTTACAAACTGCAAGTGATAATATAGCATGGAGGAATGAACACCGTCCAATCAGCTTTCGCCGCAATGTCAGCAGCTTGGCCTTCAGATGGACAAAACACGCTGTGGAAAAGTACTGGCTTCAGGTCTTGTGCATATGAAGAATGAAGAGTTAGAACTTTAACCATAGTTGCTTCAAAGTGTCATGAAAAATCCAAACAATGACTAAATAAAACCATGTTCTGACTTTGATCTGTCTGATGGGGCATTCAGACCGCCAACGCTGAAATGCGGAAGCCCCGCTCACCAGACGCGCATTCTCTAGTTTTCAGACGCAGAGGACTTCACACCAGAACGTCCTGACGCGAGCCGGAAGTACCGGAAGTAGCCGGCCGGCTCTGATGCTAACAAAGCTATGCTGACGGCTTCTTGTGTACAGATGTTCTCCAATATGCAGCTTTGCAGCGTGTCTTTGCTCACAGACATTCCACGGGCTTCATATAACAGTAGTATGTGTTCACGGAGGTGCGCCATACGTTTTTTCATATTATTAAACGGAATTTCCGCATTGGCGAACACACTCGAAGCAGTTGCATAAGGTCACGGGAGCATGACAATGCATATTTTCACAAGCACAGAGTCCCCCATTGTCAACCCTGGTTTGAGTTCTGGTGAAGCCTGGTGTGGGTCCTGTTTTGGCTGTTTACGAGTATTTTCAGTCTGCTCGCTCAGTCCGCTAATGTCCCCGTGACCACTTTGCTGCTCTCTGATTGGTTGTCGCACGAACGTCCCAAGGAAAGGATGAGCAGAATCCATCTCCTGTGGGCGTTGATTTTTCGCTACTGCTCCTCCCTTTTCACTTTCCCGCCAAGTCCGTGTGTCATTATTGAACAGTCCGTTCGTGCAAACCGAGAGGTCCGTGCGTTGTGACGGTCGAACGCGCGCCACCAGAGACTTTGCATTGAAACCCGACGCAACGCATGATCCGGTCTGAAAGCACCATGAGAAGATTGAAACAACTGAAACACCTGGAACCTGAGAGAAGCTTAATAAAACTTCCAGCGGCTCTGGTGCACCATGATCCCGTCTCTGTGTTCTAGATGCGTGTCGATGCTGAGAGGAGTATATTTTGTTGTTACATGAATGGGGCTGGTGCCGGCTACCAAATGCACAAATGCTTTTTTTCCCACATTTTCAGTACTTGTATATAGTAGTAATTGTAATAAATTCTATATATATGAAATTCATTATCAATAACCTCAATTTCCCTCTATCGGCCTACAAATGGGACCGGTGTGGCTGCAGGTTTTCATTTCAACCAAGCAGGAGCATACTAGAGTCCAACCATTTCCTCAAGTCTTCAGGGGATCACTGGAATCGCTTGAGGGAATGGGTGGAGTCTGGTGTGTTCTTGGACTACAACAACAATCATCATTTTGTTTCATTCCTCGCTCTCACAACAGTTTGGTTCTATTTCTAGTTTTCACGTCATGTGTTTTTACATCTTTACAACAGTTGTTACAGACAGAAACATGACAGAGAGGACCACCCTCACACCACCAATCAGCTCTCCTCCCAAAGCGTCTCGAATACGCAATAGATTTGCACTTTTGCAGGAGAATTTAGTCAGCTGAAGCACATTCCCCTATCTTCCTAACTTTATGAATTTATCTGTAACTAATAACTATATGTAGTTTATCCATCCATCTTCTTCCCCTTAATCAATTTCTGGTCTTGTGGTAGGCTCGAACCCACGACCTTCAGGCCCAAAGATGTGAATATGTGTGATGCTGTGAGTGAGCTGTGATTACGGCAAACAGATTTTAGGCTGAATGTGTGTGTGTGTGTGTGTGACTCTGTATCAGAGAGAGTGTATCCATGTATTTTATTATTGTAACCAGGGGCTGCAGATGGAAACTAGCTGTTTAGCTGTAATCTGGTGCAGAACATATCTGTCTTTGGGCTTAATGTCTTAAAAGTTACTCACTGTTTGAGACTTATTTTTATTTTTTAGAATTACATTGATTTGAATGGGAGCCGTATGAGAGCCTGCACTGGCAGTACTGGTAGTTTCAGAATTCTGGGAGTCCTTGTGCATAGTCAACGACAACTTGTGGTCTGATGAGTTCACGAAACGTTGACGCTTTTATTGTGAAAGGAGAGAGCGGTGGGTTTCCTTCTAACTTTGGTGTGCACGTACAAAACTTCACACGTATGGTTCTCACCGAGGCGGAGCCGAGTGCGTCCTGCCTCAGCCTCCCTTCCCCCCATCCCGCTGTGTGTGAGTGTGTGGGTCCGTGTGTGCCCATGTGTGTATGTTTATGTGTGTATGTATGTGTGTGTGTTTGTATGTCTATATGAAAGCGCGCAGCCAACACCATCCACTGAGCTTTTTCACCTCCCTGACAAGAGCGAGACAGAGCCGAGGGGAGCGAGGGGGCCTTGGCTTCCACATCCAAGGCCCTCTCTGGAGCCTGGGATAAACTCAGGGCACAGTGGAAGACTAAACAGCCAAGTATGAAACCGCTACAGTCTCGCTTGGTTTTACGCACAGGAGGAAGAGGGAAGGTGGGGGTCTCTTTACTTTGGGAATTAATGTTCAAGGCAGGAAATGTAGTCTGCGTTGCACCAGCCAAGACGAAACAGCCTGTAATTTATAGACAAGTCTGATCATTTTGATTTCCCCAGCACCTGCGTGTAGGATGGTTGCGTGCCGTGCGTAACCTCGTCTGACACACTGCTCCAACTGAGATGGAAGATTATTACACAAGCTGATGTCCTTCTTTAATAGTGTGTAATCCAGACACGGGGAAAGCAAGTCTAAACTCTATATTTACCCCCTTCCAATCCTTCCCGCCAATCATTGTGAACAAGAGAAAGTTTTTGAGGCTGGAAGTGGAAGTTTTCTCAGTGTGCGCGCTCCCGTGGGATGGTGCGCGCACGTCGTGTTGGACCTCGTTAATAGCCTCGCACTGCTCGCTGTGAGGAAAAAGTCCCTGCAGGTCTCATCACTTTGCTGCACTATTTTAAAGCCCAGTCTGCATACACACAAGTAGCAGTAGTATAATATAGAGGGATATGGGCAAACGTGTATGTGTTTTTGCTGCCTATATTCTTGTCTATCATAACAAAACATACAACGGACATTTTTGTATCGTATTTAAAGGTGAACCATGTGAAATTGAAGTAAGCAGATAGAGGTTTCACAGTACAAGAGCCTTATTGTTAGTTTTGTTTTGTCTCCCCATGAAGCAAAGCCTATTTGCCCCAGTCCATACAGTATACCCTACATAGTTCTTGATATTTTAAAGAGACCATTGACATTTACTGTGTTTGACAATCGGGTCATTGATTGCAGTTATGAGAAACTCTGAAACTGGTGACACGTTTATATAGAGCAGGGGGACTCCAACCCGGCTCAAGAGCTACCAGTGGAATTCAAGAAAGTAGCATTAGTAGCATGGTTGCGTATCTATCTTAACTATCAATCTTTTCAATATTGTAGGAATACTGTGATGTGTATATAATGGTGTATTCTGCATGTGTGTTCACCGTGACTTTCTATAGGTGTTATATAGACTACAATTGTATTACGACTGCCAAAGGAACTAGCTCTCTGCCAATAGCTGTTTTATAAAAGTAGCTCTCTAATGGAAAAAGATGGACGTCCCTGATATAGAGTCAAAGTGAATAATTACGAAGTGAGGAATGGATATATATGGACATTAATCAACATTTTTGGGCAAATTCAAATTTTTTGTAATGTCATTTGAGAAAACTATTGCTGTGATTTAGGCCAATATAAGAATACATTGAATTGAATGAGCGGGAAATATAAGGAACGTAGAAATTGCTGCAAAAAATGAAATCATTATTTTTTCTGGTTTATTTTTAGGATGCACCACACCTAAAACCCAAATTGATTGTGCGACTATTGCCCGCATGGACGACAGTGGACATCTTTCTCTCTCTCACTCACTCTCTGTCTGTCTGCGATGTTGGCAAAGCCTGCTGTTTTGATAGAAATGAGAGCATTGATTGAGACTTACAGAGTCTGGGTCATCTGCGCAGGTCCCGCTGAGTCTCTGAATGTGAACAAAACATGTGTCACCTCACTCCTCTTTTCTCTCCCACTCTTTTCATTTCCACTTGTTTTAATGTGTTAATTTCATGACAAAATATGTGCCACTAAAAACGATGCCAGAAGCCACAGGGCGCGGGGCTGGTTACATGGACGGGGCCTCGCTCAGTCGCTGGGTGTTATCTCAAACAGAACAAGCTGCTAGAGCCACTCGTTTGCCAAAGCCATTTCTCGAGCTGCGATGGGGCTGGCGGAAGTGACAGGCGCAGCGTGGGGTCAGAAACACAAATGTTAGATGATTTTGTTTTTCATTTGTATTTTACTGAATAAACTGAATACAGGAGATACTGCTGTGTATTGGAAATTGGCACCACTTATTGCGTTTTGGATTAGGATGTGAACTAACTGTTAGAATAGTGTTCAAAAGTCTATTTATTTGCAATGTGAAATCAATATAGGATATAGTAGGGTTTGGATTCTTTTTTTAAATATTGTATGTGTTTGAATGGCTCGGAATGGATTGGATTATAACAAGTTTTGTGCTACGACCAATTTCTTTTAAAACCCTTTTTTCTGTGAATAACTATGTTTGTCTGTAATTTACCCAATGTAGCTTGACACATATCAAGCCTATTTTGGTTATAAACTTCATAATTGTTTCTTACAGCTGGTAAAAACTCCAATTAAAAGGTCTCAGAAAATTAGAATATATTTATTTTTTGCAATGAACTGTGAGCCGTAAGCATCCAAATGATAAAAAACAAAAAGAGTGAATATATTTGACTTTGCAGGAAATAATATATCAAAGAACTTGCGTCTGGAAATCAGTCTCCAATATTCAGCCTTCTTAATCTGGGTTCTAGTTTTGATTCAATCGAGGAAGAACCCAAAAAGTGGATCGCCTTTTCAACTATTTTAGTATTTTTCTGATTTGTTTGCGCCATGAGCTAAAGCGAATCCCTAGTTTGTGACTTACCGTTAATTACAATAGCATTCAAAATGATTCTGAATTCTGATTTTGGGTAAAATATCAATCCAGTTATTGAGATTATCAAGAGAAAAGTATCAAAATCGGTTCAAAAATACCTTCGTAATGCCAAAGGGAACATTAGCCCCAGATGTTAAAGACGATATTTTAGCTCTGTTTTTCCCCTTTCTTATTCTTATTCCAATATGTTTCGTTTCCCAGCCCTCCAGGAGACAATAATAAGCTAGCCCTGGTTTATAATATATATTTTTTGCACATTTTGAGTTGAATTATAGCCTACATTTTTGAACGACACTATTATTTTCCGAGTTTCTCCGGTCGATGGTAGATGGAGCCAGTGTAGCTTGAACCTAGATCTATGCAGTTTTGTTGGCACTATTTTAATAACCTCCAATGGATAACTGCGCTGATGTAGCCCGTTTTACAAGAGCTTTTTGGGCGAAAGCACACCCTTGTTTATGAATTATTAAGAGATCAAACCTGGAGCGTACATGGCACCCCGGCGATGATCTTCAAAAAACACAAATTGGAGCATGCAGACTGCGACTCCGATCTGGAGCGCTTTGGCTGTGGTAACCCTGATAGTGAAGAATTGATGAGGTGAAATTGCTTTTGCCTTGATGCGAGTCTGACCCAAGCGTTTCTGCTCCGAGGAGGTACTCGATTCGAAACTGACACCCTTTTTTAACTTGCATTCATATTTAATACACACTTGTTAGCAAATGGGGGGGTGGGAGGGAGGGAGGGGTTGGTGGTATTATACAAGCAGCGATGGAAGAAAAGGCTAAGAATGAAACCGAGATATTCAAAATGTGAAGCAATGAAGCAATGTATACTGCAAAAAGTGATGGAAAAATATGTCAAAAATGGGTCAAATTTGCACATTTTGACTGCCTTGAAAAAATATTTGCCAACGGGACAAGCAAAATTAAAAATAATCAAGAAATGTCTCCTGTGGAATGACAAAAAACAGTTCTGGAAATAAGCCAAAATTCTTGAAATAATTTTGTTTTAAGTCAGAATGTCCTCAAATTAAGAAAAAACCCCATTGGATTCAAGCTACCTCATATTGTATCATTTTTTGCAGTGTATGTAATGGTGTTCTTCAGATGGTCATGAAAAAACAAAGAACGCCGGAAAGAACTGGTGAAATTAATTAGCCAAGCATTAATACTAGGTAAGCCAGCAGTTATACGCCTAATCACCAAAGAGAACTTAAAGGATTAAAGAGTTTTAGCGTCGGATATTTTAACACGAAAGCTCACCTCACAGCATGACTTCATTAAAAACACACAGAATATAGTGAGGGATGTGAAACCAAGATAAATGTGTATTGTATTTACGTGAAAATGACTAGTATATCTATCTATACCTATAGTACTAAAGGGGGCAGTATGTAATATTTCACGGTTTAACATGTATAAGAGTTTAAAGTGTAGTTATTCTTCATTTAAAATAGACACGGTATATTATTTATGTTTGTAATCAGAGCTGGTTTTGGATTTTATATATCTTTTTAACAAAGTTCACTAAATATAATCTAGCTCCACACATATTCAAATGAAACCAGTTCAACATACACAAAGCTAGTGCCGTGTCTAGCTACTGTAAACCCCAGCAGGTGGATTGCAGCAGTAATCAGTACTTGGGAGCAAAAAGTGTCACAGGCTGAAAGACTCTGGCAACAAAAGTGTGTTTGTAAAAGTCAGGCCTTTATAAGACCACGACATTTACAACTACAATTACATACAGTCCCTTTAAAGAAGCTATACCCGATTTATTTTCTAATGAGTTCATCAAAATGCGTATTACTACATAAAAGTTGTATTAAAATCCGTAATTTAATTGAAAACTTGAGCTCATTGATTCAGCTGTGTATGAATTCAGGCCGTATAAAAGTGCTGAGTAGAGACTCTAGCGTGACGCCCGCTCTCCTCCAATCACAGAACGAGCTGATTGTTGTACAGCTTACAAGAAGTTGTGCTAATGCTAATGTTTGCATATGTATCAGATCGCAAATAAAACTAGATGGCTCCGTGGGATGAGAGCGTATAGGAAATGAGAAGCCTGTGAGCGAGTTGGGGGCGGGGCTAAACATTCAACCTTTGCAGAAACGGGTACAGCTCCTTTAATCCTCTTTAATCAGTATTGTTTGATTTGCTCCAGAAGTTAAATCTTTCACTTGTTCATTTGCATTTGTTTTATCTAATACCACATTTACAAAGTTAGATTTATAAATACATGTTTGTTTTGTTATGAATTGTTTGGGATTTTTAAAATTAAACTTCTGTATCTTCTATGTTTTTGTTATGCTGTATGAAAAAATATAAGTTTGAAATTTATATATATATATTACTCACATACTATATCTGAAGCTCGTATTGTATCTAATCTCATTGTATTATTTTTAGGAGGACATTCTACCAACAAAAGTCCTGTGTATATATATATATTTTTCTTTTTTTTAACCCAAATCTGCCTGAATGTGCTGTGCATGTCTATACTTACTTGATGTAGTAGGGGACGTTATTGGGGGAGACACCTTGCTCGAATGGACTTTCCACTGAAGCTGCAGAGAAAAAAAAAAAAACACAGGTCACGGCAAATGTCCACAAACTAATAAAGCGTTGGCAAACACTTTTACAGCTTATAACATCCGACCGGAGGGCAACCAGTCACCCTCTGTCACTAAAGCGTCTGTGCAGCATTTTCAAAAAGACAACGCGTAGTCTAAAGTTTCCTCAAAGTAATATACGAGAAAATGAAAAACGGCAAAAAACATGAGAAATATTGCTAATTATCTTCACTTATTATGCCCACAAGAGCTGGCACGCCACGCTGTAAAACAAAAGGCGGTTTCTGGGGAATTGTCCGCACAGTTGGAATGTCTCGAGAACCAATCAGAACGCGGGACGGCGAGAACCCGCTGTATAAGCCTTATTGTGCCTCGCGGGTGAAATTTGCAGCACTAAAAAACAAAGCAATGCATCATGGGACAGCTGCCAGTATGCATGCTGAGCGTATTAACATAGCCATATGCAAACTCCCCGCTTTTTGGCTTTTAGTTTTATCTAAACATCACGGAGGACTACGGATTTGAGATGGCGGATATTTTCAGCTGATTGTGAAGTATCAAGATATATGTGTTTAAAGCTGGTGTGTGTAACCATTTTGTTTTGGTAATTAATACATGTTTGTTTGTCCCAACAGAAAGTAAAATGTGGGGAAATTAATCCACAATCAGATATCTTTTGCTGCGTCTTGTCCAGGACTGCCTTGAAAAAGAGGTTCTTAATCTTGGACTTTCCTGCTTAAACAAAGGCTGAATAAAGGTAAAATCTTAATAGAAAAAAAATTGTTAATATATAAAATAAAAAGCCTTGTGAATCTTGCTTTTGGTGAGGAAGCGTCACATTTTTCCTGTCTTAAAAAAGCGTGACAGACTCTAAAAATACATGATTCCATTCCATTCCATTTTCTTCCGCTTCATCCGGTGCCGGGTCGCGGGGGCAGCAGTCTAAGCAGAGACGCCCAGACTTCCCTATCAAAAATATACATGATGTGAAGTAGATAGAGCCAGACTGTTTTGATTAGTTGGTTTGAAAGTTATCTACTGCAATTTTTTTAAGAGATCTGTTGAAACATACAAAAACCACTGCTTCTAGTACCATTATAACCCCCACACTGCAAATACCACATTATGTCTGCTCGCACGGCAGCTCCCAGAGAACTTTCTTGATTCGTTTGCGTTACTATTTAAAAAACAGCCATGTGCCCAGGGCTTAAAATAACCTTTATGCAGAGAAAGAGAATGAATGGTCTGTATTCATTTGAAGGCAGAGAGGATGACCTTTCTGTCCGCCCGCCTTGACCACGTTTGATCTTTTGTTCGCCGTGTCACGTCCACCTAATCATTTACCGCGTGATTCATGGGACTATTGGCGGAGATTTTCTGAATGGAAATTTATTGAAATGCCACTCGTATAATCAAGTGATCGGCCTCCAATCTCGCTCCTGTGCCCGTGCTATGGGCTATGAGAGGTTGTATATTGCGCAAGCCGTTTCGCTAGCGTATTTGGTTAAAAAAAATACAAAATAAAACCAATGTGTTTTTTGAATCATTGCATTTCCTGTGTTGATGAGATTGTCGACGGATCGTAAAGTCCTGGCGATAACTCTTGTGATTTAGGGAAATATTTTGTATGTAATTGAATTGATTTGATTGTTCCAGTTTGTGAGACTTGTTTGTGATACTATAGCACCGAGATATTCAACTTATTTCCCCATTTTTTTTGGACTTTTGGCCGGATGATTGTGCACCAGGTCACCAATTTGAACATTTAACTGCAAATATATCAAACCACAATATCTAATTCAGTTAAAATTGTATATCATAACAGTCTTTGTCTCGAAAGACTTTACAAAGTTGTTGATTCGCCAGCACAAATCAGTGAATAAATAATAACAAACACAGCCAATGGTTTACAGGGGGCTCATGACTTTTGTCCATAAATGTCCTTAATAAGAAGAAGAAGAATGTCCTTTATTCGTCACACAATGAGGAAAATTTCAGTTTGATGCATACACACACACATATAGGCAAAGTGGGGTTAAATGTCTTGCCCAAGGACACAACGACAGCAGACATCTGTGGAGAAGGACCTTCGGGCACCAAGGCCAATGCTCTACCAACTGAGCTACTGTCGCCCCTTAAGTGTCCTGGATCGTCACCTCTGTCCTTTGACTCTCCCGCATCGGCAAGGAACTCAAAAAACCAGTGGGAAAAAAGCGAGAAACGTCGGGGAGGCCCGCATTGAGAGAGGGGTCCACTTCGACGGACAGGCTGTAGATCCAGGACTTAATTACAAACCAGTACAAATGTTGGACTGGACCATTACCAACATTGTGTAGATCAAGGGCATTTTGGACTAACCCACATTCTCACTTCAAAGTAAAAAAAGTTGCTACTGCGCTTGAAAGAAGAAATGTTTTGCTTTTTTTGATTTATTTTTGATATTTGATCACTTCTTGCAGTGATCAAAAAGTGCATCTTCTCTCACCCTGTGACATTGCTGAACCCCTACAGGACATGTATGTTTAAGGCGGCATTAGCATTAGCATTAGCATTCAGAGAGAGACAAAAAGGGATAAACATATTGATCAGGCTTAACATAGTCGTGCCTGCTTATCTGTGGCTCTTACTCAGACCTGACAGCCTCCTCATTGGCCGAGAGAAGAGAAGAGCCCTGTGAAGTCACTATTTGACGTTTTGGGTTAGGGTGATCCTCTCTTTTTCACGCTGATCCTGACATGATGTGAAAACTAGTGATAGAGGAAAGAACTAATTAGATGGATTTTATTACATATTTACATTTTTGGCGTCTGAATGTTTCTCTACTGCATATTTTTTAAGTAGTTTGTTGAAATATGCAAAACTATTGAATTGCTTCTGGAACCAGTTATTACTCACACACTGAAAATACTATACTATTACTGCGAGTACGGCTGCTACAAGCAACAATCTTGTTTCTCCTCCTTATTGGGCGAGAGGAGAGACATCCCCAAGTCTTATCGGCCGATCGTGTCAAATGTCCGCGGGCCGTGTGTGTGTGTGTGTGTGTGTGTGTGTGTGCAGAGTGGACTTACCCATGTACTCTTTGTGTGCTTCCGTCAGCTGCTGCAAGTGCTCGCTGATGGAAACCTAAATCAGATGGCAAGATTAGTTCAAAAAGGAAAAATTACTATAAATGAGTGCTTGACAGTACAGTGATGGGCATGCAGTGGTAGAACATGCAAATAACTTGAGTTTAGGGGTTAGTTTAGTTATTCCCAAAATGGATTAATAGGTTACATATATGTTTTTTAAGTTAGTTGTTATATTTGGTGCAACTTTCCCAAAAATGTGAATCGTGATCAAGACAAGCCATGGTAAGACCCGCCCATTGTGACCCGTGCCGCCTCCTGATTGGTCGAAATTAATTCAAATCTTTAAGGTCTTTCATTCATTGCTTTAATCATTCTCCTCCAGAAAATCTTACTGGCCACAGTTTTGCCAACGGAAAAACTATTTTGGATACATTATTGTTGGTCAGAAATATATATATTTTTTAAAAAGTAAAAAAAATAAAAAAATACAATGTGGCTTATATGGTCTTTAAGCCAAGAAACAAATAATACATTGTAATAACATCAACACAACACTCTAAAAATCAAGTTTACCCTCACTATTAGCTAAAACTCGGGAACATCACATGAATATTGCAAAACAATTCAGTGAAACGCTAAATGCTAACTGCTTTATTAAACAGTGTGTTGCTATGGAAACGAGCACTTTCTCTTCTCTGGTAGAAAACCGAACTGAACCAGACACTCACATAGTTCGTCCTGGGAGTTAAGGGAAGACTCTCTGAGATACTCTAAGTTAGAATGTTAAAGACAATTTAGTAGAAATTATAACATAGAAATAAACTACATATAGATACGGAGAAAGTGTCAAAGTTAGGAAAACCAAAAATGTACATGGGAAGAGTAATTACGCTTCCAAAACGTTTTTATTTTAATTAATGGACAAGAAGATTGGAGGAACCAGATGCATTGCTACTGATTTTCAACATTAGTCCATAGGGGGCTTTTACAGACACAATTACAGATACAAATACATTTCAAAGAATTACAAATATTTTCCACGTGAGAACAACTCTATTTGGATCTAAACCGCTGTTTGAGCTCTCTGCTGAAGACGGTCCATGAAAGCCGTCAGATCGAGTGTTAAATGTGTCGAATGGAACATGTAGTTTGCAGCGATATGAAACGCACGAGCACTCAAGTCCAGTTTGCAAAAGGCGTGTAAGTGGTCTGGCTCTGGATACATTCTTCTGCACAGTCGTCGTGCCCACCCACCACTGACAGAAGATCAATACATAGTAGGAGCAGAGCTAAGCTAAGACGGCAGATGGCTCCTCCAAATTGAGATTAATCACGAAATTCGCGCAGTGACAGTGAACTAAGCAGAAGGCTTTCTACATTACTATACAATAAAGACTTTTTCATAATCTAATAACAATGAAGCAAAACACAACACACTGTCAGGAAGCAATTATTCCAAAGCCACAAGAGAACTCGGCACAAATTCTTTCCTCCGGTAATAAATTGCTTTATAATGCGGCCGGGGGTGAACACACAAGAGGCTATTGGAGAAACGGTGGGATACGGGAAAGAAAACAGGGAAAACAAAAAAAAGACAAGATATGGACAGATGTGGGGGAGGAGGAGTGTGGAGGGGGAATGGGAAGGGTGGCAGAAAGACAAGTGCATCGTGGGTAATTGAATTTGTAGCGGAGGAATTAGCTCGGGACGGAATGAGCTGTCAGAAGAGATGGAGAGCAGGGTAACTGTGCCAAATCAGCACATCTTCTCAGGTACAAACACGTTCCTACACGCGCCGAAAAAATGAACTCAGATTTGCATTGAGTAACTTTTTGTTGTTGTTGATAGAATACTGTGGGAAAAAGGCAGGTGGCCAACGATACACGAGGAAAAGATGAAATTAGGGCATTTAAGGAACAAAGAATTACAACGCAAAGAATTATTGGCGTTGATTTGTGCTGTTAAAACATGGTCATGAAGTGGCTTTGATTGCGGACTGTTTTGTGCGCTAGGAATTATGGGAAAATCTCAGTTTCCAAGTCGAAAAATGGTCCATCGTCTCGATATTTCCACTGGAGCACTAAATCGTTAACTTTGACCTTCTGTGTGCATGTTGACTCGTATAGTTTACTATTTTCTCTTCACGACTGTTTTAAAAAGTGCTGTATGGTAATAAAAGTGTTATAGGGAAGCATGCAGGGTCCAAGGACAGTGGAGATGATCCCACTCGACTTTCAACAACATTTATGGATATTGGTCATACGCCCTTTATGGACCAGCGGCTCTATGAGTGTGTTTGGACCGTTTCATTCTCTGATCTGTGTTGGCGAATTCAACGGTTTTGTAAATTCCTCTGAGATAACCACAGTTGTGATTTAGGGCTATACAAGAAAGTGGATTGAATTATAGCTGCACATGGTTAGCAGCCTGCAAAGACCAATATCAAGTGGTCTAATACCAGATAATTGAAGGCATCATGTCTTACACTAGAAGAGCTGTTTCCCAGTTTGTCTATGCATCTAAAAATCCATCAGAGCTTGCAATCAACGTATGTGAAATATTCAAATGACGTGATGGTATGAAGTTCTGAGACAGTTTTATCAAGAAAGCATGAGGAACCATGTTTTCATTTCAATCTGGCGAGACTTGAACAGACAAAAGAATTCTATATTGATTGGCAATTAACTGACACTGCTCTGAAGACATTTATTGCGTGCTGTACGAGAAATGTGGTTAAGATTCTGCGCATGGATGCCGGCAGAGCACTGATGATTGCAGAATGGGAAATGAAGGTATAGATAATGAGGTAAAAAGCCCCCATAGTCTAGACCGGCTTGGTGGTGGGAGCTAGGAGAAGGGTGAAAGAGCTGGCCCGGTATGAGGCGGTGATGGGGAGGAGGAGGGTTGCTGCATGAATGAAAGCTGCGGCTTGAATGAAGTTTCCTCGCGATATGAAGCTTGATGGCTGTTTCTATATCAAAACCCAAACATTCCAGCTACAAAAACCTTCCACAAACTCTGCTCCAGCTCTTGGCGACACCGACTGCGCAACAAAACCCCCCATGAGCCATACATTTCTTCAATATTAGCTTGCATATACATTTTTGACCAGTGAAAAATGTTGTAACTTGATCAAAATCTCCAAAAGACAAGTAGTAAAAATAATACATCTCCATTGAATGCATTGCCTTTACTAGTTTTGTCACTGTGTAATTATAAACCAATGGAAAGAGTATTGTTTCAAGGTGCCTGCCGTTAAAATCCATAGAGTGACGGAATGTAATTTGGCTCGTCTTAATGCAACTTGTGAATGGGCTTAATGTGTCCCCGGGGGTCTGATGAAGCACTCGGAGCCAGTTAATACATCACCATTGAAGTCTAAATGGATATTGGCTTGGCTGTTTTACTGGAAGAGCATGGAACTCAAAAGATCAAAACAGGCCACATGCAAAGAGCATCTTCACTGAAGTCTAGAGCTGTCCCTCGCCATCTGCCTCTATCTTAAGAGAAAATGAAGTTGATTTCTTGAGAGAACCACTGGGGAATACAAACTTGAGCATGAATATTCGTTGTATGGGGTGTGATAAGAAAGTTAACGGTGTTACTTTGGGTAACTACTTTATATCACCCACAGTGGGGAAATGTCAGTGTTGCATCAGCGGTTACAGAACAGTAGGAACGAGGAGCAACATGGCACAAGATGAATGAACGATAACTCCAGACTAAAATCTCCAACTTTAGCCTAACGAAGAAGCAAGAATTGAGTATAAAATCTCTAGAAATGAAAGATGGATGATTCATGTCTTACTTGGGGAGACTAATTTGATCATTTACATACAGTATTCTCAGTATAATTCATTAAGGTTAAATTTCCAAGATATAAACAAGCTTTTGACGCCAGATCTAAGCAGGGCCTTTGCCGCTTCTGTACAACCAGCTACTTTTTGTCGCCCCAAACCGTCTCCACAGCACTTAATCATTGTACTTGTCCATAAAGCCCCATATCCCCAGATCTTATCTGGTGACAAATGCTTCCTTGCAGTAGTGAGGACATTTATCAAAAGCTCTGATTAGATTTGCCTTTCTAATCTGATGCATTATTCACACCATGAGAGACAGCCTAAAGCAAGGGGCCGTGACTTCCGACTGGCACTGCTTTTTAAGCAATTCCAATGACGTCCAATGATCTAATGTTACACAGAAAGAAATGATACAATATGAGGTAATACATGCCTGAATAAAGTTTTTTTTAATCTTAACCTGAGTACATTCTGATTGTCTTGAAACCCGATATGTGAATGGAACAATCAAATTTAGTTCATATTTCAGGGGTGTCCAAACTTTTTTGTAAGAGGGCCACTTTAGTTCATCAGACTTGACCTGGGGCCAATGACCTGGATGATAAAAACTGGAGTCAAGCTGGATGGACTGGATTTTGGAATTTAAAATGGGTTATTATACGTCCTTATAGATTCACACCACAGCTGCATTTTATTTGGAATGTTGGGACACAATCATAAAACAAATGTCATTATAAACCAATAGAGTCAACAACTGGATTCCAGTCAACAACTGGATTCCAGTTGTTGACTGAGCTTCACAACAAGGTATAGCATGATTGTATTGATGGAGCTGAAGTTGGTTGCATGACTATCAAAGTTCCACAATGCGTCTTTGTGTTAGCAGCAGAGGGCCACAAAAAATGCCACAAAGGGCCACAAACAAGATCATTTTGCTAGATCCCATTGGCAAATCTTGTTGTAAGGAAGTCAAAATGTGCTCAAATTAAGATACATTTAACAAAATACTTTTTTTTTCATCACTTTTTGGGCGCAGAAAGCAGATGGCCGCTCAATCATCAATTACTGACGTGTTTTAGCTTTTGGGAACTGTACAATTCTAAACTCAAGGCATTATCTTTGTCTGATTAACATCCAGATGATGATGAAATGATTGTCTTGTAGCACGGGGGTTTGTCGCAGCATGAAAATTACCTTGCAGCCCGCTTCACTCACTCCGTTCTTGCCCGAGTTGTTTTTGCCTGTATCCACGGAAACCTAATTAGGAGTTGTACAAATGAGAGGAGTGCGATTGTTGAGGAGGAATTTATCGTAATTAACCGGGAGTGCACTGTGCCACCGAGGAGCGGCCAATCAGAGGTGACCTTTCGGGCGCACAGTGACCCGCACACAGGTACACACGTACACACACTCGCGCACGCACACACACTGGGACTGATTGTGTTTCTACTTAAGTCAATTGGAGACGTTTGGTATAATTCTGTCATGTTTGCAGACTAATCTCAATGGGCTACAAACACTGGGATAAAGAAACAATCACGGAAACGGGAGAATAATCGTTGATGCTGGTTAGATTCTCAATATTTTAAAAGCGTCTCATGTGTTTTAGATACAGTTGGTAAAAAATGTCATTAAAATCAAACAGAAAAAGGCAATTTCCTCCAGTTTGTCGAAGGCTGGAAAAAATAGGTCCATATTTCTCTGTTCATGCTTTTTATAACTTTGTATTTCAACTGTCTTTAAATGTACTTTTCACTTTAAGGCGTCTTGTTATGTAAGTGTCTAGAAAGAAATGTATTATTAATATTATTATTACTTACAGCCTTTCCAGTCCAGCTCACAGGCTATACATTAAGTTATAAAGTACACTTGCTTATAATTTATGTATAATATACTATACAATTTGTCTAAATGGACTGAGAGAAGCAGATACACTGGTTGAAAATGGCAGGGATTTTTCACCTGCCCCTTGACATCATTGACCACGTCATCTGCTGGGCCATGTGGCTGGACCATGTGGCTGGACCATGCGGCTGGACCATGCTGCCGGACCATGCTGACAGCCACGCCTATGGAAAGATCTCATGGTAGCTGTGGATTTTTCCCACATATTGTGCCAAAAAAGCGACACAACACTGCAGTGCTTTTTCCACTGTTGGAAAGAACAGCGAGCATTCGCCACTAAAAACTAGTCATGGGACCAAAAATATCTGATTCTGATATTTTTATAAAGTTAAACAAAAGAATAGTTATTGCAGGTAGCATATTAGCAATGTATTGGTTTTCTGCCAAATTTTACAATTGAAAATATCCAGGGGCGTTACCTTTGGACAGATTGAAATATGAATTATTGTATTGATTGGGCCAGTGTGTGTGTGTGTGTGTGTGTCTTTATGTCCGTCCTGTCTGATTGTGTGTGGAGAGTAAGGCAGGGGGTTGGAAATATACATGTTTTATCTTCAGCCAACCCCCTTTCCAAACCTTGTATATCGTAATATATTGTAATTTTCTGTTTGTCTAATTATGTTAATGGTTTTGGACTTAAGAAGTAAGTGATACAAAAAAAAATCTATTGAAATGTAGCCACAATTTCAAAATATGTCTAAGGTTTTATACACATAAGACAGGACGTTTTGGACTGGTCTTAATCTCAAACTATACGATTTAAGTATTGCATCTGCCATTCAGTCAAATTTTCATATGAGAAGGAAATGCTTCATTGAGTGAGCTCCCATAAGTGACACATTAAAAAACCCAACTTTAAAATGAAAAAATCTCTTCAGAAAAAAGTCCTTGACGATGTTTGAAATTCCGTACTATTCCCAAGTCGGTTCTGTCTTTACATCTTACAGGTACGAGACCGTGTGTAGGAAGCAAGCCGCCATCTGCTCTCCGCTAACTTCAGAGGGTCCGGCCGTCTGTCCCATCTCCCCCCCCCCCCATGGACCGCCGCCCTCCCCTCAGGCTTCTGGCAGCTGATTGGCTGTGTGTGTCGGACCCGTTCTCCATCACTGTCCCGCTCCCAACACTACCGTCAGCAGGTTTATTAAAAGTGATCAAGGCGAAAACCCGCACGTGGCCTCGGACGGAGCAGCTGTCAAACTGTGGAGGTGATCGTCATTTCATTTCTGCCAGTTTTGGAATGTGTTAATAAGGCGCACACACACACACACACACACACACACACACACACACACACACACACACACAGGCACAGACAAAGTAGTGAGATAGAAACAGCATTTGTTTTGTAAATAAGCCAACATCACAAGAAATAGATTCATCAGTTGGAATAAAGCGGACATGACTAAAGGGGGCGTAAAAGGTCGAGGCAGAATTGAATCATGAGGAAAGAGTTCTACTGCTTGTTGTTCATGTGTTTTTCATTCATTTGTTGCTATCATTGGTGAAGAAATACGTTTTAAGTTTAGTTATAATATAAAAACTGTGAAAGATGACATATTCTGTAAACAGTAACACATTTATAACATTGTGAGGCGACAGTGGCTCAGTTGGAAGAGCATTGGCCTCTGAGGGTCGAGGGTTCGATCCCCCCACGAGACCTATTCTAACTGCTCCCACTAACGTCTGCTGTCGCTGTGTCCTTGGGCAAGACACCTGACCCCACATTGCCTGAAGCCCCCGCTGAAAGACCAAGGCTAAGTCACCGCTGACGGATAAGCCATCTTCCCGTGGACTCACCACCAGCTGGAGGATCAGAGGGGGGACTGGTGCTGTGAGCATTGGGTGGCAGCTCTGAATGCCACCCCCCGACCCAGAAATGGATTAATAAACGGGTAGAAAATGTATGAATGAATTTATAACATTGTTTTTTTAGTCTATATAATTGAACATTCTCACAATTTCAACAACAAGAATGTCCAAATGCAGCCTGTTGTGTCATTCTATGTGGCTCTGTACCTTACTTACACAAAGTAGCCATTGGGGCACATTTACAGTGTCATCCAGCCAACTTCAGCTCCACCAATAAAGTCATGATCTACCTGGTTGTAAAACTGAAAATCTTTGAAATCCAGTCGTTAACTTTTTTGTATATACTGGAATTTTTTCTTGAGTGTGTCAGAAAATTCCATATATGGCGCTTATGTACAGTAGCTGTGGTGTGAATCATTATAGACCTACTGTATAGTCCATTTTAAAACACAAAACAGACAAAATCCAGTCAACACAATTTTACACACCATGTTGTCGGCCCCTAGAAAAGCCTGGTGATTTTTATTGGCTCTGGTCTCGTGGAATGAGTTACCACACATCAACACCTGTTCAGTATTCAACTGCCTGCTATATAATACACCCATAGATCAATAGTATGCGTTTTGAACATGTGAAATGTCGATTTTGGTCAAAAAGAATAACAGATCTATATTTGTCATATTGACTTGCAACTAATCACGGCAGTTGCACAGTAGTAGGCTAGATTTATGCTTTCACTTGGGCCAATTTTCCTTTGCAGTGCTGTGGATTTGTAGACTATTCTTCTGTTTCCCTTCTGTCTGTAAATAAACAGATGGGAAAAATAATCCAGCAACATGAATGCTGTAAAAACAAGTGCTACCTGTTGTGGTGATGGAGAGCGGGGATAGTCTGAAAAAATGCATACTGGCTCAACTTTAGGTACAAGTGTAGGTCAAAGAAGAAATTCATTATGACATTGTTATAAGCTCTGAAAAGTGCAGTTTTGGGGTCAAATTTGTAGAATGGTATAACACATGAAATAGCCGGTTTACGCCCCCTTTTGTACAACCACAAAGCCTCAGTCCGCTATTCTCACACGCACAATCGTTCCGCATCATTGACAGTCACAGCGGCCGGGACTTTTTACCTGTAGCAGTTCCCAGCGGGTGTTGAGCTCCTCGATGCGTTCGCGGTTGCTCACGGACAGCTGGATGTCGTGCGGCCCGAACGTGGAGGCCAGCTGGTTCAAGCGCTTCACGTCGTTCTCGATGGGGGCGATCTCGTCCTGGAACTCCTGGACGGACGGGGTGACAGGCGTTCGTCCAAAGAGGAGAAGGAGACGAAAGATTCAGATTCAGATTCAGATTCATTTATTTGCCATATTGGAAAAACTGTGCAAGACTACCCCGGTGTGCACCAGGACACACACCAGAGCTCTTGCCACGGCGCCATCTTTACGGCGCCATGCGAGCAAAAGATTATGAGCGAGGATTTACATGGGATCGCTCGAGAAATCCTATCCATGTTCATATCGTGTGCATGACCATAAGTTAATATGAGGAGATTAGTATAAGACGCACGTAATTAAATAATGATTATGTGGCAGCGCGATCAATATCCACTTTTGATTAGAATGTATATTGACTTTTTCGTCTTATACATGTCATTATTAGTGTGAGAGGCGCCTCGTTACTATTCTATCAATACTTGAAAGTGTATCGCGAACGCCGGGTGAGAATTTAAATATTATCTTGTTTTAATCGTGCCCTTTATTCCCTTTATTCACTACATTGGCGGCCAGTTTTGTTTTGAGTTGATTTTAAAATGTTTCTTGTTTTTAAAGCCCTCAATGGTCTCGTCCCTAGTTCGCGACTTCTCAGTTGCTGGACCCAGACTCTGGACCTAGAATCTTTTTTCAGATTGGCTTTGGAACACTTTTAACACCACTTTTAACACTCATTTTTTGATGGCATGAATTTATTAATGGATTCTATGTGCTTCTATTGTAAAGCACTTTGGTCGCCTTGAGTGTTGTAAAGGGCTCTATAAATATAACGTTGATTGATTGAATATTCTCTCATTGTTGCCATTGGAACATGAATGTACCTTCATCACAGCGATGGAAAAGTGTTGTTTCGCATTAAAGACGAGAGAGAGATAAACGTTGATGGCTAATTTCCCATTGCTGATTCAAAAAAAAAAGTCTCCAAAGAAGACCCTGGACGTTCTTTGCGATATCTCAAACTGGCATAATCACAGGTTATCATACTGTAATAATACATTGTTGACAGAGCAATTCCCTGGGTTTGTGCAAAAAGTAGCTCCCTGAACAGCCCAGAATTCACAGATATATTACAATCTAGGTCTATTGTGTCGCACATAATTCTAATCACCAGGAAGGGAAACATTGTAAGTATTCATATGAACGCCTAAGACATTATGTGTACAAACTATTGTTTTTCAATAGTTGTGCCAGGGTTGATCTTGCAGCGCTTCGGGGCAGTGTTGGCTGCTTGTAAGTGTGCTCTATAAATAAACTTGACCTTGACCCATTTAAATTTGTGTTTGCCTGCCCTATTATATACACATCTATTCAGCGTAGCAAGGAGCAGGCTGGTTTTACCCATGAATAGGTTTTCCTCAAATCTCCAGGGCAATACAAGCAGCAACACAAACACTTTTATTGGAGAAATGTGGATTTTTTTTGTGGTGAGGAGGATGGAGTATGCATCTCTGTGGTATACCGTAGTTTGGTGGTTGTGGTAGACAATACACTGCAAAAAAATGACACATTATGAGGTAATAATTGCCAGTGAGACAAATCCATCTAGTCTAATTTCAAGAAAGGTTGCTTTATTTTGTCATTCCAAGGAGAGATTTCTTGTATCTTTTTAAAACAAGATCCTTTTACCTGTCCTGTTGGCAAATTTTGTTTTAAGGCTGTCAAAATATGCTTAAATTGAGATACATTTAGCAAAATTTCAGCAATTTTTGACAGATTTTTCATCACTTTGTGCAACCATAATACTAACAGACCTAAGCTGTCGTGTTGGATCCACACACTCAGCGCCACACGCCATCCCGCTCTCACTGAAGAGATAGCCTTCTCTCTTTTCTATAATTGCATGGTTGTGATGTTGTGACACATATTCCATTTGCCTGATGTATTGTTCACCAGTGCGGCGCCGCCTCTTACGATATTTGTAAGTGCCTTTTCCGCTTACGGTTTTTTTTTTATGTATAGCTTCCATGTACGGGTGTTCTTATCAACGCACTGTCCATGTCATCTCTCACCTGCAGAGGAATTATACGGACATAAATATGGAACGTTCATAGATGTTCCGGTTGATTTGGTGTTTGTTCAGTATGATGCATTTATGTTGTGTGCGTGTATATTGGATCACGTGCCAGAGCGAGTCGCGACCCTGTGACCTTCTACGGTACTATATAATCGTACTGCTTGGATGCATTGAGTCTTGGCATTGTGGCATTTTGGCTTTCAAGTGATAGTCTGGAACGCTAGATGAATTACAAATTTTAAGAATTGTGTTAAATTGACCTCCTGGCCTTAAATGTTGATATAAAATCAGCTCAGTTTGTTTTCGCGGAACCACTGAATCAAGAATTCTGAACATCCGCGCTGAGTTTCCCATTTCTATACTGAACTTATATCCATAATCATTTCTATACTGAACCTATATCCATAATCATTTCTATACTGAACCTATATCCATAATCAGATCCTCTGCAGATGTTCCTATAATGTTCAATCAACGTTAATAGCTTGTTCCGGGTTTGCCGCGATCGCTTTTTTTGTGCATTAAAACATTATTTTTGTCATGAAAACGTTAACAATTAATTTTGAAAACCTCCGTGCATGTGAATTAATAATTTATAAGTATAATGTGTTCTCAGATTAACATTTAAATGTCTTACGGAAACGTAGGCGTAGACCAATCAGAAAGGAAGGGGGAGGAGCTTGGGTCATTTTTTTTCAAATCTTGTACCTCTCTCTCTTTTTCTGACAAACTGCAGACAAACACTTTCACTGAATTCTGACATGCAGTGGACTAAGAGATTTATTTTCTCATTTTCATTTGTGGATCATAATAGTTTATCTTTGATTATGAAGACGTAGAGTAAAAACGCGTATTTGTAGTAAATACTGATTATTTAACAACATAAAAACATAGACTACTGTAACAAGCTAAATTGGATCTAAAAACCATTAAAAGACATTGGAAAACTTCTATAAAATGGCCAAAATCTTTCATAATCTCAAACGGCGTGTCTGTATAGTAACTCTATTAAAATCAATCGTGTCTCTCCTGATTTAATTTAAAACACTATCTACAAAAGAGTGATGCCCTCAGCACTGGGTGAGTGATGGGAGAGAGGTGTAGGGTCAGAGAGTGTTAGGGTCTGTAACCGTCTTTTTGCTGTATGGGTGAGAGGTTTTGGAGCCAAATAATTTTCAATGTATGTATTTCTGTTCATTACTTTAACGTAATTTTAATTTATTTTTTATTGTGAAATACTATGCAAGCTACTGTGACAACGCAATTGCCCTTGTGGATCAAAAAAGTCTATCTAAGTCGAGTCATTTTGTATCTGGTTCAATGTGTTAACAAGCTTGGAATAAATCTAGTTGAACCAATATAAGTTGTAAGTAAGTAAACTTTATTCACACAGACTGAAGAACTTATTGTGGACATTTGTCTTTCAGGCCACACAGTGATGGGAGTGGGGCGCCATACAGAAGGTGCACGGCAGGACTATAGTGCGTGTTTATAGTGGTGGGGGAAACCGGAGCACCCAGAGGAAACCTACAAAAAGGCTATATCTGGAGGTGGAATCGAACCCAGGACCTTCTTGCTGTGTTACACGAGCACCAACCTATGGCTCACTCCGCACAACTGTATCAATGAGTTACATTTTGGTCAATGACACAAAAAAGTCCCAAAATGTCCACGGCCGTTATCGTTGGATGTTCCCAGACCCACTCTTGTTTTGCCCCCAGCTTGTTTGTCCAGTGGAGGGCGCTCTACTTAAACAGATTCGTTCACGCCCGTATTATTAACAGCGCTCCAAGAAGCCGTTTTGGACGTAACAAAAGTGGACACGATTGTTACGTCCAAAATGCCCAGTTTGTCCGCAGTTATTGAATGATATTTTTTTGCATAATGTAAAATTACATATTGATTATAGTTAAATCTCCAAAGATTAACGGTTAAATAGTCTTCTCTGTCCTGTTTGTTCTCCCATTCAGAAAGCCTCCAACATGACATGTCCTAAATGTGAATGAGCAAACATAGGGTTCCCAGACTTTGACCGTGTCTCCCTCACCTTGACTCTCTCGATGTGCTCCGGCAGCGAGTCCAGCACCAGGTCTCCCACCGGCTCCCAGGCGTCGCGCACCATCTCGGCCTGCCGCAGCTGCCCGTCCAGCAGGTCCTCGGCCTCCTGGAGCTCCACGAGGCGCTCCAGGGCCAGCTCCAGCCGCCTCTGCCAGTCTGCCGCATCCACGCACAGCCGCTCCCATCCGCCGTTCACGTCATCGGCCTCTTTACGCAGGACGCGCCCCACGTGATGCGCGCGCTCCTCCGGGCTGATGTCTGCGCGAACATATTCAATTCAATTCAGTTTATTCTTGTTTAGCTCTAAATAACAACAGTAGTTATCTTGGAGGACTTTACAAAACCGTTGAAGTCGCCAAGACGGATAAGAGAATCAAACACAAGAAATTCTATGATAAAAAACACACAGCGCCATTGGTCCATACGGGGCCGATGACCAATGTCCATACATGTCCATAAATGTCCTTATATGTCCAAAAATATTTTCGAATGTGGAGTGTCCTGGATCATCATCATCAAACACCGAGGAGAAAAAGGAAAAATATGTTTGTGACACAAGATGAAGAGCGCAGAAACTTGTTTTGTTGAGATGGGACGCGAAAATGCGAGATAAGGCACAACACCGTCAGCTGCACCTCTGCGATAAGATAGGAAGGACTTTTGCTTTGTTTTTGTTTGCTGTAATGAAACGTAGATTTATGACAAAACATAACAATGGAAGAAGTTTGCAGATGGGAATATATAGGTTAGTTATAAATAAAGTTATCTGGGTTATCAATTGGATTACTAATTTAAGTACTATTAGTGCTTGTTTCAGTGGCATTTATTATTTGAATTGAGTTACATTCTGACTAGAGTCTCCACCAAGAGGCAAAGTTACACTAAGAACCAAAAAATCTTACATTCAGACTGAAATATCTCATCCAAATCCTCTTTGTGTGTTTGTGTTCCATGTTTCTCACACACAAACAAACAGTCTGACACTTGGGGTCAATTAATCAATCATAGTCTCTTAAAGAAGCTATACCCGATTTTTTTTCTAAGTAGTTCATAAAAATGCTTTTTACTACATACAAGTTGTATCATAATACATCATTTAATTGAAAACTTGAGGTAATTGATTCAGCTGTGTAAGAATTACAAGCAGTGAAAAGTGCTGAGTAGAGTCTGAGCGGGCCGCTCTTTCTCCTCCGCTCACAGAACGAGCAGCGAACAGCCTGCGTCCTCTAGCCTCTACAGCGCTGCTTAACACCAGGGCTTCAACTTCAAAATTCGAATATAATTCTAAAATAAAAAAGGATGAACAAAATAATTGAATAAAAAAATTTGAACAAATATTAGACAACCCTTGTAATTCGAAATGTATTTAATGACTGCAAATAAAATAGTTAGCTCCCAAAGGTTTCACCGGGACGTGCTAGGCAGGTAACAGCTAAGCTAGCTAGTTGTTTCATGGTAACTTCCGGGTTTTTCGCAATCGCTTTTTGTCACATTGAAACAGTATTTTTGTCATGAAAACGTTAACAGCAAATTCTGAAATCATCCGTGCATGTGTGTTAAGGATGTATATGTGTACTGTATTGTCCGATTGACGTTTAATGGTGTTGATTGATAGATATGTAGTTGTTTATTGAGCGTGGCTAGCTCCGTTGGCTTCTCTACACAGACAAGTGTGTAGTAACAGGTGCTGAAAGCGTTTTGTACTTGTAGAGTAATGGCAGTATTTTACACACCTGAATTACAAACAGAGGTTGCATTGGGGCTGCAGTCATTATTAGTTTGAGAGTTCTGTTATCAAGAAAAATGATCGGAAGAATTGCTGCTGCTGCTTTGAGGAGCTCTATAACAAATTATAATTAAATATTAGACTATATTCTAAGGTTTTAAATTAATACATTCGGACGCAAAACTAGCGGTATTCTTTTACTTATATATTGTGTTAGCAGTGCGTTGCTTTAGTGCCATTTCATCAGTGATTGTTGCACAGCTTACAAGAAGTTGCGCTAATGCTAGCATATGTATCAGATCGCAAATAAAACTAGGTGGCTCTGTGTTATGAGAGCGTAGGGGAAATGAGAAGCCATTGAGCGAGTTGGGGGGCGGAGCTAAACATTCAAACATTGCAGAAACGGGTATAGCGCCTTTAAGTAACTGTAGCGCAATTCAAGCAATTTAAAAACAAGGTCGCCACGGCTCTTCGGTGCCTCTATTTTTACCTTTTAACTTGTTTGCACCAAGAGCCAAAGCAATTTTTTCTTGATACTTGCAATAAATTCTGATTCTGAGGAACTTATCCTGTGGAGTTCTTTCCCCATCTCTGCCATGTATGGTTAACAGAATATAAAGTATGAGATATACTTTTGAATGTTCTGGAAAACGGCAGCAGGTCCTAAGTGTCTCTGAAACAGTTGTTTTGTGCTTTATACATTTTATTTTTCTTGCTTTTTTCTACCTGAGATGTTGCTGCAGTACAGTGTTCATGGTTTTACACTGGTCCAGACCAGAGCAGAGAGGATTCATGGTCCGAACCAAGTGGATCAGGTGAAAATCTACTGGAGGAATGCTAACTTTTTGAAAAATGCAAATTAACCATTTAGCATTTTACTTTGGACTAGAGCAGAGAAAATGCTCCGAACCAAGAGGCTACTCCACCTTGTGACCCGTCCTGCTCCACCCAGAGGCTACTCCACCTTGTGACCCGTCCTGCTCCACCCAGAGGCTACTCCACCTCTGCTGCTGTGACCCATCCTGCTCCACCCAGAGGCTACTCCACCTCTGCTGCTGTGACCCGTCCTGCTCCACCCAGAGGCTACTCCACCTCTGCTGCTGTGACCCGTCCTGCTCCACCCAGAGGCTACTCCACCTCTGCTGCTGTGACCTGTCCTGCTCCACCCAGAGGCTACTCCACCTCAGCTGCTGTGACCCGTCCTGCTCCACCCAGAGGCTACTCCTGTCACGGTTCTGGATAGGACCCAAATGCAGAGGCAGAGGCAGTAGAATCCAAAAAGGTACAGATTTATTTACAAAAAGTGTATGGGCAGGCAGGCAGTCTACAGGGCAGGCAGGCAAGCAGGCAGGCAGGCACCGTGGGTAAAAAATCCAGATCTGGACAAAGGAGAAAAAGGTAAGTAATACAGAAATGCAACTGTAACGATAGAGCCAAGTGCTAAGAGACTGACAAGTGTCAAAGAAGCGACAAACTGGCGAGGAGTGGCTGTAGAGCTGCTCCTTTTGTGCTGGTGCTGATGAGATGAACCCAGGTGAGAATGCAGGTGTGTTGATTGGAGCAGCAGGACTACAGCAGACAAGAGGGGAGGGGGAGGGCACTCCAGGAGCAGATCATGACAGTACCCCCTCCTCAAAAATCGCCACCAGGCGAACCACCCGGCCGGTCAGGATGAGCACGATAGAAGTCCTCAATCAAGGCAGGATCAAGACTGAGACGACGAGACACCCAGGAACGCTCCTCAGGCCCATAGCCCTCCCAGTCCACCAGAAACTGGAGACCACGGCCGCGGCGGCGAACGTCAAGCAGACGACGCACCCTAAAAGCGGGATGGTCATCAACGAGCTGGGCGGGAGGAGGGGGCTCGGCCGGAGGGCAGAGAGGACTCTCACGCACAGGCTTTAGTTGAGAAACGTGAAAGGTCGGATGAATCCTCATAGCAGGTGGCAGTTTCAAACGAACAGCAGTCGGGTTAATTACTTTCTCAATCTCAAAAGGGCCAACAACTCGCGGTGCCAGTTTCCTTGACTCAACCCTTAAAGGAATGTCCTTAGCAGCAAGCCAGACTTTTTGACCGGTTCGGTACAATGGAGGTGGCACACGGTGTCTATCAGCGATTTGGCGGTTTCTTTCTGCTGAGCGAAGCAGGGCAGCTCGAGTGCAACTCCATATATGGCGACAGCGTTGCAAGTGGTCTTTAACTGAAGGAACTGCAATGTCTTTCTCCTGTTCAGGAAACAGAGGTGGTAAGTAGCCTTGGGCACATTCAGGCCGGTAGCTGAGGATGGGAGAGAATTATGCGCATACTCAACCCATGGAAGATACAAGCTCCAGTCAGAGGGATTCTGTGCCACCACACATCAAAGCGAGACCTCCAAATTCTGATTAGCTCTCTCACATTGACCATTCGTCTGGGGGTGGAATCCTGAAGAGAGACTCACTTTGGCACCTAGAGACTGACAGAAACACTTCCAAACATGGGAAATAAACTGGGGGCCCCTGTCAGAGACTATGTCTACTGGCGTCCCATGAAGTCTGAAGACGTGTTGGACTAGTAAGTCCGCAGTCTCACGAGCAGACGGCAGTTTTTCCAAAGCAACAAAATGAACAGACTTAGAAAAACGATCAATGATTGTGAGAATGATAGTTTTACCGTGAGACACTGGTAGCCCTGAGACAAAGTCTAGGGCTATGTGCGACCAGGGACGAGAGGGGACAGGCAAGGGGAGGAGTTGTCCTGCCGGTTTCTGATTGGATGCCTTATTCCTGGCGCACACTGTACAGGCTAGAACAAAGTCTCGTGCGTCCCTTTCCATTGTTGGCCACCAGAAGTATCGACGAAGCAAAACGAGGGTTCTACCAATCCCAGGGTGACAGGCAAAGTTAGAAGTATGTACCCATTGAAGGACCTGGGAACGTACAGAAAGAGGGACATATAAACAATCAGGAGGTCCATTACCCGGGTCTGGTTCTGATGCCTGTGCCTCACGGACTCTTGATTGTATCTCCCAGGTAATTGATGCAACCACACATGCGGGGGGGAGAACAGTCTCAACAGGATCAGGACAGTCTGTAGGTGAAAACTGTCGAGAAAGAGCATCAGGTTTTACATTTCTTTGAACCAGGTCTATAAGTTATTGTGAAGTTGAAACGATCAAAAAACAGTGCCCAACGTGCTTGACGAGAATTGAGGCGTTTGGCTGACTGAATGTAGGACAAGTTTTTGTGATCAGTCCATACAATGAAAGGAAGTTCCGCACCCTCCAAATAGTGTCTCCATTCCTCCAGTGCCAATTTTATAGCAAGCAATTCACGATCCCCTATGGCGTACTTGCGCTCTGCTGAGGACAGCTTGCGAGAAAAAAATGCGCAGGGGTGTACTTTTTGGTCTGAAGGTGATCTCTGAGACAGCACAGCACCAACACCACAGTCAGACGCATCAACCTCTACTATGAATTGCGCCTTAGGATCAGGATGTATCAGGATTGGAGCAGAAGTAAATAGCTCTTTAAGATTCTGAAAGGCTCGCTCAGCTGGAGGATCCCATACAAAACACAGTTTAGATGATGTTAATCGAGTTAAGGGGGCTGCAACTTGGCTGTAGTTCCGAATAAAACGTCGATAAAAGTTTGCAAAGCCGAGGAATCTTTGTAATTGCTTACGGTTTTCTGGTGTGGGCCAATCAACTACTGCCTGAGTCTTTAATGGATCCGGTCTTACTTGCCCACTGCCGATTATGTAGCCCAAAAAACTCACAGACTGGACATTGAATTCACATTTCTCCGCCTTGACATAGAGCTTGTTCTCCAATAGTCTCTGAAGCACCTGGCGTACATGGACCACATGTTCCTCTGGAGAAGATGAAAAAATCAAAATGTCATCGAGATATACAAAGACAAAACGATTCAAGAAATCTCGAAGAATATCATTGACCATAGCTTGGAATATGGCAGGTGCATTGGTGAGGCCAAAGGGCATTACTAAGTATTCAAAATGCCCAAGAGGTGTCTTAAAGGCAGTTTTCCATTCGTCTCCATCTTTTATCCTCACCAGATGGTATGCATTTCTTAAATCCAACTTTGAGAAGATCGTAGCATCATGTAATGGTTGGAAAGCGGAGTTTATGAGAGGGAGTGGGTATTTATTCTTTATGGTAATCTTGTTTAGGCCTCTATAATCGATACATGGGCGGAGTGACTTATCCTTCTTTCCCACAAAGAAAAACCCAGCTCCAACAGGAGAAGATGAAGGACGGATAATACCTGCTGCCAGCGAATCGTTGATGTACCTTTCCATGGTCTCGTGTTCAGGTCGGGACAAGTTGTAAAGGCGACTGGAAGGCAATGTAGCACCAGGAAGTAGGTCAATGCTGCAGTCGTAAGGTCTGTGGGGAGGAAGGGACAGAGCACGACTCTTGGAGAAAACGTCTGCCAGGTCATGATAAATATTTGGAACGTTAGTTAAATCTGGTGGTTCAGGTTGTTCGCCAACATGGTTATCAAGTGGAATGGCTGACTTCAGACAGGATGAGTGGCACATAGAACTCCAGCTTATTAATTTAGCGTCAACCCAATCAAACTGGGGATTGTGCTTCCTTAACCAAGGATAACCCAGGATTAAAGGAGAGTGAGGGGAGGATATTATATTAAACTGGAGAGTTTCTTGATGGTTTCCAGACAGTAATAACTTTAGAGGTATAGTACGATGTGTGACTTGCGATATGACCCTCCCATCCAAAGCCTTGGCAGTCAGAGGACTTTCCAGAGGCACCAGCTCCAAACCAGCTTGTCGAGCGAGATTATAGTCTAGGAAGTTCTCTTCTGCGCCAGAGTCAACGAGAGCAGACAAAGGCATTTTGATCTTGTTAAAACAGAGGGTTGCAGGGAGTAAAATCTTTGTATTGGGGTTTGGAAAGGAGGAAGTTTGGCCCACCAGTGCCCCCAGGCTCACTGATGAGCCCTTTCTTTTGGTCGGGATGGGCAAGTTGCAAGAAAATGTCCATGTTTACCACAGTAGATGCACTCACCAGCGGTAATCCTGCGCAGTCGCTCAGTTTGAGTTAGGTGAGCACGTCCCACCTGCATGGGTTCCTCATCAGACACCAGTTGTCTAGATTGACCAGCAGTAACTATGGGGGACAAGGCAGGGTTACGAAGTGGTGCAGAACGAAAGGTTGTAGACTGAACATGGCGACTGGTTCGTTCTCTTCGACGTTCACGAAGACGGTTATCAATCCTAATTGCAGAAGAAATCAGAGAATCAAGGTTATAAGAATCATCTTTAACAGCTAACTCATCCTTGAGTTGTTCTGAAAGACCATTAACAAAAACAGTCTGGAGAGCTGTGCCATCCCACCCAGCTTCAGCAGCCAGAGTCCTGAATTGTACTGAATATTCAGCAACACTGCGTGCTCCCTGTTGGATGGTAAGAAGCCTTTTTGAGGCCTCTCTCCCTTGGACAGGATGGTCAAACACCTTTCTTAGTTCAGTTTCAAATGCATCGTAATTGTTCCTGATATTTATGTTATTTTGCCATACAGCAGAGGCCCAGTCCAAAGCACTACCCTGTAATAATCCCATTATGAAAGAAATCTTGGATCTGTCAGTAGCATAAGTTAGGGGCTTCTGGGAAAACACCAATGAACATTGAAGCAGAAATGCTGCACATTTCCCCATATCACCTGCATAGTGGTCAGGATCTGGCACATGGGATTCTTTAACGGACGGTGGTGAGGCTAATGCAGCATGGGAATCCAGAGAAGCTGGCTGGGGAACAGTGGCAGAAAGGTTGGTGGTTAGCTGTTGTAGCATAGAATTAAGTTGAGCTATTTGGTTGGATGTAGTCTGCTGGCTCTCAACTAAGCCACGAAGAAGCTGTTCGTGCTGACCAAGTACGGCACCTTGATTAGATACAGCCCGGACGATTCGGTCCTGTTCTTCCGCTGGGTCCATGTTGGCCAGTTTGTACTGTCACGGTTCTGGATAGGACCCAAATGCAGAGGCAGAGGCAGTAGAATCCAAAAAGGTACAGATTTATTTACAAAAAGTGTATGGGCAGGCAGGCAGTCTACAGGGCAGGCAGGCAAGCAGGCAGGCAGGCACCGTGGGTAAAAAATCCAGATCTGGACAAAGGAGAAAAAGGTAAGTAATACAGAAATGCAACTGTAACGATAGAGCCAAGTGCTAAGAGACTGACAAGTGTCAAAGAAGCGACAAACTGGCGAGGAGTGGCTGTAGAGCTGCTCCTTTTGTGCTGGTGCTGATGAGATGAACCCAGGTGAGAATGCAGGTGTGTTGATTGGAGCAGCAGGACTACAGCAGACAAGAGGGGAGGGGGAGGGCACTCCAGGAGCAGATCATGACAACTCCACCTCTGCTGCTGTGACCTGAGGCTGTTGCTGATTATTACTATCATTAGCTTTTTAGAATGATCAATTTTATTAGTTTTGCTGCTACTGGACACCTGAATTTCTCCGACGGGGATCAATAAAGTATCTATCTATCTATACAAAATGAATAAAACATAAAACATAATGTTGCTTTTTAGAGAAATGTTGCCATAATGCTACAGGGTTGAAACATGAAAAACACCGACCAAAATGAAAACCCAATATTGCAAAATGTCCACTTTACTTAAAGAGCTCTCCTCAGATTGATCCAGTAAGTGCTATCATTAGCCGCTGTGACAAGATTTATACGTCAGGCCACTCACGATGAAAGAGCTTCCTTTTTATTAACACGCTGTGACTGCATTTAAAACAAGCAAAGTCCTACAGAACTACTTCCAAAATGTTAAGGTCAATTGGCAAGCTGAAAAATCTGTGTTGGCGCAGCGGCGATGGACGTGGAGAGTTTTCTTTCTACCTCCCGGTGGTCAGGACAACAGTTCATTGGGTTTACATAAAGGTGCTAATTTTGAGGGTAACCAGGCTGCTCTGAGGCGGCCCTGTCTATGTGCGAGCTAGTTAACCTCCATTAGATCAGCTTTACCGGGCTGTTGCTAAGTGCAGGCGGTTCAGAATGAGACTATACTGAGACTTTTGGGGGGAAAGAGCATTTATTGAGAACCAACATTCATGAGACTAGAGGAAACTTCCACAAAGTTAATGCTTCGGTTTTATATGGCGCTTTTTTAGGACATGCAAATGGATATTTTATAACACTTTTAAGCTGCTTTGGTTCAACCTTAAGGCCAAAGCCACTGGCACCGTCGCAGCTGCTGATTGGTGCGTCTATGATTCCTTCACAGTATACAATCAAATGCAAGCTGTAAAACTCTCTTTACCATCAACAATAAAACATGTCTTTTGTCTGTGACACAAGCCCTTTTTTGTTGTGTGTCACAGACAGAAGACATGAATCATAGAGGCTCCCATCAGCAGCTGCCACGGTGCCATCGGCTTCAGCATTCAAGACATTCAAGTGGAAAATCACCAGTGTTTGTTAGACACTAATAACACAAGCTTAGGTTTCACCAAATAAGTGTTTTTCATGCAGGTATGGCCACATGTTGAATTTTGATGAATTTTAAAGCCTTTACCACTGAGATTATGACAGTTAAGTGAATGGAGAGGTTGAAAAAGCCTTTTATACTGTCATAAATTACTTGACGTGAATGTCAGTTACTTTTCAAATCTTGAAGACAGAAGAATTATGAATTGAATTGAAAACAAGTATTGGTTAGACCCGCCCACACTCACCCCAGCAGCTTCCTGATTGGTTGAAATTAGTCCCTTGTCATTGGTTCATTAACTAATAACTATTGACTCCTCCAGCAAATCTTGTGATGGTAATTATGCCAAGGGGAAGGACTGTTTAAAATATATTATTGTTGAATTATACATACTGTACATGACAGTACAGTCCCATGGTCAGAAATATACATATGTTTAAAAATGAAATTCAAATTAAATGACCAACATCACCTTTAAAGCTGGGCATAAGGATGTTCTTTCAATAAATAATGCATTGTGTCTTCTCCATCAGAAAGAGTGTTGTAAAGGTAAATGTGTTGAAGAAATCAGACCATAGTCCTCCCTTTTTCACCTTTTTTTGTCTGAAAACACTGAAATCTGAGGCCCAAAAATACATGGATTTGAAAAACTAGATATATATATATAACAGTTTTTAGAGTAAGGAACTTTTTCGATGGATTTTTTCTGCACAGCTGGATTATTTGTGGTTTCATTTCATACTTGCTTCACCTCTGTGTTCAGGTGACGGGGTTTCTCTCGGCAACTCGGACAAAAACATTCCCACGTCGTCCAAAGCTTTGGTCACCACCGGCTCCTTCGCTCGCATGTCTCGCCTGAACCCCTGCGAAAACAACATGACGAGCACAACTTCAATCATATTTTGTTAGCATGGGAAGAATAACAAGCAGCTTTCTCTTTTCAACATCCTACTAAAAGCTTTCCCTAATGCATTGCAGGACCCCATCGCTTTAGTTTTAATACATCCACTGACCAACGCATCCGGCCAATCCAGTCTCCCGATTCGCCCTCTCCTTTAAAATAGCTCACGCAGAATGGGTTTTTGATTTAACCTGAATGGCAGACTTTAATTTGCATAATGTCAGTCCGAGAGATCACAAATGGACGTGTTTTATTTTTGAGAAACCGCAACGCTTTTCTTCAAAAGTGAATGGATTTTTTTGAGCTGGGAATATTTAATTGAGGATGTCATTATTTTTAGGCGTCTGCTAAACGAGTGTGTCTTTATGCAAGTTAGTCTGCGCCGCTTTAGTTCATTTCCTTGCCTCGTCTTTTTAATTCAGACTCTTTCAAATCCGGTATGTAAATATGCAAATCAGGATTGCGTCATCTGACAGATACTTTTCCCTGGAGTTTTTGGTATCTTGAGGGATTTCATTTCGCTTCCACTGCGAGAGTGCGGTGTCCTAAATCAACGCTGGTCCTCACTTGAACCGACCGAAGCGATGCAGTCACCACTTTCCAAATATGACTATATGGAGATTCATGTTCGAGACAACCTCAGGCCCCAGAGCCAAATGCGGCCCTCAGTCATCTTTTGTGGCCCTCTGACTTGCTAACTCGAAGTAGTCTCTGAGATGATACACACATTACAGCTAGCTTCAACTCAACCGCAACAGACAGTAGCGGCTGTACCTCATTGTAAAAGCAGAACCGCTGCATTTCTGAAGACTTTCTCTGTTATGTACCGATTTTTGCTTTTCGATTGTGTCACAAAATTCTATATGTGGTGGTGAAAGGAGTTCTGGAGTGTGCTATCTTCACTGTCTGGTGCACACTGGGGTTGTCTTGCACAGTTTTTCCGATGTGGTTTTACTGCAAATGGCAAATAAATTCTTGAATCTTGAAGGATGTTGCTGGTGAGTTGGTAAACATTTGTCATCCAGCCAACTTCCGATCCGTAGAAGCAAACTTTAAGACTCACAACAGTTCAAATTCAATCAAAACAGTTTTACAATCCAGATTATCGGCCCATGGAAAAATCCAAAACCTAAAGTGAGCCTATAACACAAATTTGGAGTTTACACATGAAACAAATGGCCTTTGTCTGACCCCAACAACATTACAAGTAGTGGGCCTTTTCAACTGTATAATGTCGGCGTTGTTAAACAGGCTACGGTTCTCCTTTCTACAAACCTCATAAACAATTGATCCCCTTGGGGCTTGCACTTGCACAGAATACACCCAATCCCAAAGGAATGTTTCTGGATAAACACAGGCTAATTGCATTTGTTTGAGGCTAAAAGGCAAAACCACACACATATACATTAACTATTCATACAGCTTGCTCTGTTGAGTTCTTCACTGCTAAAGGTGATGAAAAATATGACAAGAATTGCTCAAATTTGGCAACAAAAAGTATCTTTAATTGAGTACTTTTTGACTGCTTTAAAATGATAGTCTGGAACTCTAGATGAATAACAAATGTTAAAAATTGTATTAAACTGACCTCCTGGCCTTAAATGTTGATATAAAATAAGTCAATTTATGAATTCTAACATTACGGGTAATATAAGTCCCGCCTTCCCTTCTCTTAAGTATAGCTCAAAATCCACGATGCCGTCCACTTTAACCAATCAAGAGATGCCAAGGGCCGTCAATCATCGGCGCTGATGCTGGTAGCTGCTCATGCTCAGTTTGCTTTCACAGAGCCTCCAAATCAAGCCTCCATTTGGCTCTGAACCTATATCCATAATCAGGTATATACTGAACCTATATCCATAATCATGTATATACTGAACCTATATCCATAATCATGTATATACTGAACCTATATCCATAATCATGTATATACTGAACCTATATCCATAATAATTTATATACTGAACCTATATCCATAATCAGATTCTCTGCAGATGTTCCTAAAATGTTCAATCAACGTTAATAGCTACTTCTGGGTTTTTGTGCATTCAAATATTATTTTTGTCATGAAAATGTTAACAGATAATGCTGTATATGTATAATGTGTTCTTCGATTAACATTTAAATGTGTTGTTTGATTGTTACGGAAACGTAGGCGTAGACCAATCAGAAAGGAAGGGGGAGGAGCTTGGGTTGTTTTTTTCAAAACATGTACCTCTCTCTCTTTTTCTGACTAACTCCAGACAATCACTTTAAAACAGGATTGGTCAATGGGACAAGCAGAATAATCATGGTTTAAAAAGATACAAGAAATGTCTCCCTTTTAAAATAAAAAATAAGTAACAGATCTTGAAATAAACTAAATTGTTTTGTCCTATTGAAAAATCTTGTTTTTAGATAATTGAGATAAAAATCACTCAATTCAAGCAAATATTAGCTCATATTTCATCATTTTATGCAGTGTTCTTTTTGTGATTTCTGTCAGAACCGCATAGAGAAGCAAAGAGAAGCAAAGAGAAGCAAAGAGAAGCCGATACAGGAGCGTGAGTCATGAGTCACAGATACTGAAGGACATTACAAGCATCGCACGACTGAATGAGCCAACGTCTAAACAAGCCTTGCATATCTCGTTGATGCAAGAGGCGTGTAAAAAAGCAGCACACTAAGCCCATACCCTGTGCGTGTCGAGCTGGCTCTGCACAGCGGGAACGTCGCCCCCTACAGGCGGCTCTTGCTCCAGATGCTGCCTCTTCATCCGCAGCCAGTTGAGGATCTCCTGCAGCGACATGTGCAGCCGCTTCCAAGGGGCCATCTCCGAGTCCAAGTGAGCCCTGGAAGAGTGACCGAGTCTGTTAGAGCTGTGTGCAAAGGAAGCTACATGATTATATACGGTATAAAGCCATTTCAGAATCAGAACCCATGTATTTCTGTTGTAAGTAACAGGAAGTCACAAACTAGGAATTTGCTTTGGCTTTTATGTGAATACTTGGACCTACGATAAGTATATATTTATGTATGCACTTAAATAGGCCATTAATGTTTGATAAAAATAACAAAAACAAGACATGGAAGTACAGTTTGAAAAGAAAATGCTCATAGGGCCACACCCACACCAGAAACCCAGAAACAGAAAAACACACAAATACAAAGGTTCCAGCAAGACAAAAATCAGGAGAAATGTCATTCAATGTGTTTAAAAAAATACCTTTACTGCTATAGTCCCACACCTAGAAAAAATAAATGCTTTTTAAGAGAGTGACCTATGGCCCATCTCTTGATTGGCTTCTTCTACTGGACGTATATCTGCCAAGTGGAGCCAGTCACAAAGTTTTCAAAATTTGATGTATTTTGCCAAATTCAAGCCATTTTTGACCTATTTTTCATCCCTTTTTGCCGCTCTGCCAGTCAGCCTTATAGCACAGAACATATAGCTCAGCGTGCGTCATTACTGCCATTACACATATAGAACCATAACGGTATTGACCTCATGCTAAGAGTCTTGCTGCGGAGTTCGTTCCATCTTTGGCTCATGTTGTTCAGCCTTCTCCTCAACAGCGCTGAGTCCTCGCTGTCTCCTAACGACGCCAGAACCCGCTGTCCGTTCTCATCCAGGGAGTGGTACATCTCCGTGTGTCCATCAATATCGGCCTCCAGGTCCTGCCAAACACACACGAGCAGTAGTTATACAGCCGCATTTATTGTAATAGCCGGATATTTTTCTCGTAGCTTGGTTGGAGTGCTCGGTAATGGGATAGGGATTCTGAAAAGCAGTTTCCAGCGGCTCCAGGAATGGGCCGTAATGCCGAGCTTAATGCGCCGCGAGTGGAACCCTTTGTAAGCGCAAAAATGTCAAAATGTGTGGCTTTTATTTATTTATTTTATCCAGCGAGGTAACGGCAAGGAACTTCAGCACGCCGGCCCAGAACGTTTATTTTTTTTTTCTTTTACTGGAGACGAGCCATTATGGATGCTCTTAACAAAGCGGGAGGGAGAGAGGGGAATTGGACAAAACCTGTGTGGTACAGAAATGGGAGAGGAAGGTTTGGACGTGTGTAAGAATCGCAGCCGTGGTTTTGATGAGGCGGAAATGTCAACTGTGCTCCAGACATCTTGGCGATTTAAATGTCAAACGTCGTACGGAGGTAATTAAAAGGTACAGTATACATGATTACTGCAGTCAAAGCGCTCGGTAGTATTTTCTTAGTTGTAATATTGATGAGAACCTTGTGGTTACCGTAGTGAAGGGAAAATAGAATGGTTTACTTTAACTATCTATGGAGGAAAATTTGTCGTCTGCATTTGACCCATGGAGTAATGCCACTAAAGGCCGGGAGCAGTGTCAGATTTTACTAGTTGTTTACCTATTACCTCATGTACATGTTTTTTGGTGGCAGCAGAAACCAGAAACACGGGGAGAACATGTACCTGACCAGAATATGTTCCCAGGACCACAAAGCGATAACCACTCTGCCACTTTCTCTGCTGCTGTATTGAAGTATTATTGCGGTACACAATTTTATTTTTCTTAGAAACAAGCAAATTATGTGTATCCCTCCAGAATGTATTCTAAACAATGTATTGTATTCTACAACCATGTATTGTAAACAAGCAACAACTTTGACACATATGATACAGCTTCACCCACTGATGACTGCTGTCGTTGTGTCCTTGGGCAAGACACTTAACCCCACTTTGCCCAAAAAGCCCCCACTGAAAGATCAATGCTATTCTCACACTCAGAGCAGCCGTCCTCCTGTGGACTCACCACCTGCAGAGGGTCAGTGAGGGGCTGGTGCTATGAGACTTGGGTGGCATCTCTGATTGCCACCCCCCTCACCCAGAAATGGATTAAAGGGTAGAAAATGGATGGACGGATGGATACAGCTTCACATAGTTTCATATCTTGCAAAAGGACATTTATAAAAAGAAAGATAATTTTATGTCCAGACCTCACCAAATGGTAAGTAATAAAAAAAAAAAAATTATGTTATGCAACACGAGTCAAAGCAAAGAAACCCACAACCGATAGTGGTCAAATAATAAAAAATAGGAAAAAATTTGATATAGAGAAAATTATTATCATGACACGTAACGCTTTTTACAGGTTTTGATTATGATAATTTATACAGCTCTTTTCTGGACACTCAAAGACTCTTCACATGTCATTATTCTTTCACTTCAACCACGGTGGTGATAAACTACTACTGTAGCCACAGCTGCCCTGGGGCACACTGACAGAATTGAGGCAACCAGTACGTGCCATCGGCCCCTCCGACCACCACCAACCATTCACACACACACCAGACTCATTCTAGACAATGGTGGTGAAGTGTCTTGCCTAAGGACACAACAGCAGTTTGGCACTTTACAGCAGCAGCCGCTCCACTTTAGTTTAATCTGAAATAACGCATCAACTTGGAATACTTTTACGACCTTGCAGATTGGACACATGCCAATGGCTTCCAAGCAAACATTGCGAAACGGACGCAATCTACACAAAACGAAATATCTTACTATTTCTGTCAGTCTCTCAATTTTACAAAGCACCCCCGGGACAAAAAAAAAAAAAACAACTTACCTCAAAACGCTCGAATCAATCCAGAGCACTTTAAAACATTGACCATGCAAAGTGCGACTAACCTTTAGCCGCCACAGTTTAATGTCAAGATGCAAAACCTTGAGTTGCGTTAGTGCAAGACTTACACAAACAAGAAACAATGAGAGAAGTAGTGGAAGTGATCAACCTGAACATTGTAGACTCTTCTCCACCACATTATTAGAATAAAACTCCAAAAATCCTCAGAAACGCATCCTCTTTCGCTCGCTGCGTATCGCCCCGCTGGGAAAATGAACTCGGCTGTGCTCTGAATGCATAAATAACCATGAATGCCCTCTGTTAGACTGGAGATCGCGAGATGACCTATGGAAGGGACCAGAGCATTTTACACAACAAGAATATTTCAATACAAAATGCGACAGTGCGAGTAAAACAAACTCTAAAAGCCTTGTTTGTAGAGAATGATGAGTGCACATTTTTATAATTAAACCTTATCTTCACGCCGTATATATTGCCAAAGAGTATTTCTGTGCGCGCTTCTAATTGGACGCAGAAGACTATCTCGGTTTTGCATACAGTACTCTCTTGTTTTGTGCCTTGCAGTGTGGGCGCGGGGGTCACAGCATGCGCCTTCCCCGACAAGCTTTCCCTTTTAACACCCACTGCTTTTTTTTGCGCGAGCTTGCCGAGGAGACGGCGGGGCCAATCAGACGGCCGGATGTTGCCGTGTCAGCATTCCTGTCATACCAGCCCGGGTGGGAAGTCAAATGAGGATGGCGCGATTTTTTTTCCAGACTGGTGGTGTTTTCAGTGGGCTGGGTACTGTATGTGCCTCAGGTGAAAAGTTAGCATGAGTTTATTTGCTAGTAACGGCTACTCCATCCAATAAAGACCAGACGAGGAGCGGAGAAAAAAAGATTAGTAGTCAACATTATGTGGGCTGAATGGAGATTTGGACTGGGATTTCTCACAGTGGCATGGAACATACAGTATAATGCGTTTATTCCATTGGGTGTTTGGATGGCTTAGAACCTTCAGTGGAACCAAACCTAAATATTTTGTACTGTGAACCCCTGTTATATCTGTATTACTGCTAAAACATTGTCTGAAGTAAGTAAGTAAGTAACCCTTATTTATTTAGCCCCTTTCACAGACCAGAGTCACACAGCACTTTACAATTCTGGGCATTTGTCTCTCACTCCACACAGAGATGGGAGTGAGGTTGCCAGACAGGAGGTGCGTGCCGGGCCTGCTATACATGTTTTTAGTGGGGAGAACGTACAAACTCCACTCAGAAAGACCCTGTTCTGACCGGGACTCGAACCCAGGATCTTCTTGCCAGCCACCGTACCGTACCGCCCCTCTGAAGGACTGTAGCTCTTTGTTTTGGCCAGATTGCTACAACTGTATCTGTATCTTCAGCGTGAGTCATGTATTGGCACAAATCCTATGAAAAGCCTCGTCTCCTTTCGTTCGATCCGAAGGGAATCAAAAATAGACCGTTGAACAGGTGCGATCGCCGCTGCCTTGTCTTGAAAAAGGGGAGCATGAATTCAGACAATAAAAAAAAAAAAAACAAGATTCTTTTTGCAACATGGGGAGAATGTACAATACCGACTATTTATCTAAAAAAATGTTATAAAATATCCATGAGCATTTCTATAGTTATTCTCGCGGTATCTCTCTCTATACACAATAAAAGCCAGAACGCGGTCACATGCAGTAAAAGGCCCTGCAGGCTCTGCTCAGGCCACAAAAAGGAAGCTAGCAGAGATGATAGCGCAAAATTGTCCAAGTTCAACGCTGCAGAATCGTCCCCTTATCACAGATTTAAAAACAAGGGGCTGCAACGGTGTTTCGGTTGGACTAAAATACACGTTATCGAAATATATATATACAACTTGTGCATACTTGACAAGGGAAAAAGAAAAAAAATGAGGGTTGTGTCTTCCCGTTGTCCTTGTATGCACTCAGGGACTCACACAGTTTCACATTTATTCCTCTGAACTGTTTAATTCTGCCGTTGTGTACATTTTTTTATCCTTTATTTAACCTTCATTTAACCAGGGAGGTCCCATTGAGATTAAGAACCTCTATTTCACGGAAGCCACTTGTCCAACTTGTCTGAATTATTTTGCAAGTGTGTGAAAGTAATCAAAATCTAAAGTAAAAGTCAATAAATAATGCACCAAATTTAGAAATGAGCGTTTAATCCAGGGATATTCAATTCAATTTGGTCTTCAAAGGGCTGCAGGTTTTCATTCCTCAAGTGAGTTTGTTCTGAGACGAAAAACAATGGGTGGAGTCTGGTGCGCTCCTACTTGATTGGAGTGAAAACCAAACCAAAGCCTTCAAACCAGCACATAGGAAAGTACATTATGGGAAAGAAATTATAGATTGAATAAAGCAGTTGCCAATGCCGCAGGGTCTGAGGACAGTGGTTGATGGTTGAACCTAAGCTTGTCTAATAACATCGAGCAGGAGCTGATGGAAAATCACAAGACATCAGTTGAATGTTTTAGTTTTCTGAAGGCCGAAGCTACTGGCAGTGTGACTTTAAAAACCACTTGTATTTGCAATGGCATTTATAGACATTTAATAACATTGCTCATCTGCCACTAATGGACCAATGGCTTGTGTTTTTCTTTTTTATCATTGCATTTCTTGTGTTTGAACTATTTAATATGCATATCTGTCATGGCAAATTCAACGGTTTTGTAAAGTCCTCTGAGATAACTACTGATGTGATTTAGGGCTATATGTCATGTCATTGTCATCCCCTTAATTTATCAATTTCTAGGTTCTGGTGTAGCCGAGTCTTATCATCGTACAAATTTAATTTCGTACTAAGGTCTGGATTTGCTCCATTGAGCTCCGTTAACAGGTGGGAGGGGTTAACTCCTTTTGCAGATTGAAACAACTGGATCTAAGTTTACCATGAACTCTGTAATGCGCCCGAGTCTTGCTAGCATTTAGCATTTAGCCTAGCCATCTTCTTTGCCGCTAACAGAGCCTGTGGCAAGTAGCTCCACAATCTTTGCCCACAAGTAGATTTGCTAAACATTCCCCTTGCTCTGGCTTCAATTTCTTGATAGAACCAGAACGGATCACTTTACTATCGCGATCTCCACCATTGCCAAACGACAACCAGCAAATTCAGCCCAAACTCTTGACGTCTTGGAGCAGACCCAGACGTACATGTAGGATATTATAACTGGCCGGAGTTATGGATGGCTGAGGTCAGGCTAGGTCTAGGGGGTGGCCATCAGAGCTGCCAGTGGGCTTCAGGCAAAGTGGGGTCAAGTGTCTGGTCCAGAGACACAACGACAGAAGACATCAGTGGGAGAAGGTGATAATGGGTCGTGGGGGGGATCCATATCACGACCATTATGTCCAAAGATCAATCCTTTACCAACTGAGCCACTGACAGAATAAATTGAACTGAATTGCATGCTTTCCATCCATTTTAACTCATTGACTGCCATTGACGTGTTAACACGTCAAACTAAATAGTAACGTTGTCTGCCAATGACGTGTTAACACGTCAATTGCGTTTCCCGCTATTTTTACGTTCCCAGCTGTCCATTGAATCTAATATGTGGAGATTGGCTTGAGGCAATACTTTATGGAGCCAGCAGATGGCAGCATTGCGCTATGAATGGTTTGAACACAGCTAGATGCACTGTTTGTGGCCCTTTTTTCTCAGCTTTCTGGTGATTTCAATAAAACTTCCCTCTACTCAACTGGGGATTACAGAAGAACTAAACAAGATAGAAACAAAAGATTTCAGATAGTCAAAGTACACAATATTCTGTGGGTCTTGAAAAATCAGTAAAAACCACCAGAAACGGCTGGCAATATGGGAGTACCTGTTTTGAAATGGGCTGGCAGTCAATGAGTTAAAAGGAAAAACCAAGAAACGACAATATCCTCAGCTGTCACAGAAAGAGAACGAGGGCTTTCCTTGCTGTAATGACACATCCCGGTTACGGCATACATCACGCCGTCATCACTTGCTCCTACAGAAGATGCTAATTGTTTCTGAATAGGTGTTTGGCCTTGCTCTCCTGTGCGCCGCATCTACTTATGATAATAGATAATAGCTACAGTGATGTCGCAGCCACGCTCCCACCACCGCTCACTCGCATCAGAGCTGACCTCATAACAAGCTGTCATACGCAACGAGATTAAGGGCAGAGGGAGAACAGGGAATGGGATTTTCTGTTTACCTTCCATTGGGACAACAGGTTTCTTGCCACTTCTGGTTGATCCTGAAGTCTTTCCTTGTTCGTGGCATCGAGAAGCACGTTACAAGTGGTCTCCGCCTCCGTCAACCAATTCAGGAACTTCTCCAAATCCAAGTAGAAGTTTTGCAGGGTTTTTAAAGCCGAGGCAAGATCTGCTTCTCGGTCGCCCAAACTAGACAAACAATACGATTTAAAAACAAGACTTAATTTAATTAGACTTAGAGGAAACAATTGAAAGTATATAAATATTATTCTTGATTTTTGAGCAGTAAAAAAATCTATCTTTAGCATTATAAGGAAAGAAGTCTAAAATCTCCAACTTTTGCATGATGAAGACTTAAAGGCACACTGTGTAGTTTTTACTCATATCTAGCGTTGAGATCATATATTGTAATTTACGGTGCTACGCTAGCTTCGTAGGACGTTAGCTTGACAGTGGTCCCCAACTCCCGGTCTAACTCCTTTTTGTCCCTTATCAACCACTGTACATGTATTTCAAGATGGTGCATTGACACGTAGAGTCCTCCAGCCTCATCTACATCTACAGTTCCATTTCTAAGCCAATGACAACAATTCAAAAACATGTTGGAGGAAAAATATTATTACAGTTTTTCTCAGTTGCTTTGGTGCATTTCTCACATCAGACTTAAGGGGCGTTCACACCGGACTTAACTTCGGCGTCAAAAGCGTCAGGTTTCCATTGAAAGTGAATGGTGAAGCGCGTCAGGTGAAGCCGAGAGCCCCGGCGTCACTTGACGCGCGTCAAAAGCTTCAAGAGTCGCGCGTACTACGCGCTCACTTGAAGCTTTTGACGCGCGAAACGCTCGCGTATCACAACAATCCCTTTGACGCCGAAGCTGAGCAAAGCTGAGCTTTTGAAGCTTTGACGCGGGCTTCAACCAATCAGGAGACGAGGAGCAGCAGCAGCAGAGGGTCTGTCTCTGTCATGAAGAGAAGTCATGTATCTGCTGCTGCTGTTTTATTGTCATTATTGTTATTAGTAATATTATTTGTATGAGTAGTAACATTCTGAGTAACAAAAATCATTGTATACATGCTGTGTAGTAAACGTAGTTTATTTAAAATAAGAACAGGCTGACGATGAGTCTGGCTCAGAGCAAGGCAGCTCCGAGCGGGCGAGAGCCGGGGAGAGGCAGGGAGAGGCGAGAGCGAGGCGGGGAGAGGCGAGCGAGAGCCGGCGAGAGGCAGGGAGAGCCGGGGAGAGGCGAGCTCCGGGGTTTGAGAACTCAGACTGGGCGAGTGACATGCGGAAGTACCGCTGAAAGCGAAACTCCTCCGTACGCAGCTCCTGGAGTAAATGACGGAACTCTGCAAACACTGCAGCCTCTCAAGTCTGTGGTGAACCCAGAACATGTTTTGTTGAAGCCCTACAACAACGTTATTTTGCTTTATATAACAAATAAAGGCTCACTGCTCATTGAAAAATCCACCGCTGTCCTGACTACAGACAACAGAGAAGCTCCTCCCACCGGCGTCAGGCGCGTCACTCGCGTCAAAAGCTTCAAGCACCAAAATGACAAAACTATCCCGGCGTCAGTTGAAGCGCGTCAAAAGCTTTTTGAAGCTTTTGGTCTGAACGCGCCTTTACACTTCTCAAAACTATTAGTTCAACCTCCACAACATTGGGTCATTGGTGCACATCATCACGGCAGTTTCTCATTCCTCTGAACACATTTCAAATGCTTTCGTTCATGTATCAATAACTTTCAAACAATTCTCGGCGTTTTTTTAACATTATCATTTGCTTCTGTCCTGTCAGTCAGAATGAAACATACTTATGACTTCTGAATAGTCATTCACTATAAAACTAACTGTTCTCATTTCATTGCTTTGGTCATCACATACAAAATTGTTGAACTAGTTCTCAAAATCATAACTGTCAAGCTAATTTCATACATTCCTTTATCTTTTTTTCCTGTAAATATTTCCTAAATTGAACAATTTATCTCAGGTGAATTTCAGCTTCACTCTGAGGTGTGCTTTATTGTTTATTTTTGTCACAGTTCTACCATAATGATATTTCTGTATGTTTGTTCAATGTACATGTATGTGTCTGCACTTCTACAGCATTGTGCAACAAAAATACAAAGAGCATATGCAGTACACATACATACATACATACACACATACATACATACATACATATATGTCAGTTACGTCTCTAAATACAGTCTTTGTGTAACTTTACTGTAGTTTTTACTGTAAATGAAAACACAGAAAACACAGAGTAAACTTTCACAATGAAAACATGACTAAGTCATTTGACTGTGATGTTCATACTCAATGTTGTTAGGACATATTATTTTGACGACATAGATAGTTTCATTAACGTTTGGACTTGCTTTTGAGGAAAAAACTTTTCATTTTGAGAAAGTGACGCACTTTTGCAGGTTATCCACGAGGTTCTGCAGTTTATACTAATTGTTCTGAGAAATGCACCAACAGTTGTGCAAATGTGAAGAATGATGTGAGAAATGCACCAAATCGACTGAGAAAAACTGTAAAAAGGTCACATTTGGGATTCGTTAAAATGTTTTTTCATTTGGAGCAACTGTAAAAAAATACACAGAGTACCTTTAAGTACAAAAAACCCTCTCTGATCATGGAAATGTTTGAAGAAATGAAAAAGTAATGTGTAATGTGACAGTAGTAGTACAATTAAATGTTTTTTTGTTTTTTCAACAGAGGATTGTGTGATAAAACGTGTGTGTGCTGCGATTATTGGTCCGTACCGTTTGCCGATGTGCGTCCAGGCGGCGTTCATGTCGTCGTTCATCTGCTTCACCAGATGCGTGTCGTCGTTGGCGAAGAGATTGAGGAGCTTGTTGGCCATAGAGTTGGTTTTCTCCACTGGGATCTGCCATTGCTGCATCTCTTTGGCTATCAGCTACAAAACACACATATACAACCATTTCTAGATAGATGGATAGATAGATAGATAGATAGATAGATATAGCTAGCAAGACAGAGATAGATAGATAGATAGATAGATATACTAGATAGATAGATAGATACTAGATAGATAGATAGATAGATAGATAGATAGATAGATAGATAGATAGATAGATATAGATACTAGATAGATAGATAGATAGATAGATAGATAGATAGATAGATAGATAGATAGATAGATAGATACTAGATAGATAGATAGATACTAGATACTAGATAGATAGATAGATAGATCGATAGATAGATAGTAGGAGTGGAAATTGGCAAAAATGTGATGCATATTTTGACCATAATTCAATATGATTGCTATTCTGCGATAAATTGCGATTCACGTCCCTCGTATTATTCAAAGACCTTACACAAATTGAGAAAAATAAGACGGCTCAACTCAAATATCACATTTATTACGGTCTGCACGTGAACTGAGGTGTAAACGACAGAACGAAAGGATCAGGACAAGTTATTATTCTCACAAAACACAGACATACTCAAATCTGAGAAAACACAACACTGAAACAGATATTTATAGAATTAAATATTATAATTCTTCGATCTACTGTATTGATTTAATTGCATGCTCGAGATATCGCAACACTGAACAGAATCTATTTTCCCCACCACTAATAGAAAGACACTTTATTGATCGCCAAAAGCTGCCATAAAAATTGAAGGCAAAACGCAGGCCATATGAAGGAAACAGCCAAAACAATAATAAGTTAAGAAGACATATTAATTAACCTAAGCATTGGCTATAATTACAGACCATCTGTTCTTTTCTGACGCAGTATGCTCAAACATGTTCGGAACAATGGTGTTACATTACGATTTTGTGACAATTTGTTTCACGAAGCGCAAAAACACGGTGATTAATTGATAGTCTATTCCCAGCCTGTTCTTCTTTTTTGCATATTTCGTTAGACGCTTTGCATTAGGCCAGCCTATTTTTAGACTGTGTGGGAGAGACTTGGAAGTTGTGGAGCCACCATCTTGTAAAATAATGAAAGTAGATTTTTATTAAGTTGTGGGCAGACAAAGATTTCCACCCATTCAGAAGCATGTATGGAATCGTAAAGCTTGCCCTCTCATGGTGGAACGAAGAATGTTGCCCCTGTTGGCCTCTGTGGGTATTGCAACATGCTGAATGAGCTAAGTAGCAGTATCTCAATAAAATAGTAACAAGTTATCTATTTATTGACCTTTATTTAACTGAAAAAGAACCCATGGAGATTTCAGAATAGCTTTTTTCAGAGAGAAGGGAGCTAAAATATGTAGTTAGTGCTGGGGAAACCGGAGCACCTGGAGAAAACCTATGCGGACACAGGGAGAACATGCAACCTCCACTCAGAAAGGACAGGGAATATCTGAGTGGAGGAGACATTGCGGTAGGATGGATCCCAGGACCTTAAAAAAGATGATTTACCTGAAGAAGTTAGGATGGTAAATTTTGGATATTCAATAATTGGGAATTAAATGTTATGTAATCAAATAAAACCAAAATGTCCCTCATAAAATCATCAAAACGGACTTCACTGTAGTGGAGGAACACATTTGAGCCTGAGGACTAAAGAGTCTTGTGCTTTGGGCTCAAAAGTGCGCTCCAGTGTTGGATGGAGACGTGCACAGTGCCAGTAGGGGGCGCTGTCTCTTTCCACAGGGCATAAGGATGACTTGGATTATCAATTGTTCAACTGTTAGTTTTAGTCAATATTATGCTTAAATAAACTGTCCTCAGATATATTTAAGTTTCCAATACAGAGTCAATCTTCACTTTTGAAATATCCCTCTATAATTCCTGATAATTCCCATAAGATCCTGGTCATTTCCATAAAATTCCCATAGTAAGTATACATCTCTGCAACTCTACTAACATAACAACTTTGATTGGCTACAGGTGAATGTCATGTCTCTTGTATATTCAGCACACTATGTCCCCTTTAATTAAAATCGACCCCAAAAAAACTGACTTGGAAATACCTTGAGCTCTGCGTTCTGCCTCTTGACGTCGTCCACGGTGTATGTGATGTCCTGCCAGGCCTCCAGGCGGTCCCGGGCCAGCCGGATGACCTGGTCTGCGTCCCGTTTGGAGTCCAGCCAGTCCGCGGAGTCCTGCAGCATGTTGTGGAGCTGCTTCTCCCGGTCCGACACTTTGGTCTGACAGTCGTCCCAGTGCGCCTGCAGCCGGTCCACTGTCACAACACAGACATGCATTCTGGGAGTTTGTGACGATTGTTGGTTTCTGGATGACATCATGAGACTGGCCAGATACTTCAACCTCAACTTTTAGAATATGATGTGATAAAAATCATATATAACTTGCCAACAGGTTGCGTTCATATGAATTTATTTTTATTTTATTTTTTTATATAGCACATTTTTACAGACCAAGGTCATTCAAAGAGTTCAGATATTGTTCCACTCTCTCCACACGGTGATGACGGAAGCAAAAAGCCGAACACACTGAAGCAACAAACCCTCAAACACCATCCATTCACTCAATTACATTCATACCTATTCTACACGTTTACAGCAGTAGGGTAAACTGGAGCACCCGGAGGAAACCTACGCAGACTCTGGGAGAACATGCAAACTCTACTGAGAAAGGCCCTGTTCTGACCGGGATTAGAACCCAGGACCTTCTTACTGAGAAGCAAGAGTCCTGTTTCTGAAATTTCCCCACTGTGGGACGAATAAACAATCTCTTAATCTTAATCTTAATCTATCCATTCTAGCCATATATGGGCGACACAAATATTTAGCATATTTTTTGTTAATCGAGATCTATTTTTCTTCATCCTACTCCGGTTCTTTTTTCATGGGATGTATTACTGTTGTACTTACCATGAGAAAATTGAGCAAAAAATAAAAAAATTCAAAAAATCCCGGCTCAATCCGCATGAAACTAAAACTCTCACAAAGACCTACATCTTTGTCTGTATAAAACAACTATGGGTTAGGGTTATGATGTTGGTCAGTAGAATGGACTTTCAGACATAGGAATTTCCCATAGAGATGTATTGGCCCCTTCCTCCCAACTGAAAAACAATTCTACAACATGAAAGCCACCTATTTACGAACCTAATCTGCCCTGTATTCCTAAATATATCACTCAGATTATTCAAAAAGTTACATTTTCTCATTTCTACACTGTAAACTAAACCAACACGAGGCCAAGTCAGGACAGTTTTGATGTTTTCTCGCCCAAATGATAAATCCTGCCTCCCAAGTTTACATGCATTAGGATTGGACTCCCTGATCCTCACATTAGGCGGCCTGGAGAGCCTTCATACATAAATTACAATGTCATTTATGCAGATTGGAGCCCTGCATGTTTTGACAGGTAAATCACATCAACGTCCCCCTCGTGTAGGCGTACTTAGACACGAGTCAAGTCGCCGTTTGAATCCGCATTTATTTCCCCACAGTGAAGGCGTGATTGAATCCTACAGGCACCCATAGATTAACCAGAATCGGACTTGTCGCTCAGACTCGTTCTTACTGCGCTCGGAGATGGCGTTGCGAGTGTCCTGGTTGCTGGTTTTGTTTTTCAGGTTTTGGGCCGCAGTGACTTGCTTCTCCAACAGGGGGCGGCGCTGGTCTAATTCGTCGAGAGAACCCTGGGAATGAAAAGAAAATGGTGAGAAAAATCTGTAGAGAATCGTCAATAGAACAGTGTTTTATTACGGTAATTGCTGAGTGAAAACAATAAGATCATGTAAAAGTCACAACACTCAGACTACATTTTGGCAACGGTTGTAGATACTTCACAAAACATGAATGGAGGGAAACATGGGAAAAGAACAGAGCAGTCCTTTTTGGTCTTCATTACTTTTTTTTGTAGTTGATGTCTATGTCCTGGACCTAGTAACCATAGTAACACATTACTTCCTTGTTAGTCTTTCTATTAACGGCTGTATTTCAGTTATATTCACCAGTTTTAGCCCTTAGTAAAAGTGAGCAATGGTAAAAAACCTTTAAAAACACTTTCTGAGCTTCCTGTTCTGGAGGTTCTTTATAAATCCAGAGTTTTAAACAAAGCCCTTAGGATTGTCAATGACTCTTCTGGCCACCCTGGGAAAGCCATGTTCCAGCTTCTTCCCTCTGGCAGAAGATATCGTTCTCTGAGATGCAGGACATCTCGACATGCTAACAGCTTCTTCCCACGAGCTGTTATCAGTCTGAACAGAGCACTTTAATGTTCTTGCACCTGTATTGAAACTGTTTAAGTCGAATAGTTTTTCTCAGTGACATTTGTTTACTGTTTTATTTGTTTATTTCTGTCTTTTAATGTTGTGTTATCTCTGTATTTGTCTGTGCACACTGGTGACTTTTGCTAATGTATTCCAATGTGTTTTTTTTTTACTGCAAATGGCAAATAAACTGAGTCTGAATCTGTAAACATTTTATGCATGAATTTCTTTGGGAGCAGTTTCTAGCTCTCAGGTGCATGTGTATTTGGTCTCTGTCACATATTTAAATCAGCACTTTGAGAAAAAGGAAGACCGCTCTGACTCAACCAATCATCTCTCAGCCCAAAGTGTCAACAGTGAAGGGTGAAAATGATAACTAATAAGCTATAGACAGGACAAGATATGGCTCTTTCTGTCTGGACAAGCCAAATGTACCCCATCTTTAAAACGACCAGTGTTTTTGGTCTACACATGTCATTTGAATGAATCTGTCAGAATATTCACCTTGAGAATGCGGATATTTTCACCGATATCGTCCAGATCTCCCACCAACACTTTCTTGTTCTGCACCATGTTGTCCAGCATGGTCAGCCAGTCCGTTAGCTCCGCCCACGACTTGTTAAACTGAGTCAGAGCTGCCGACTCGGCCTGGGCGTTCCCCAACAGGTTCTCATCTGGTTCAAACACACACACATACACACACGTTAGAATACTATATCAACACTTTTTTTTCTACTGTACAGCAAAAAGTGATGACAAAAGCGGCATAATTTGAGCACATTTTGACTGCTTTAACATAAGATTTTCCAATGGGACAAAGCAAAAATATACAGTACAAGTGGCTGCGTGGAGTGAATTCAGTAAGAAGGTTCTGGGTTCAAACAGGGCCTTTCTAAGAAGAGTTTTTTGTTCTCCCCGTCTCTGTGTAAGTTTCCTCCGGGTGCTCCGATTTCCCCTACCGCTAAAAATGTGTACAATAGTTAGTTCAGGGTGAATGAGTGTGTGTTTGTGAGTGCGAATGTGGGACGACGGATGCAAATCACTCCGGAGAGGTGCGTTCATTAACATACTATCCGAACCACAAAAATATAACAAATTGTGTTCTGCCCTGGTATGAAAATATAAAGCAACAAGATGGAAATAAGATGGCTTTGTGCTACTGTCAGAACGTACTCAAATTAAGTTTATAACCACTCATTTGAAGCAGTTCTTACATCATATTGTATCATTTTTTGCAGTGCGGAAATACTTACTTGTTTTCCTCGCTGCCAGAAGGGCCATCCTCTCCTTGTGTTGCCGTAGTAATTCAATTATAATCGTCCAGTCTTCGTTCAGCTTATCAAACTTCACCTGCAACTCGAGACAAAAGGCGTTATTACAGAACGAGCGGTGCTTTTGATGCTTTAACGCCGTAATGTTTGCTGAAACGTGTTAATGAACTGTTTTATGTGGACGGGTGAAGTGTTTGAAGCCAGATGAAAGTACAGATCGGTATTTTTCTTCATTTTTTTTTATCCCCAGAGGACTTCGACAACGCCTGAAAACCTGTTTAGATTTCTGATTGCTGCACAGATGCCATTGAACTGCACGCGCACCTTCAAAGTCCTATAGAATTGATTAGCATATTCTGATAAAAATATTGATTATTTTGTTTGCAGTTTGAAGGCGGTGGGAAGATACTTGCTTTTCCTCTCTGTATTCTTAAAGAAAATCAGGAGAAAGAAAAAAACATAGCTAATTCATTCTCATTTTTTCTGCAGCTTTGTGAGCAATTATTATTTAAACAGCACTAATGGTCAAAAAATGAATTCACGAACAGAAAACCCATGAATAACTGATCATTTCGTTTTTTTATGCAACACTTTTGAGGATTTGTTCCCGCTTTAAAAAACAATATTTTGCCATGAAACTTTTAAACAGTTCTTCACTATACCAATGTAAAAAGTAAAAGTACAATCTTACACATAGGTCATAAGTGTGTGCAAAGTGCAAGTGCTTTCACAGGTTTGTCACCTTGTCCGTGCGGCCAGGAGGAATCTCTCTGTACAGCTGTTCGCCTCGTTCCAAAACATACTCTACTTCCGGCTGACGGGCATCCACTTCCTCACCCAGCTGTGGGCGCAATGACATGACCGGTTTAAGCATTAACTTCAATTCAATTCAATTTGTTTTTGTATGGTCCTAAAACACAACTGTTATCTTGGAGGACTGTACAAAACGCCAACACAGATCAGAGAATAAAACAGTTCAAACACAAGAGATGCAATGATGTAAAAAATACTGGAGGAGACAAGGAGGGAGATATAAGGGAGAGACCATGGCCACTGCATAGCAACCAAAGAGCCAATCAGGAGCAAGGCCGGCTGTGGGGTCTACACAACACGAGTTTGGGGGAAAGAAGGCACCTGATTGGTTCGTTATCTGGGGCAATTTCCGGATTTACAAAAACTAAAAAGAATGTATATATTAAAATGTGTGTATATTAGTCACCCTGCCCCCATAGACCAATGGCTCCTATGTGTTTGTTATTATTGAATTTCCTGTGTGCGAACTATTTGATTCTCTGATCTGTTGTTGAGGAAGCAGCAACTTTGCAAAGTCCTCCGAGATGACCGCTGTTGACTTAGGCCTCTACAAAAAAATAGATGGAATTGAATTAAATCACAAAGAGGTCTTAACTGTTCAATGATAGTGAATCAAACCCATGACCATTCTCCTATATTAGCCTTGATTAAGCTAACACACTAGCTTAGCACTGTCCATTTCTATATATGTTCAAGGTTCAACTTTATTGTCACCTCAGGGAAATTAGGCCTGCCCACAATGCTGTTGGACACAAACATACACCACACTCTCAACATCAGCACAATCGTCAACACAATAATATACTATAAAACAAATACACTACAAACTAATACTCTATAAGACCACAGATATAAACAGTATTACACAATACGCAGCAAAGCACATACAATGACTAAAGTGCTAGTGCGGTGCAGATTAAGAAGTCATATAGACAGTCTGTGGGGGAGAGATGGCGTGATGCCGTTACCCTGGGGGGAGGCTCCTCTGGGCTCTGCTCCAGCCTGCCTCTGGTGCTCGATGCCCAGGCCGACAGATCGTCCACCTGAGCCTGAAGCCTCTCCAGCTCCTTCAGCAGACCCTCGATCTCCAGCTGCCGTTCGGGGAGGGCTTTGGACACCTGAAACACAATTACAGCGCAGGGTTTCGGACAGTGTTGTTGTGTGTCAGCTAGAGCTGCAACTAATGATTATTTTGTAATCGATTAATCTATCGATTATTTTTACGATTAATCGAGTAATCGCTTGGCTGTGAATTGTGTAGAAAAATTACATTTTTTCATCACAAAAAGCTAAAGTGGCAACACTCGAGGACGTGTTGATGGCGTAAACTTAAAGTAAATGTTTGTAACAGGCTCTTTGTGCTAATTCTGCTCTGATTGGATGAGACAGACAGATATTCATGAAATTATAAAAACAAAGTCGGTTTTAATCAAAAATACTACATTTTCATGTCATTTTTGCTCTGTTTGAGTCCGTGTGAACCAGAAAACGATTAATCGATTATTTCAATAATCGATTAGTCATCGATTAATCGATTAGTTGTTTCAGCCCTAGTGTCAACGGTTCCTCTTTTCGCTGCCTCGCTGTTTCGCAGATTTTTTTGGTAAGCTAATTTTGGATGCTTTTATTACAACCTGCTTCTCCACCGACATCATGTAACATATCAATATCAACATAATATAACCACTAGGACAACATGACAGCTAACTTTATTCAACCGTGCTGTGTCATGGCATTTCTATTTGTTTTTTTTTGTAGCACTTAGAGGTTTCCTGGAAATGTAAGGTGCACTATAAATAACATGTATATTATTATTACTATATTGTCCATACATTGTCTACTGTCTGCACTGTTAAATGTCTATTGTGTGTACATATACTCTAGAACATACATAAGAATTCTGATTGTGATTCTTCTGATACAGGCGAGATTTGTGTTGTGCATGACTAGTATTTGCTCCATGTACAGATTCCCCCAGGTGCGTGAGCTTTCAGTAGAAAATTCTAAATAAATGATATATGTTTATGATGGTAAACATGAGTAAATATGCAAAAAGCGTGAGTTAGTACTTTGGAGAAGCACTGTACTGTGTGTAGATGGTATAGACCAGGGGTGTCTAACTCGTTTGGGTTTGGGGTCAAATTTCAAAACATGCTGGTTGGGATCAAAAGAATAAAAGTGTTACATATTTTGTCTTTTGATAAATCAACTGTATCCGAGTGTAGATTTATGATTTTATAAATAACAAGAGATATATTGGAAAAAGGAAAATAAAGAATTCTAACTTCTAATTACATTTTACATTAGTTAACATTTTTCCTGAGACAAGAGTGTTTAATATGAGACACCACAGAGAGAGGGGCCAAAGTATCCCCTTTCCATCAATGCTGCAAGTTACAGTACGGCAATAAGGAAAATTCAAAATGCTTAACCCGGGAGAACCCAACAAACCTTTGCTTTTTTTGAAAATTATGAATCATGCATTAAAGCTGCACTAACTGACTTTGGGATTTTGAAGCCGCAGACTCGCTGGCCTCGCTCTTTCTGCTCCCTCCCCACACCCACGAAGCTATCGCCCCCCACACACACCCACTGTTGGGACGAAGCTAGCGTCTCCCAATATGGATAATACATGGACATGGATTTGCACGTGGATGGCGTGACCATAGAACGATAGAACCGGGAAGCGCGGAGGAACGAGACTTTCTTTTGGGTGGCTGTCTCGCTGTGTAAGCAGTAACCGGTGACGAAGAGACGAAGCTTCAGGTTAGCTCCTCGTCTTGTTGTGCTAACTCAGCCGTCTATGCTAACGGAGACCTGTAGATTTCTCACAAAAGTGGGGGCCAGTGGTCCGCGGTGATTGGTCACAATCTGCGACCCGAAACACATTCTCTTCCTTGTTTCATCAAAACTCGATCTAAAATATAATGTCATGCCAGCACAAATCTGCGCTACTTTTTTGTCAAAAGGACGTATATCCCAATGCCCTACACGGACATGGATAGCATTTTAGTAATGAATACAAAAATAAAGTCAGTTAGTGCAGCTTTAAGTGACTGCTATAAGTCCCCTGAACACCAAAATATCCACTTATTCCATTTTAATCTTTTATTCCCTGATTTAGGATCAGTGCCAAATTTGACCCATTGGGCCTTACCTTAAAGAAACTAAATAACAAACACTGTCAATGCAATCACATTTTAAAATAGTAAAACAAATCAGTCAACCAGAAAAGTCACTTTCCAAATTTGATCCTTTTTTACTTCTTCACTGGCCGTTTCATTGTCTACAAAGTGGATGACAGAGAGTAGAGTGCATCGGTTGCCACTCATTTTGTCTGCCATGGGCCAATAACGAACTTCACTTTCCCAGTACTGACGTTCTCCAGACATTTGAACTAAGCCCATCCTAAGATACATTCCTAGAACTTGTTCCATCTCCTTTACTGAAGTGTCGACACATTAGTATGCGCCAGATTATTTATCAAAGGAAACAAACCGTGTCGAAAGTAAATTAGTGGTGTATCTGTCATGGCATCCTGGTACGACTCGACCATTTGGCCTTGAAAGTTCACATCAGGCAAAACAAATCCTTTCTTTCGCCACTTGTATCTTCTGGTGGCTGGATTTGGCTCCATTTGTGGACTAACAATCTCTGCAAACAGCACATCTTTATAGGGGCCACTGAAAATTGTCTAGCGGGCCCGATTTGGCTCGTGGGCCTGAGTTTGACGCGCCTGGTGCAGACCCTCACCTGAGCCCAGCGGTTGTTGATGAGCCGCACGTCTTTCTGCTTGTCGGCAGGAAGCGCTAGCTGCTTGTTCCGCGCGTTTATGTCCTCCATGGTCGCCCTCTTAGCAGGAAGCTCCTCCACTCGAGCCTAGCGCACAGAAACAAACAGGCAGGCGTTCACATAATGGCTGGATTTAATGAGAGGTAATCATTGCCTGGAGAAGTAGGACACACTCGTCGAGCTAAATTAAATAAGTTCACTCACACACACTAACGAGTAGCAAGCTTTCAAGGATGGATTTCAGGGGGAAACATTACAGCATCTCATTTGAATCCATAATATCCTGTTGATTAAATTAAGCAAGCTGAATTTGATTAAAGCCGTGCTCACAAAGGGGGGTGATGCTCATTGTGTGTAAATACGACATCGTTACATTCTTAACTATCAGTTTAAAACACGTCTGGAGGCGCAGAATTATACGTAAAATCCTCCCTTAATATAGATGAAGTTCATGATGTAGACTGTGTTTCAGTGTTAGGGCAGGTGCCGATACGTGTCAATGGGAAAGACAGTGGTTTGATTCAGATCCGTTTTATTTGCCATTTGCAGTAAAACCCCATTGGAATACACTTACACCAACCTGCCATATTATTCCTATATCGGCAGACTTCTTTCTACTGGCCAACATCATGCATATCTTTTTGAATATTATCACAACTTCTGGCCCATTGGTACTAGATCTAGACATACTGTAGTTGATACGTGCTGACCTTTGACGCTTTTTATAGTTACCAGGACAGATTTTTCAGCTACTCTCCCCCAATCTAGAAAACTATAGGCTCTTAGAATGTTTTGATGTCACATGAAAGCTACCAATTGTTAAATTCAAGATTTGGTTATGGTAATTATCTCTGTAAACACAGCTGGGTGCGCAGAAAATGGGCACAACGTTCTTCTAAAAGAGCTGCCATTACCATGTTCCAAAGTCTCAAAGACCTGTACACTGATGAAAAACAAGTCAAAAATTGCTCAAATTTGGCAATTTAAAAAAATAATTTGAGCACATTTTGACTGCCTTAAAAAAGGAATTGTAAGTGGGACGACTCAAAATGATCTGGTCTCCATTAGAATAGGAAAAAACAACAGTTCTTGACTAAATGGCTCTGTCCCAATGGCAAATCTTGTCAGAATTTACTCAAATTAAGATAAAACCACTCGATTCAAGCAATTATTACCTTATATTTTATAATTTTTAGCAGTGTCAATGTATTTGTAAAGCTTACTGTGTTATGGCAACTCTGTGAAGCCTACATGCTACTTCAGCCAGTATAGGAACTCTCTCTTACACTGATCTTGACTTGCGATTGATTCACACTAGGGTTTAATCCCGGGACACGGTATTCCCGGGAAATCTGATCAAAACTATTTCCCGATTCCCGGGAATGTTATGACGGGAAACGGGAAATGAAAGTTAAAAAAAAAATCCAGTGCGCTCCTATTATAGAGCACGTTTATTGTTGTTCAAAGTTCAAACATATTTCATTTACAATCAACATGTCTACAGCTGAGAGGATGGCTCATAAATTGTGTTTTTGACAGCAAATATGGGTCTTAATCGCGCTAAACCACGGCTTGTAATGAGGCCAGCCTCAAGGTACGGGGCACATGTGAGCCCAGAATTTGGCTACGTCCAATTCTATCAGAAAGCTCCTTTCTTTTTTTCTATCTGCTAAGGGCAGCAACAGGTTTGGCTAACATACATATAACACATTTTAAGACAATATAAAATGCATTTAGGGTAATGTTCTGCTTCCAATGACGATAGGAATGATAAGGAAGAGAGGAGAAGGGTAAGAAGGTTGATATTAGAAATTGGATGCGCCCGAGAGCCGGCTGCAGCGAAAACACAGGAGTTTATGGAGGTGGCACCCGTTTTGTTTTACGCTTTAAAACTCTTTGGGCTTATTTCCAAATGGGGGATTACATATCTGCGCTTTTCCCGGGATTTCCCGGGAAAGGCGTCGTCTTTTCCCGGGATTTAATACGTCTCATTTTCGGGAACAATATTAAACCCTAATTCATACTATGCAGCATTCTCCCCAATTGAAATGAGACACTGAATCAAACTTATTTGATTCAAAATATAAATATTTTTTATATTTATTTTCAAAAACCACTTATTTCTGATCAACCTTAACTCATGAGGAGGCAGCGGCGGTGGTGGTTCTGGCCTGTACCTGCACTTTGCCTAGCGTGTCCCGGATGTGCTGTGGTTCAGGGGGGTCCAGAGGGATGGCCAGCACCCCCTCAGCCTGATCCAGCCAGCCCAGCATCGAGCTCATGTCCTGCTGTAGCTCCGCCGCCGCTGTCCTGGCCTCGGCTGACCTAAAGAACAAAATAACAAAAACGCAAAACCAATCCATCTTACTACATTGACTTCATTTATACAGATGTTTAGCATGAATAACATACTATAAAAGTGCTACGCTGCAAAAAGTGATGAAAATTAGGTTAAAAAATAGCTCAAAGTTAGCCAAAAGTATCTTAATCTGAATATATTATCATTGCCTTACAACAGGATTTACCAACGGGACAAGCTATCCATCCATCCATCCATTTTCTTCCCCTTAATCCATTTCTGGGTCAGGGGGTGGCAGTCAGAGCTGCACCCAGTACACAGAGCACCAGCCCCTCTCTGATCCTCCTGCAGGTGCTGAGTCCACAGGAGCTGAGATCTTTCAGGAGGGGCTTCAGGCAAAATGGGGATAAGTGTCTTGCCCAAGGACACAACGACAGCAGTCATCAGTGGGAGTCGTGAAGTAGGTCTCATGGTGGGCTTGAACCCACAACCTTCAGGCCCAAAGGCCAATGCTCGGGACAAGCTAAATTATCTTTATTTAAAAATATACACAAAATATCTCCCTTGGAATATGAAAAAAAGGGAAAAAAACTTGACATAAGATTAAATGGCTTTGTCCCGTTGGAAAATCTTGTTTTAAAGGAGCTATACCCGTTTCTGCAAGGTTTGACTGTTTAGCACCGCCCCCAACTCGCTCACAGGTTTCTCATTTCCCCTACACTCTCATTCCACGGAGCCATCTAGTTTTATTTGCGATCTGATACATATGCTAACATTAGCATTAGCGCAACTTCTCGTAAGCTGTACAACAATCACTGATGGTACGAAAGCAACGCACTGCTAACACAATATATAACTGAAAGATTACAGCTAGTTTCACGTCAAAATGTGGTCCGAGCGTAGATAGTCCGAGCGTAGATAGTCCGAGCGTAGATAGTCCGAGCGTAGATAGTCCGAGCGTAGATAGTCCGAGCGTAGATAGTCCGAGCGTAGATAGTCCGAGCGTAGATAGTCCGAGCGTAGATAGTCCGAGCGTAGATAGTCCGAGCGTAGATAGTCCGAGCGTAGATAGTCCGAGCGTAGATAGTCCGAGCGTAGATAGTCCGAGGCGGTCCCGCAGGTCTCTCCCACAGACCAGTCTCTCCAGAGGATACGATGTAAGCTAGCTATGTTCAGGGCTTGGTTTCTTCTTTGATCATGTTTTGGCTTTAGTTCCTCTTCTCTTCCTCACTGTTGTGTGGTTTGGGCTGTTTTGCTGTGTCTGCAGTTACAGCCAGAGGAGCTATAGCCACTTATGCTAACATGCTACTGTGTTTAGCAGCGCTGTAGAGGCTAGAGGACGCAGCCTCGTTCTGTGTCTCTAAGTCTCTACTCAGCACTTTTTACGGCCTGAATTCATACACAGCTGAATCAATGAGCTCAAGTTTTCAATTAAAATAACCGATTATAATACAACTTGTATAGCATCTTTAAGACAGTCAGAATGTACTCAAATTAACATAAATACCAATTTGATCACTTTTTGCAGTGTACGGTGTCTACTTGTTTGCATTTTTGTAAGTACTTTAGTTCAAACTTACCTTGCCTGTACATTGCTCGCCCTTACGCTGCGTGATATAGAATAAGTACATAAAACAATTAATAGTAATTATGGTTGGGGGTAGTTCAGTTGAGCATGGAATGGATGGTAAGAGTGGATGGGCAGTGGGCAAGCCGCGTGAAGCACAAGCAAAGTCAGATCAATGATGGATTTCTTCTATCTTTTCAAAGTGCCCGTACATTCGGCTGCACAGATTTTTTTCTTGAGTCCATTAGAAAGAAAGAAAATGGCGGCATATTGCTTCACAGCGTGTATAGTTTGAGAGACGTCTTCTAAATGTCACAAGCGGAAAAGTAAAAATAATAATAATACAGGGTTTTCTCGCAGCGTTCAGAAAGTGTCCATAGTCCTTTGCACATGGAAAAAACATGTGGCATTTTTGAAGCATTTTTGTGATGAGTTATGACAGTTTCAAACTTTAAAAGCACAAAAATGATGCCGTAAAAATTCAGGGTCCTTTTTCTAGTTTTCAAATGCATGTGATTTTGGCTCCTGTCGTATGTTATTTTGTAATGTGCGCATGGATGACATTGACATTTCCCCACTGTGGGATGAATAAACGTTTATCTCATCTTGTCTTATTTTTATACATTTTTCAGATCAATAAAAGCTAAAAAAAAAAGACCACCCACAATTAGCCCAGAGTCACCTACTTCTTCACCTATTTACTTTATTATTAATTATAGTCTTCTTACTATTATTATTCTTATTTGTATGATTATTTTATCAATATATTTTTTGTGTTTACACCTTTTTTCTGTAATTTTTCTTTAACATTCTAATTGTTACCATAAAACTGAAGATTTTTTTGACCAATGGAATTCTCAAGGCAAAAACAATATAGTATAAAGTATAAAAAATGAGCCAAAAAGCTATAGGGAATGAAACATCTCTTAAATATTCTTTGGTTTTTTGATGATTGGACCAAAAAGTTGTATAATTTTCAGCTCCAAACTCCACTCCCTGAGCCTCAAAACATTTTGATACAGAATGTAAGAGTGAAATTAAACTTTGAGTTCTGTGCTGGACATTATGCTGTGTGTTGAATCAGCCTGGCGCAGTTTAGCCTGGAGCATGCACATACATAAAGAAAGTCTGACCCATACACACACACACACACACACACACACACACACACCTCCTCTTGCGGTCGTTCAGCTGCTGGCACACACTGGCCCAGCGGGTGTTGAGAAGCTTGAGCTGTGTGCGGATTCTCTGGCTGTCGTCTGGGGTGCTGCAGGAGCCGATGTCCTCCCCGGCAGAGTTCACCCGGCCCAGCACGGCCTCCTGTGGGGGGATGGCCTCCGTCAAGTCCTGGGGAGAAACACACACACACACACACACACACACATCCGCACAGGAGGGGAGACGGTTAGCCTTCAGTTCATGGAGGTGCTAAAGCCGGGACTGAGGCGTTTGGAGACACATTTAAAAAACTATTTCTCATCCATTTCATATTCTAGATACCAGTGTTCCATTTGGTTTAATGTTTTCACTTTTTAGTCTGTTTTCTATACACACAACAGTATTCCATTTGGTTTAATGTATTCACTTTTATGTTTGTAATTATTTATTCATTTATGTATTCAAGCATCTGCTATAACACATGCAAGATTATAAAGTCGGTCAATTGCCAATACATAAATATATATACACACACTTCCTCCTACTTGTACTCTTTCCACGTATAAGACATTCAATCCCAGAGCTCCATACTGAACTATACATGCCCAAGATCATGTCTGTAAATGTCCCATGAAGCCATCGAGCACCGTTTATCCGTTATAATAAAACCTGTTCTTTCGGTGGGCAGTTTTAAGAGCAAAAACAAAATGCTGCCAGGACCAGTTTTTACTCTGCTGCCGTGAGACCGATGGCCAGTACTCCAACTTAAGCGCTGGTCTACTGCACTTTTTTTTATTTATTATTTTGTATACATGGTTGTATAGTTAAAGTTTGCTCCAACACTACTTGCACAGTGTGTATATGTATAACAATGTATAACAGGATCTAAATGCATAAAAAAGACACTTCTCGAACTAACCCTGCATCAAACTAATTCTGTATTTATTTTGATGTATAATATATGTTTTTATTTTTTTATTTTTTATTGTTCCTTACCTATGCAGAAAGCTCTTTTTATGGACATTTATGGACTTTGGTCAAATGGTAAAAAGTGTCAAGGAGTTGCCCACACACTGTAGGGTCAGTGGGATCAAGCTCGTCTCACTTAAGTGCACATTGTCACCTAACCTAGAGCATTGGCCTTAGAGCCTGAAGGTCATGGGTTCGAGCCCAACGCGTCCGCTGCATGCCTCGAAGTGTATATGTGTGTGCGGGTATTCATCAAACGAAAAAAAGGCCCTTCTTCGTAACCCTGGACGACAGACGTGGAAGAGCCAAGAAATGACTCCGGAGAAAGTCATTTTGTGTGACATCTTGGGCCTTTTTAAAACAAATAATCAAATCCTCCATGACTTTAACCAAGATCTCTTTGTTTTTAGCTTGTATCATTTTGTTTTACTTAAAAAAAAAGTTTAAAAAAAACAGCTCTTGTATGCAAATCATTCCCCTGCATTGTACCAGAACGGCGAACACAGAAAATAATCAATCTCTTGAAAACAGTGCGTCACAATGAGTCCACACGAACAGCCGCGGTCTCTCTGCGGCGCTGTGGGTGTTGGTGGAGGATTAGGACTGGGCGCGGTTCAGGAAGCAGCTTGTGATTTGAGAGGGACAGATGGCCGCGTCCGCACACACACACACGCACACACACAAACACACACACACACACAGGCGTATACTTTGCTCATAAACAAACGGGCGGCGGGAGAGTGGCACTTGGCTGGCGCGCTCTTGTCTGCGCAGGTGGGACACTGAGAGCTGATCAGAGCGGCTCAAAGTGGCCTGGGCATGTCTGATGATGCAAACATATGCGCACACACACACGCCCGGGTTTAGCAACAAGGTGAACAAGGTCCGTCGCCAACACCCCCAAACTCTACTCTGCTTTTACACGGCAAAGAATGATCAAATATGAGGTCATAACCGCTCGAATGGAGTGGTTTTTATCCTCAAACAAGATTTTCCAATGGGACAAAGCCATTTCATCTACATTCCAAGAACTGTTGCTTTGTTTTCTCATTCCAAGAGAGAAATTTCTTGTATCTTTTTAAAGCAAATCTTGTTTGAGGGTTGTCAAAAAGTTCTCAAATTAAGATACAATTAGACAAATTTTCGCTATTTTCGACATGTTTTGCAGTGTAATGGTCTCCTCAGCCTCTTAGTGGATTAGCTTAGAACTTAAATCTACCTCATTGGGGCATGTTTAACACTTGGTTTTACCATCCAACTGCATCTCAGGCATTTTGTAAAAGCCTATAATTAATAAACTAGGGGTTCAAAAACAAAACAAAAACATTATTAGTGCACCTACATATTAAAACATAAAAAATAAGTGAATAATTAAAGCGTAAATAGAGCATGGTATTTTAGCACGTTATTTGGTCTGTTAGGCTACGCTAAAAATGCAAAAATACTGGTATTAGACGGGGCCTATAAAAGGACATGGATTGTCGCGGGGGTGTCAAAACGACTCCTCCCGACAGCCGCCATCTGTGTGCTAAAGCAGCATTAGCGCTCTCCACACTCCACATACGCCGCACGCTGTAAGTAATCTTGTGCTAAAAACACTCGCTGCATGAAACGTAAACTGTTTGGGACAACAGCGACTAAAGAGGAAGTGTTACGCATTCCTTTTGGTCATTTTATGTAAAGGTAAAAGTAAGAGTGCACTTTATTATTAATTCCGGTCGGGGAACCCATCTCGACCGGGAATCTCCAAATGTTGGTATTGGTCAGGAAATAATTATCAATAAATAGTGTCATAGAGTTACATCTGAGAGATAAATCCAGAATTAGACCATAAAAATACATGGAAGTAGAGCTTTTTCATACAAGACTCCATCTGATTGGAATAAGTTACCCACATACATAAGATCCTCAACCTCCTTTGGGTTATTTAAATCCAAAATATCTAGATATCTTACCACTCCATGTTCATGTTTTTTTTTTTCTTTGATTATTATTATTATTATTATCATTATTTTGTAATATCTGGATGTATGTTTTAAGTTGTATAATTCAATCAGCTGCCGTATGTATGGCCTGTATTTGACTATATTGTAAACAGAAATGAAGTATATGTTTTCTGAATGTGTTATTATTGTAGGAGGTGGAGTGGGATCTGAAGGAGCAAACCCGTCCTGCTGTGTGTGTTAAATACTCTGACTGGCCCGGTATGTTTCGTACCGGGCATAATAGTTTTTCAATTGAGAAATGCCAGACCGACCTGCCCGCTGAAATTCCATGGAGGCGGGGCTAAAGGTCGGCTGGAGGCGGGGCTAAACGTTGGCTGGAGCCAGGCTAGAGTTCTTGAGCTTCATTCATTTGATGCTTTTTATCCCATTCTTTTTAACCCAGTCTTCTATGGTATTCAAAGTTCTGGTCTGGGAATTGTTATTGTTGGTTTAAATAAAGATTAAAAACTACAGTGACGAAACCTTCTCAGCGACATGCCTTTGTGCTATATGTGTGTTGTGTTGCCCGTGGACTCAAATAACTCCCCACCCCCATTATTAATTGTTTGTATTGTGCTGTATTATATGTATTGTGTTTGTTTTATGTTCATGGGACCCTCTCGAAAATGAGAGGCTGCATCTCAAAGGGTTTTCCCTAAATAAATCAAAATCAAATCAAATGTAAAAACATCTTCATTCATCTTAGGATTAATGACACAGGTTAAATTAAACTGAAGCTGAACAGGCGACTCCTCAACACCACAACAGTCTGCACGCTAACTACTTTTGGTTATGTAAGTAAGTAAAGTTACATCACATCAGATTGGTCATAGGATTGTTCATCTGATCTTTATGTAACAGACAGTATCCAGGAGCCTTTTGGAGAATATAGGGACAACATGAAGTGCTGACGAGCTCGCTCCAAAGTTGTCTTGCTCTAGGGCACTTCAGCAGCATGAGTGGACCATCAGGATCAAGCATGAATCACACGGACTATATTTGGGACGAGTCATTTTTACATCCCTTTTAAAATACTGAATACATAGCGTCAGGGTTTTATTTTCCCGGCCTATGATAAGAAGATTATTATGGGGCTTTTGAAACACATGAGTGAGCAAAATCCATAGATTCAAAGATAGCTCAGTGGTTAACTATATCCGGCATGGATTGAGGAATCAGGGGAAATTCCTTCATCCCATTATCAGACTGTGAAACTCCTCGTCCAAATTGTAGATAAAAAGCTAGTGTTACTTGAAATGGAGAGCAGAGTGTGTGCGTACCCTGAGGTGTTGTCTGTGAGCTGCCGGATCGCTCTCTGCCAGAGTCAGCGCGCCCTCGGCTTCGCTCAGCCAATCCTCCAGCGCCTTCTGGTCCCCCACAAACTTCTGCCACTTGGAGCTACACTCCTGCCAGCGCCTATGAAAACACAACAGTTAGTCACATTGGGGCAGAGGGAGTGTGTGTGGGGTGGGGGTGGGGGTGGGGGTGGGGGCAAACAAACCCAGCTTTTGTGAATCATCGTGTGGTATCACATTGCAAAACTATTCTGCTGCAGCTAAAATCAGTTTTCAGAATTGATAAGACTCTATAGTATCATTTTAATTAAGCTTTTTTCATAATGCATACAATCAAAACAGCCCCTCCCCCTGGAATAAGCCTCACCAGTAAGATTTTGGCGTCAAACCTAAATTTAAAATGGAAAATGCAAAGCTGGAGATTGAAGTCCAGCAGTTTTGTGCCTTCTTGCTTGTTAATTCTAACCAAACATATACATGCAGAGCTTTATCTTAGGCCGGGCACAGATTTGATAATGTCTTCAGTCATGAGACAAAAACTTGTTGGAAAATCTTGTTTTGTCATATTTGATTCAAGAGAGCAGAGGTTGGTACTCGACACCCTGAATTGGTGAGAATGACAAAAAGCGAAAAGTCTATAAGATCATCAGAACTTAAATCCAGAGAGTCCAAGTTAGAAGTATGTATGAAAAAGCCATCAGAAATGTCCTCAGTCCAAATAAATAAATAAAACAGGGCGTAAGAAGGAGCCGTTTGAGGGTGGTCCTTTGATTTTCACTTTTCTGTCTGAAAAAGTTGATCTAAAGATGTGACAGGGGCGAAAAATACCTGAATGTATTAGTTTGAAAGTTAGGTACCCCAGCTTTAATGTACAGACTGAAGTAAGTAGGAGTTTCTGTTGAGCTTTAGTGATAAGTTTAAGTTTAAAAACAAATACATTAATTCCTGTTCATAGATATATTGTCCATCCATCCATCCATCTTCCCCTTAATCCATTTCTGGGTCGGGGGGGTGGCAGTACCCATAGCACCAGCCCCTCACTGATCCTCCTGCAGGTGCTGAGTCCACAGGAGCTGAGATCTTTCAGTGGGGGCTTCAGACAAAGTGGGGTTAAGTGTCTTGCCCAAGGACACAACGACAGCAGACATCAGTGGGAGTCGTGAAGTAGGTCTCATGGTGGGCTCGAACCCACGACCTTCAGGCTCAAAGACCAATGCTCTACCAACTGAGCCACTGTCGCCCCATAGATAATAGATATATTGTATGTCTTCAATTTCCCAAAAAATCTGAGACAAATACTTGTTCACGACATTTGATACGGAAGATCCAACTCGACTAAAATTATATATTCAAGAAGAGAACATACATACTCCGCTCAGAAAGACCCTGTTCCGACCGGGATTTGAACCCAGGATCTTGTTCTTACCATCAATAAAAGATGCGTGCTCCAAATTCTGCCAGATTCCTAGATTTTACCGAATCTAATCAAATCCACGACTTTCCGAAACCCCGCTTTCTCTAATGTTTGCTCGTGCATGCACTGGGTCTCACTTGAGCCGGTCTTGGTACAGCTTGTTGAGTTTGTCCCAGTTGGTGGCGAGCAGAGCGGACGTCTCTTGGATCCTCTGCGCCTCCATGGGCCTGGCTCCCTGGACCATCTCCTCTCTCCGAGCCAAGGCCCCTTCCACGGGCGCCTGCAGCTTGTCCATGCTCGCCTTCACCTCCTGCTCACAGAGTCCCACATTTACACATCAACAAAAGATTTCATGAAAGATCGAGGGTTTTCCTGTTCACTGGAGAAGGGAGTTGATTTTTTTTAGTTTTTTTAGATTGATTTCAATATTTGGATAGTTATGTGTTTACTATGTAATTTAGAAATGTGTGAATAGAGATTATTATTTATTATTCTGCTGCTATTGATGTTGCCATGTGTGTGTGTGTGTGTGTGTGTATTTTTGTTATTTCTGTAGTTATGTTTTTTGCGACATTGATGAGTATGTACACTGCAAAAAATGGTAAAATATGAGGTAGTAATTGTTTGAATTAGTGGATTTTATCTGAATTTGAGCGCATTCTGTCTGTCTTAAAACCAATTTGCCAAAAGGACAAAGCCATTTAGTCTCATTTCAAGAACTGTGGAATGCATTTTTTTTTCTTTGATTTAAGGGAGACATTTCTTGTATCTTTTTAAAACAAGATTTGCTTTTTCCTATTGGCAAATTGTATTTTAAGGCCGTCAAAATAAGATACATTTATTTTTCTATCACTTTTTGCAGTGTAGACCCCAGGAAGATGAGCTACTGTATATTTCAGTAGCTAATGGGGATCTAAAAACCAACAAACAAACCCAACAATTGTTCATAGTTATATCCTGCACAGACTATATTGTTAGCCTTTAATATTTTGCACACTTCTGTCTTTTTTGCACAATCTGAGTGATTCTATCTATGCCAAATTTCTCCTTATCTTATCTTCTGAGCTCGTAGAGTGAGTGTGCGCGGGTGTGATGGTCTTGCGTTGCGAGGGTAGGCTGACCGAGAGGCAGTGGTCTTGCTGGGGCAGGTTGTAGTACGCCGCGGGCCAGTATTCAGGCGAGTTCAACTTGAAGTCGGTCTCTGACACCAGACGCAACAGTGCCTGCAGCTCTGTCAGATACTCCTGTTGATCCGCACAACAGCAGGCACATGCAAGCAGAGCAGAGGGTCAATACCAGCTGGGAAAAAAGTATTATTAAAGCAGCATCTAACAGACGCTAACAGAGGACTACGCCTGCGACTGAAGCCAGAGGACAGGGCGGGGGCTAGGACTGGACCAGACTGGGACATCCACCTGGGATTTCATTTATAAAGAAGTATTGTGTTGTTGTGTGTGTTTGAATGGCGCGAAAGGGGATTGGATTAAAATATGATTCTAGCTTCAAACCATGCACAGGTTCTCTGCTAATACACTGCAAAAAATAGATCAACAATAAGTCAATAAGCACATTTTGACTGCCTTAAAACAAGATTTGCCAATGTGAAAAAGCAAAAGGATCTTGTTTTGAAAAGTTGCTTTAAGACAGACAGAATGGACTCAAATTAAAATAAAAACACTTGATTTAAGGAATTATTACCTCATTCTTTTTTTATCACTTTTTGCGGTGTAATTGTTTGTATGTCTTGAGCATGTTTGAAATCAATAAACAACTTAAAAATGAATGGAACAACTGAGTGAGTGGTTTGTGGAATACATTTAGATAGACATTGGTAATTGTCTGAAATATCACTGTTTTTTAACCTGTTTTTTCATTTCAGTCTCCATTCAGCCATTCATGTTGTCGAACCTCACCCACTATAGACTTGTTATACCTCATTTTAAAGCTGCAGAATTCACATGTCGTATCATAATCCATGCACATTAATAACTGCAAGACCAGCAGCCATTTAGATCAAATTCACTTTGTCATTCGATCATATAAATGTATTTACTGCATGGAGCGTCCCATATCAATTCTATATTTTTAATCAAATAATAAATAACAATATGATGTTTCAGATTTGGATAATATCAATGAATTTGAATATACTATAAAGAAAGAAAGAAATGACAATAAAAATATATTTCTGATAAATTAGTATTGGCGATATAGAACATTGCTACAAAATGGGCATTTGGAATCAACTCCAAAACATTCAACTCAGTCGTTCCCTTTTATTATGATTAAAGTATTTTCTGTGTCAGTTTTTACTCAGAAATAACTCTAGATCTTTATTTTAGTTCCCTACAATGTAAATGTTTGAAATGAAATCCCAGTCTAATTCAACATTTGTGTGGCAACTATACAGGGGTCTTCTTTCGACTTACTAATAATTCTTAGGACACAATAAAAGCAATATTCATGTGTTCAGCTTCAGTCTGTCCAGGAAAGCACATTATTGACAAAGTGTAGAGCAGCGGATAGTATTTCATATGGACGCTGTGTACTAGTCTTAAACCGACCAATCAGATTCAAGCTCATATTATCAGCTTCATCTAAAAGAAACTAAACATAAATACACTAGGACTCCCAGATTTATCAAAAACAAGCCATTCCTACTTTTTAGTTTCATCTGTAATCACTTTCACTAAAACCATTTAATATACTGTAAGTTGAATAACAGCAAGACGGTTTGCTGAACGGCTAATGCTAACGTCCAAATGCTAACTAATGCAAGCAAGCAGTGTGTCGCTATGGTAACTAGCACTTGCTCTTCTCTGGTGGGAAACCAACCTGCCATACAAAGTCCGTCATCAAGCAACAGAAAACGCCTACATTTGAATTTTTGTGTGGCTAAAAAAATGTCGTAAAATAATAGATAAACTACATATAGATACAGACAAAGCTACAATGTTACAACACTAACTAATCACACTTCCAAAACTAAATTTAGCTCTGGGAATTGTAGTGTTGAGATAGCCTGGCTAACACCAGACGAAATATCACAAGTGGATTCGAGCGCACACAGCAGTCTGGCGTTAGCCAGGCTAGTGTTGAGACATAATTGTATGATAAATATGAATAATCGACTGCGATGAGTCCATATGAGCACAAAAACATTTTTGTCATTTCCAGTATATATTATTCACATTGACATTCATTGCTTATGTTATTATAATGTTATTGCTAATGTGGTTAGCATGTGTGTTATAATTACCCGCCTAACTTTATATACACATACTCCGCTCTGGGTGAAAGAATTAGCAAGGCTCACTGAAGGTCCTCCTAATAAAGCGCTGTAGAAAGTGCACACTCCTGGGCAGAGCGACTTTTCTGCTGTTTATTCACTTGCTGTCAAATTCAATTAGAAAGCCCACATGCTCGACATATTGCCACTTACGCAGCCATAAACAGTATGTGACTCTGGCTGTATAGTGCTGATGATGAGAGCTCCAGCTTCAACCGACGCACGCTTGACACCCCATAATTAACACCGGCTTGCAAATCAAAACAATCCCGGACGGTGGAGCGTGTGGCGGCCATTACTGCGGAAAATAAGATTGAGCTGAGGGGTCACCCGGTCAACGATAACGCTCGGGCGAGACTTGGAAAGCTTTTTGCGTGGCCGTGTCCATTATGGCGCGGCTGGCAGGACTCGAGGGTCTGATTATGACCGAATAAATGGACGGGTGTGTTGGCGCGTTCCATGGACCGAGGAGGTTTCTTTTAATAGATTTGATTTGATGGCAGTTAACAGAGGCTAACGCTCTCATCATGTGACGTTAGGAGTTGATGGAATACACATCTGTGCTGGAGGCTGCGTCGGCTTTCAATGGGGCTCAGAGTGGGACGCGAAAACATGTTTAAGAAAAAAAAAAGTGTTCCCACTGTCAACAATCAAGTCAAATGTGCTTAGTATTCATTAGTTGCCATTACTAAATCATGGCAACTCACTGATGCATTAAAGCTGGGGTGTCTAACTTTCAAATCAGAGATAATTGAGATACAGTAAGTAAAAGTGCCTGGCTCTAGTTGTGGTTCCATTTTTATAATCATGAAAATAAATAAAAACCTCTTTGAATGAGAAGGTGTGTCCAAACTATTGGTCTGTATTGTACATTTTAGCCTCGTTCACATCCTTTGATCAGATTTTTTTTAGACATAACATTTTAAAAGAGAGGACCACTCTTGCTAAGCCAATCAGGTCGCAGCCCAAAGAGTCAAATAGTGACCCACAGTGGTCACTATTGTGAGTGGTACGCGATAACATGTGTTCCCACTGTCAAAAAGCAAATCCAAATGTGCTTAGTATTAGTATTAGTTGCCGTAGTTACCAAATCATGGCAACTCACTGATGTATTAAAGCTGGGGGGCCTAACTTTCAAACCCAATTGAGCTATGGAAAAAAATCTATCAAACTAGTTGTGGTTCTAGTTTAAAAATGTATTTTTTTGGCCTTTGTCACATCTTTGGATCAGTCATTTTTAGACAGAAAGATGAAAAGAGGACCACGCTTGCTAAGCCAATCAGGTTGCAGCAAAAAAAGTCAAATAGTGACCCATAGTGCAAGAGTTACAATGTTTTCTAATAGGATTTTATGATATGATACTTTCTAATATGATGCTATTTCAAGACTCCTTTCCTCAAAACAAACCAAATTAGGTTGGGTACCGCAGCTTGAGCCTAATTCGCTAATTAACAGGATGTAATTGGCAAAAACATGCGCCAATGGTAACTGTTAATAGTCTGTTAATTATACAATGGTCGTTTCCTTACTTTTTTTAGACATAGTGCTAATATCCGATTTTAAATGTAGTTCATTTCTAACGCATTGTTTCATTATATCCTATTGTATTTGGTTTAGGATTTTGATACTTGGATAATTGAGCTTATGCATGTGAACGAACAGTTTCTAGAGCCATTTACTTCATTCAAGCCACATTCTGTTTAATTGACATGACATTATAAGGTTTTATTTTCTGTCTTTCATTTAGATTTGTTTTCCAATTTGATCCAGGCGCTTAAATCTCTCATTCTTTAAGTTCATAATTCACGTTCTTATTCAAGGCTGGACCCAAAGCAGCCGTCTCCATTGAAAGCGTACGCGTGCCCCGTCACAGCCTAGAAGTGTATTTCCTCTGTTAGATAAAAGTACAGTAGGTCACACACGTACTTCTGCAGATATAGGGAACTGTGACGGTGGTTTGTGATTAGTCGAGAGAGAGAGGGCATGCAAGAGACACACAACAACCAATGAGAAAGGGTGAATGCACTGAATACAGGCAGCAGCACAGGGCAATGAGATGCAGCAAATTAAAACAAAAACAATTCTATAATAATAATAATAATTGTGATTTTCATTAAGAGGGACTGTTTGCTGTTTGGCTAACAAGAGGGCTGGAAATGCTTCAACCGTAACCATTTTCTTTCTTTGCGTCTGGGGCTTAAGAATTCATGTCTTTGAATTGTATTTTTAATGATCACTTCCTCATTTATTCATCAAAGACCAGCTTTCTAAGTTTGTAGATAAATATATATTCTGTGGAAGGAATGAAAGATTGTTCCCGTCTGCCTATCCGAACTCAAATCTCAAAACCTTGACCTTCATATTTGAGACCCAATCATTTTTTATACAATTATACTTTACGTGAAGCTTAAAAACCAGTTTCCTCGTACACGTTTTAACTGAAATAATGAAAATACTAAGCTTTAGCTCGGGGCTTTTGGAACAGGGAACAAACTCATAATAACTGGGTATTCCTGTGCAATTTTACATAACCCCTCTAGTTCAGACAAGATAATTACAGTCGTTTTGTAAAGGATAAAACAGTTAAATTTAGAGTTAGGTCATGCTGCACCTTGTTAGTTTATGGTCACACAGAGAGGCCTACGGTGACACTCACACATTGTCTTTTGAAGGGGAGGAACTTGCCCTCCACCTCCACCCAGCGGGTTTTGAGCTGCAGTTGCCGCGGCTCCACCAGATTGGCCGCGCCGCCCTCGCACAGCTGATTGGCTAAGCCCTGCAACTCCTTAAGCTCCTCCTTCTTGGCGTCCAGCTCTGCGCCAATCTCCTATTGAACAAGACCAGACATTGAAGGCGCCGTGGGGTTTGTTGGGCGGATGCACGGCGGCGAGCGCGAGGCAAGAGAGAGCGGGGGGGGGAAAACAAAAACAAAAAAACATGTGTAGAAACGCACACTGCTGTCAAAACTTTATTCACAAAGTTATTTTTATATATATATATTTATGTATATGTGTGTATACAGAGAAAGAAGTGAAAAAAGAAGCATGGACAGACAGGACAAAACATAAAGAAAGGTGGAACAGGTGCGAAATGGCAGGTGAGTCGGAGGCGTCCACTTTAGCGAAATGTCATAGTGATCATCTGCAAAGTGAAAAAAACACATGGAGAGTCAGCGGCAGACAGAAGAGCAGTAGAGGGACAGCTTCACTAAATAACACCAGTATTTGGCTCTAGCAGGATTGGCCACATTGACTAAAGTATTATCAATGGTCACCACCCAAAGCTTCTCCATCCTGGGCGAAAATGAGTTGCCTTAGTTGTAAAAGAAACGGCTGCAAAGAGATAGCTGTGTGTATTTTGCATCTAATGATAGAGCAAGTTTTACTCCGAGAGACGAGAAGTGTAATGTTTTGCACTGAAAAAAACCCCCAGGACTTTTCTGCGTTAAAATCATTCACTAATCAACTTATTTTTAGTATTTTTGTGTGAATATACCAGGTCCAAACTCAGGCCCGGGAGCCAATTGCGGCCCTCGGTGTCATTTCATGCGGCCCTCTGCCTCGCTAACCCAAAGAAGTCATTGAGATCATAAACACAAGTTCACTCTGTCATCCATCCAACTTCAGCTCAGCCAATGTAGACATGTACCTCATTCTAAAGCAAAGAATCATTCGTTTATTTGTACATACTGGACCGACATAGTTTTTGATTAATGGCAGTGTTTCCCACAGGTTTGAAGGCAATGTGTGGTGGTCGTCGGGGGGGGGGGGGGGGGGTGGGGTACAGTGGTACAGTGGTAGAGGACAATCTTGAGGCCATGAATCCAGTGAAATTAGTCGCACACCTTTTTACAGTAATAAGTTACAGTAGATCAAAAGTGACATGTTTTGACAATTTTTAGGCTATTTTGGACCAAAATGGCTGCTTTACTCAATCAATATTTCTACAGTAAAAGTTTCTGGTCTTTGGTACAGTGGCAGAGGGCAATAATAAGGTCATGAGTCAAGTGAAATTAGTCGCACACCTTATTCCAGTAAATAGTTACAATACTTGAAAATTGCACTAGCGGACCAAATTGTGTACTTTATACATGTAAACAATAGAGTGGCTATCCTCCTGAGGACTCACAATCTGCAGGAGGAATCGTAGGGGGGGCTGGTGCTATGTGTGCCGGGTGGCATCTCTATAAGGTTTTAATCACAAAAACGTGTCTCCCTGACCCCAGCGCGCTTTCTGTTCGATAAAAATGGGTGACTCCGAAAGGACGTTCCGCTGTTACCGTAAGTTCTCAACAAAACGCGCACCGTCTTTTCCCCGATGCGGGCCGCATGTTCATAGAGCTGAAAGATGCGGGCCACTTTACCGCGGTAAATTAATAGACACAGCTGCTTACAGCGATGATCGCTGATGGAGACGGAGACACGCGGTGTGCACGAAGGGGAGGGGCTGTGTGTGTGTAGGTCTCTGTATGTGGGAGAGACGCGTAGCTTGAGTGAGAGTTACGAAGGGCCGCCACATTTTAAACCCCCCTCCCCGCTGTCAAATTGACCGCTGCGGCGGCACTAGACGATGCATGTTTTAAATAGCGTAACAAAAAAAATATATATATAATAATACGAAACGCAATTTGTGGCGGGCGGTCTCTAATCTGTGGCGGTGCGCCACAGATTAGTCTATGTGTGGGAAACACTGAATGGTGTCCGTTAATGGTGTTATTGCAACTAGTGAGATAGTTAATGTTTGTCATTCAGCCAACTTCAGCTGTTTTATAGATCATTTTCAAGCTCAGAACAGCCTGATGCTAGTCAAGACAGTTTTTATTTTATTTGTAACATCAGCCCGTGGACTGGTCCGCTGAACTAAAGTGTCCCTCTTGGTAATCTGTTTGGACACCCCTGGTATAAACCTAAATTTTGGTTCAAAAGTTCATTGCGGTTTTCAATAAATACGGGGAAAAACCTCAAAGTGCTAGATCTAACTAGAAATAATAATCGTGACCGTGGCAAAACATTGTGCTATCTTCACCAATTGGTTTTAGCTGGATGCAAATTCTATCAACGCTCCAGCCGCTCCAGCTAATTGGCGGTACTTAGTCGTAACATGATAAAAGAGCTGCACCAGGGCTTCCTCTTAAACTGATTATGAGTCTTCCAATCGTACCTGCCGCTACTTAATTAACCATTTCTCTCTTGACTATGAGCGAAGCCGGACCACTGGAGTGATTAAAAGCCCCGACTAGTGTTACATCTGTTCCAACTATTTGCACAGGTCAATAAGCAGCTGTAATGGGAAATAATACAATCATTACTGTGCCGTTTCAAAACCTGCTTGCTAATGATGTATCGATGTTCGACGCCACGTGGATTAATTAGCGGGGAAGAGACCAAACAAGCTATCATTACTTTTTAAAAAACGCATTGATCCAAGTGCACTGCAAATCGTGATGCAAAACAAGTTTAAATTAAAAAATTGTTAACATTTGGGATATTTCATTTTAATTTTAGCACATTTTGACTGAGTCTTAAAACAAGATTTGCCAAAAGGACAAGCAAAAAATGGATTGTGTTTTCAAAAAGATACAAGAAAAGTTTGATATGGAAGTTTTAGTTTTTTGTCCCATTGGCAAATCTAGTTAAAAGTCAGAATGTACTCAAATCAAGACAAAAAACACCCGATCTAAGGTATTATGTTTTCTTTTTTTTTTCAGTGCAACGCATACTGGAGAGCAAAAGTTAGAGTAAAAGCTAGAATGTCTCTGTGGGAGGTAGAATGGAGAGAGACAAGTTAAAAAATATGATTCTGTGTCTTTCTGGAGGCCTGGATGGGATTACCTTCACCCGCTCTCCCTCAGGCGGGTCGGGCAGCTGCTCCACGCTCCGTTGGATGTCGTCCAGCCAGGCCAGCAGGTCGTGGGACTTCCTGCGGTACTGGTACCACTGCGGGGCGATGGCCAGGGCCTTTCGGTTCCTCAGCAAACGCAAGTCCTGGAAGAATAGCAAAGAAATGGAGGGAAAGGTGAGACACAGGACAAGTCTGTGACATCACTTATCTCATGTTTTCTTGAATGCATTATTTCTTAAACTTTTTTTGTGTTGTAAAATGTACAAACTTTGAAAACCTGTGACCTAAGATCTAATGTTCATAATGACGGGAGAAATACGAAGCTACTACTACTACTACTACTAATGGAACAATATTTGTATATTTAAAGCTGGGGTACCTAACATTACTTTTTGTTTTCATTATTATGGTAATTCAAATTTGTCCCAGAGCTGTTTTCAGAGCAAGGAGCTAGTCAAATTTTATTATATAGTTCACTTTTTTGTGGTTTGAAAGTTAGCTACCCCAGCTAGCTACACGTATGAGTCCATGTTAACAGCTATTTTCTTTTCCCCATATTTTTAATGTATTTGACAAACATTCTCCGCGTCCATTTAAAATCGTATTATTTCCTTTTGCCGAATATCTCAAAACATTATTACAGTATTTGGTCTTGCTTCTGTTCAGTCTTTTGTCAACAGCTGGGGGCAAAACTGTCGATCGTATCCCTAATAATTCTCTCTCTCCAGCGTGCGATCATCTACAGCAGCCCTGGAGGGACATATTCTACTGTCGTGCATAAAAACACTTCTAAATCTGCTAAATCTTTATGTGCTTTATTCTGTGGAAAAAAAAAAATATAGAAAGGGAATAAAACGAACAAGCGCAAGGCCACGGTTTCACCCTGCGTCGCCATGACAACAGGTTTGGTAGTTTTGATTGTGTTACATGGGGTTAATGCAGTTGTTTACAGCTTAAACACAGCCTTCTAAATGATGGGGATCAAATCGGTGTTATTTTAACACTAGAAAACCCGGAGCAGTCGATTTGACAGTTTTTTCGGTCTGAAAGTGTAATTACTCCTCATTTTTTTTGTCTTCATAACTTTCTGTTTCAATATGTATTTTGTTTTTGTTGTAATTGTGTTGAATTATCTCGACCCTAGACTGATCCTCGAGTGGTTCGAAGCAATCTCAAGTTGGAGCGAGTGCTAGTTACCATAGCAACACACTGTTCCTTGTTTTTGATCATGTATTAAAGATAAACAGCATATGAATTACTTACATTTAGTAAAAACAATGACTAAAAACTAAACCTGTTTTTTAGGATTTTTTTTATTTTTTTTTATTAATCCACGAATGTGAATGGAAGCAATCCAAAGTACTGCTCTATGAGTCCTAGAAGTTTCAGAATTCTACAAGCCCTAAAAGTTCATGGGTTGAAAATCATAGTTTATCAATGCACTGCAAAAGAGAAGAAAAACAGGTCCAAAGTTGCTCAAATTTGGCAAGAGCTCTGATGTGTACTATCTTCTGGTGCACACTGGGGTTGTCTTGTACAGTTTTTCCAATGTGGTTTTACTGCAAATGGCAAATAAGCTCTTGTATCTTGTTTTAAAACGTATCTTAATTAGAGTACATTATGACCGTACATTATGACAAAAAAACAAAAAAAATCTCCCTTTGGAATGAGAAAAAAAAAGCTGCAGTTCTTGAATTAAGACTAAATGGCTTGTTCCATTGACCAATCTTTAATATAAAATAAAAAATAAAAAAACACTAGATCCAAGTCATTATTACTTCATATTTTATCATTTTTTGCAATGTGAGAAATCTAAAATATTGGCGTCTTAGCATTGGATTGACGTGTTAGTGTGACGACAGTATGTGACTCTTTTCCTTTATTTGCCCTGATATGAGGAGTTTATTGTACTGAATCTAAAGCAGTTCTACGTGTATTTACCGCCGCCTTTGACCCCGCCTCCTTCGCGCCTGCATAATAGCTTGCAGTTGTTTACCTTGACCGTGTTGTACTTGTTGTTGAGTGCGTTGTGCTTGAGTCGGACTTGTTCCCTCTTGTCTTGATCTGGCGCTCTCTTCTGCAAATTCTCTCCCTTTATCAACAGCTCCTTCACGGCCCCCTCTTCGCAATCCTACAAACACACGCACACACACACACACACACGTACACATACACACATACATATACGCACGCACTCAATGACAGCCTTGATATGATTTCTTTAAAGTTTACGGTGGCGATGTTCTACCTTATCTTCTTGAAAATCCTCCTCTTTCAGATTCTCTCCTTGCTTCACTTCCTCTTCCAATAGTTCCAGCCAAATCTGAGCCTCGCTGTGGTACTGCTCCAGCTCCTTGGGCGAGGCAGCAGTCTGGATCACCCCAAAACCAGACCAGACCGTTAGGAAGAGAGACACTGCCACTTGAAGCATCACAACAACAACAAAAATATATATTAAATGTGCTCTACACAACGTTTTGTGCGTTTATACTGTATTTCTCTAGTGACCCATTGGCCGTGACCTTAATCTTCACTTCATTTTTAACTGTACTTTTTCAACTTTTTCATTGAATCCCATTGTATTGGTTAATTTGAAAGTGCCCTGCATCTGGATGAATTGTATCGGCAGGCTTTGAAAAAACACCCAGCCCTAAGTCTTTTGGTTGTATTTGGTGGCAGTGTCCGGTATGAAATGTGCTATATTTATTATTATTTATTATTACCGGTTTGATATTTTCCCATCTGGGACCGTTACCATGACAATTGGTCCGAACAGCGCGAATCACATTTGATATCTTTCCTCGGACCGTTACCATGACAATCTGTCCGCAGCGCGTATCACACAAAGCCAAGTCGGACATGAATATACTTCACAAATATCTCAAAAGCATTGGTAAAGACACAGACGAGAGTCATATAATAAAACATTTATTAACCTTGCTTGCTCGGTCTGTGCAGAGAAATATCAGACCTTGGCCTTAATGTACAGACCTCGCCACGGCTCGGTCTGTACATTTAGGCCGCGGCCTGATATTTCTCCATACAGACCTCGCGCTCGGTTAATAAGCCGTTATTCTCTTTCTTCTTCTTGGTCTCTAAGGTGATAAAAAACGTGTGCTTACATTTTGTCCTTCTTTTCATTTTGATCCCAAAGCCCAGAGTATTTGCGACTCACTCATTAGTCTTGTCAATCAAGTTACAGCCTGAGCAAGTCCCCCCATTGTGAGGATAAATAGAAAAATGAGAAGATATTTTTTTAAAGTTACGCCTCTCTTTAATATTCAGGTGAATTTGAATATAATAGCCTAGAGCGGAGTCACCAGAAGCACCGGCGAATGTTTGCTAACTAAGCTAATTAGACAGAAACAGTTATGGCCTTGAAACTCGGAGCTCGGATGCAAAATAGTGAGAGATTATAAGATGAAAGCAGAGTGAAATGATAAAGGGGAAATGTAACTTCATTTGAGCATATTTTAACAAGTGTCCAAAAGAAGCGTCATTTAAAGAAGCCGTAAGTAAAAATCAGGCCAAAAGTGGTACTGCAACCTCTCCCCCTCTTCCTGACTCAGGTTGCCAGATTTGCAGACGAATCCAGCTGGGACCATAACAGCTGAATAGACAGGAGATTTGCCAACAACACTATCTATGACTTTTGACATTTTAGAGTCATTTAATGATGACTTGACATGAAAATCTTACATATTGCTACTTTAAGTTTGTATTTTTATCAGTATCATTAAGATTTTCCCAATGGGACAAAGCGAAATTATAGAAAAGAGAGAAGAAATGTCTCCCTTGGAATGCGAAAACAAAGCAACATTTTAAATTAGTCTAAATGGCTGACAAAAACCTTATTTAATACCTCATTTTCTATATTTTTTGCTGTGTGTGTTTTTTTTTTACCAAACCAGTGGCGATCCGATGCGCGATGCCGTCAAATCTCTGGTTCAGATCCCGCACTTTGGGTCCTACTTGTGCCTGGCAGTTCTCTCCCCGTGTGGACATGAGCTCTAGGGCCAGAACTCCCACCTCCTCCATCTTCTCTCTCATCAGCTCCAGCTCGGCCCGCAACACCTGCCCAACACCGGTAAAAAAACAAAAACAAAAAAAACATTTAATCGTGTTTAATGGCCGCTGAATTTAAAAAGTAATCAGCGGCGTACTTGACAACACAGAGAAAGATAAGTGTGCATTAATGAGATTGTCTATTACCACAGGAGGGATCACTATCTGTGTCTGCTATACTTAGACTAAGAGCTCCTGTCTAAGCTAAATATTGGGAAAAATCTGTTGTTTCTTCTTCAATAATTGATTAGTTGGGATAAATCAATGACACAGCTCTACTCCCAAATCAACGTGCTGTGGATTAAAGAGGAGCATAGAAATCAAAATGTCAACTTTCAAATGAATGAAAGAACAGCGTGGAAAGTACCAGCAGTAATGAAAACCGGGAATGGGATGAAATAGTCATTGAGAAGGGGAAAAACAATTCTAAAATGGCTGAAAGCTTCTGATATTGCTTAACGTAGCACTTTGACTTTTTAGTAAAATGTAAGAAGCATAGACTGTGGTGAGAAGAAAGCCCGATTTGGACGAACCTTCAGCATCGCATCGTTTGGACCCTGGCTCTCAATCTCATCCATCTTCTTCTCCGCTCCATCGATCCACAAGTTCACTTCCTCTATCTGTCTGTCCAACTTCTGCATCTGCCGCTGATAATCCTGCAGACAAAAAAAAGCCCACATTTTGAAAGAGTCCTGCTTGAGAACCTGCATTGGAAGTACACGTGTAGTCACCAGGAGCAGGTTGAGCCACTCTTCGGCCCGGGAGGTGACGGCGATCCAGTTGCAGTGCAGCAGGCTGACTTTATCGTCCACCAGGCCCCCATGGCCCCTCAACACGGCTTTAAGGGCCTCAGCCAGCTCCACCACGGCCTGGAGCTGTGGCTGCCTGCGCTCCGTCTCTGCGTGGATAGACTGAGCAGAGAACACAAAGTCACATCGAGTCACATACATAAAATGAATAACGTCAAAAGCAGTGTATAACATATGTATTTGTATGTATTATATGCGTAGTTTTAAATGGGGTGCCAAATATTTAGTTTTTTCAAAATGTGTGAAATTTTGCTCGTAATTGTGTTTTGGCATCCCAATTCAAAAAGTCAATGACACCCATGACTTATTATTTTGCCTGTTGCCGTGGCGATGGCAAAAATCTTGTTGTTTCACTTAAAGATGCAGTCAGTGATTTTTTCCAGATGCATTTTTTTAAATATTGTGGGAAAATGTCCCTAAACCCTAAAAGTAGTCAAGTAATCATGTATTTTCAAATAGTAATGGAATTGACCAGATGCCTATAGTCTACAAAAATTAATAAAACATATTTTGGAGCAGACCGATAAAAATAAACCAATGGGATGTGTTTACCCCCTTCACCCTCTTCCTGTTTCTCGCGAGTGCACCTGAGTTATCGGATTTTCTAAAACCTAAAACGGCTGAACAGAAAATGCCAGTTTCACGTTTTCCGCCCACTCTCCCTGTTGTGACACAGAAAAGAAAAGGCCGGATGTTTGGTTTGGTGGAGAGGTGAGGGGAGGACGGAGTGGTTTCCAGTCGGCGCTACGGCTAAGCTAACAACATTGCTAACTGCATCTTTAAATTTGTGTGTGAAGCATCTAAACTTTTTTAACAGTTATGTGGTGTGCGTGCGGCAGACTCGCATTTTGGGTTGATTCTATGGAGACGCAATATTCAACGGAGACACACACTCACTGATCATAGGCATTTACAATATTAGTGTTTGTCCCGTTAGGGCTGTAGGAAGATGGCCTGTCAGCTCCACCTCCTTTGCCAGATGCAGCAAGGATAATTTTCTCTCTCCTTGATCAGCTTTTTACACATGCCATGGCTTCAAGTGAATTATAAAAGCGCAGCTGAGTTTGGGTTAGCTAAAGTAGGGAGTGAATCAATAACGACTTTGCTATCGAAAATTACTTTTTGTCAACAGTGATTAGATTTGACGAAAAAACAATGCGTGGTCATCTATAGTAAGTCATTTATTGCATGTTCTGGCCTTACCCTGTTGTTCGCACGCCCTGTCTCACTGAATAAGTCACGAAACCACACCGAAATGTTTGTTGTTTAAAGTTCACGTCCCTTCGAATCACCTATCCCGAGCGTTTCCTGTTTCACCGCTGGTTTTAATTACCTGTGCCCATTCGACCTCCGCCTCCAGGTCGCTGGGCATCCCGTCCACCGCCGAACGCCGCGTTAGCTCCGCGTCAGTGACAGCCAGCCACTCGGTCAGACTGTTCAGCTCCTTGCGCAGTTTCCTGGATAACTTCAGACTCTTCTCCAGCTCTAGCTTGCTCTCAGTCACCTAAAGACGCAGCAAATCAGATTCAAATTAATTCTGTTTTGCAATTTGCAGTAAAACCACATTTAAAGCTTGTACCTGTGATCCCAGCTGGTTGTAAAGCAGTTTCAACGCAGTCACCCGGTCGTCCATCTCTTTAGGGTGCTCCGTCTGCTGCTTCTGGACAATCTGTCTCCCGGTTTTAATCACGGTCTCTACTTCCCCTTTTACTTCACTCAGGATTTTGTATAACTTCTGTAAGGCAAAGGAAACAAGTTGTGTTTTTAAGCCAGGAGACACAAAGCATATACATCTGTGGTTGTGTAAGTGTAAAAATGCACTGAATAATAAATCTAAATGTAAAGTTTTCATATGATCAGTGGAATGATACAAAAATGCTTAATCCCCATTTTAACCATTGTTGATGCTGTATTGCCACTTCTAATCCTGGCTGGATGCTGCTATAGCCTCAGTTCAGTGATAGTTCCAGTTTTTCATCTTATAAAAATGTGTGTTTAGTCAATCTAACTATTCATGATAAAATATTGTTTGTCCCAACTTTCTTCATCTCATTTGAAAATGTTTTGCATACTTGACAGAAAAGTCACTGTTTGGGCTCAGAGCTGATTGTCTGTAAAAGCTGTCTAAAAATGAGAGCAATGGCTTTTGAGGAACTCGTTACATGCAGCATCTATGGTCTCGCTACTGCTATTCACCTCAAATCAGATCTGCAGTCGTTTACCCACCATGCATTGCTCCAGCTGAGACTGCACCACGTCCTGCTCCACGCTGCGGAAGTCCAGGACCCCCACCTGCGTCTTGACCCCGGCCAGGACCCGCTCGCACTCGGACAGACGCGCGTCGTAGTCTGCGGGTTTCTGGAAGAGCCGGAACTTGGCCCAGACGTCGCCCAGCATTTTCTATACACACACACACACACACACACACGCACGCACACACACACACACACACACACACAAATGACATAACATAACAATGCAATCATATTGAGAAACGGATTATAATACTACTGAGAAACGGATTATTATTTATTTATTTTTTTCAGTTAAAGTTGGAACTTGAAACCTGAAATCACAATTATTCAATACATAAATTGTTTTTATCAGTGGCTCAGTTGCTAGGCCTGAACCCACGACAAGACCTACTCCACTGACTCTCACTGATGTCTGCTGTTGTGTCCTTGGGCAAGACACTTAGCCCTACTTTGCCTGAATCCCCCGCTGACAGATCAAGGCAGCTCAAACGGACTGCAGCTCAGACTGAGATTGATGAAGGGGAAGAGACTGGATGGATGGATCTTTTATCAAGGGGTCCAGTTAAACAAAAATTCTGTACAACTCAAAGTGAAGTCAAAGTAAAAAGTATTGACTGAGTATTGATTGAAGTATTCCTTAAATCTGGGGTACTTTTCTTACAAACTAGACCCAAGAACAACAGACGCCTTTGTAATAAAGTACAGCTAGTTCCTATAGCTAACAGTTTGGCTTGATCACTTGTTTTCACATGCATTTTGTGGCCTCTCTAAAGCATTCTAATGAGATCACGGCTAATTTTCTCATAAAACATGACTTTTATTAGAGTCGTTTGGTACTTCAGCTTTAAGAGGGTTAACTCAGATCTATGTGGAATCCATCATTGATTGTCATTATTACCTGTGTTGCATCAATCTGCCCCAGCACTCTCTCTTTGTCCTGGTTCTTCTTCCTCATCTCATCCAAAGTGCTCTCATGACCGGTTAATTCAGCTTGGATTTTCTGTAAAGCACAAAAAAAATATCACATGTCAGTCAATCAGCCAGTCCAAAATGTAACGCACCTCCTCCCTCACACCAGCAGATGGGAGTATTGTGCAAGAGGACTTGTCACTTCCCACTGTTTTGCAGTTAAAAGCAGCTTGTAAGGAGCATTCTAATCCAGCCTCATCCTCTGTTCCCACCCAGAGCACCGGTGGTAGAACACGGGTGTAATCTTTCCGCCCGACTGTCCCTAAATCATGCATTTCTCATCCATCTTTGCATTCGTTATCTGTTTGTGCTGGCTTGAAATAAGTGATGAATTGCATTGAGAGACCGTGCCGGCGTCCAAAAGTGGCTATAGAGGCTTAATTAGAACCAGGGAAGGCAGACGCTCTCTCTCTCTCTGTCTCTCTCTCTCTCTCTCTCTGTGGACTTGCTGATGCGAGTGGACACACAAACACAACCTCTCCTGTCACAAGTTGTGCAACATAATTAGATCCAGATGTAGCATTTTTTTTTTGTGTTGGAGCGGAGTGGGGTGATCAATACGAGGTAGAAGTTTGGGGCTGCCTCCGGAGTGCCTGTCGAGTCCGGACAAATGGGGTAATGTTAACACTGCAATTTGAATGAACTGGATGGAGAACTGATGCAAGTTTCATGCGGTGGAAACTGAGGCATTGGCAACTATCAAAATATTTGTCTGGATCTGTCTCTTGCGAGGTGAGTATGTTACCAGGCTGGGAATAAGCAGTCCTTTTCAATTCATAATTTGGGTTACACTTTTTGACAGTGTAAAACCAGGCCAAAACCGGCATTGGTATCGGTTAAAGCTCGGGTACTGAACTCTCACATGTAGTAAAATCCATGTATTACTTACTGTATGTATAGATACACATTTCCCTTAAAGCTGCGGTACCTATCTTACAAACAACAATAAGAACAGAATCCAATATGATGAAGTAAGTTTGGTTTTTTAGATCTGCTTCATTGGACCGAAAATGGAAAAAAGGAGAGGACTGCCCTTACTCAGCCAATCAGCTCTAAGCCCAAAGCATCAAATAGTGACTCAGGCAGCTCTTTCTCACAAGTTTGCAAACAATAACTTAATTCATAGGTTAAGATTGCATGTTGTGGTTTGAGTTGTTTGCAACATTTCACGTTTACAAGACGATTTCTGTTGGAGCAGACGACATAGGTTAGTTATGAGAAAAATTAGGTACCCCAGCTTTAGTAAACAAAGGCCAAAGCGTAGGCCTATGGTTGTTAATGAGAATACCAGTGAGCCATGAAAACTACAGCCTAGAAAAACCTCAAGATGAATGAACAACATTACTTCAGGATACAGGCAGGATACATACTGTACAAATATATGATGTATGCTCTGTAGGTATGGACTAAAAAGCTCGTCTTTCTGGGTTGAAATTGATTAAAGTCATTTTTAGCAACAGTCCCTCATGCTGCTGCACCGTACTGTATCCCATCAAAAGAACTGCTTTTATTTTGAAAGTTAATGAGGTAAAGGAGAAACAATATAGATGACTGAGTGGCTGTCCCAAATCCATTCATTGCTCAGAGCCAAGCCTGGATGCGTCCAGATTGGTAAGCATTTGTTTCTCTCAAATTTAAATGAAGAATGATTGCCAAAATGTGTTCAGGAAATCTGGAGGTTGTTTTTTGTTTTCATTTGAGAATAGTCCAGGCATGGCTAAGTCCTGTACTGCTCAATACAAACTTGTGCTTCTTGTGGGATCTGCTGGGCGTCGATGTGATCAGCGAGGTAAGCGGTCAGGTGGCGGTCGGTGTTGGCCAGAGACTCTTGGATGTCCCTGAGGGCGCGGTCGTTCTCCTGGGCGCTTTTCAGGTTCTCTTCGAGCTCCTTCTTCCTTTGAGCTGCCTGGAAACACACAAAACAGTTGATTCAACACGGAGTCAGCAGTAAAAAAACAAAAAAAAAAAACAGCCAGCGTTTGTTTTGTTTGGTGTTTTCTTTTCAATAATGCATTCAAAGCACATAAAAGAGCAGGGATGATAACGTGGGATTAGCCGCTTTCAAAACATCGAATTGTGAAAATGCAGAGAGCGAACCTGGAGTACCTGCTGTTCGGGGGTTTTTGTGGTCGTAATTGGGACATTAACGAGATAATTTTAGACAAACCACTCTGGGCCGGTGGACTTTTTCCTTATTTACATTAGAAAAACTTAGGTATGGGAAGTTACATTTCATACAAGTTTGTGTAATTAAGCAAGCAACGATAATTCAAAAGAAGTCATGAAAGCTCACATTGCATGCCTATTTTTAAAGTTGAGACATATAGCACTTTTTTTTTAAAGTTTCCCCACTGTGGCTCTAATAATGGCTTAATTCATTCCAGTGTGCTGCACAGAGAAAAGAATGAGACAAATAAATACACAAGCCTTCCAGTTTTTTGTATATAAAAAACAGACAAAAATAAACCTTAAGATGAATGAGTGAAAGAAAAGGAATTATGAAAATAAAATTAAAATAACCAATTTTATACATAGATAAAAATACACATAAACAAACAGTAAACTTTTAGTAGTAGGCAACAAAAGTTATAGATGTTGTTGTTGCATAAATGTCCTCTCTGTGTCCTAATCTATCTCCTACTTTTAGCGCCCTGTGGAACTTCGGTATCGGTGGCTTCTCCCTCATGATAATATCAACGCGGCGACCACACCGTCGTCGAAGGACTTCCCTTTTCCCTCTCGCCCTCCTCCTCTCCTCAGCACGGGGCAGAATCGACCAATCAGATCGCCGTCCGTCTTGCCCGTGGTTACAGGTGAGCACGTTAATCCAATCCAAGCAGATAACAGCTCTAAAATTAGCCCTGAGCCTGTCCTGTCTCACCCGGGGCAAGCGTGAATGTTCCCTGGCAAAAACTCGTGTGTGTGTTTTTTTTATTTAGCCCAGTCACATTGTGTTTGAGAATGTAGTTAAAATATTTACCAAAAAAAAAAAAAAAAAAACCTTGCATTGATATCAGCCTTCCCTGTGGCTACGTATTTCATTTCCGATTGTGGGCTCATACATATTCTCATTAAACACTTGGTATTTTCCTTATTACTCGCTGCTTCACACGACGTGCAGAGATACAGTAGGGAAAGGCTGTTTGTCTATTGTGCCGGACCGCCGCGAGGCAAGCATCGGTTTTTGTTGCAAGACACCCTCAAATTAAAATGGTGAATGAGAGAGGCTTTGATCTGAATTGCGCTTTTTTTAATAAACTTTTCTCCTCCCCGCCTTTTCGCAAGAGCGTGGCGGATAAGCAAGTTTTATCTGCAGACTGGAGCATTGATACAGTGAGATTAAGGGCTGCTGCTGTCTGTCTATGGCCTCAGCTCGGGCCCTGGCATCCTCAACTAGCTCCTTGAGAAAGCCAGATAAGAAGTGACGTGGCAACTGCTCGACTTTCCCTCCCATTTAAAAAAAAATATTAGATAAGAGAGCAATTTATGGGAATACATAATAAACGGAGGATTTATGGCTAACCTTGATTTAAATCACACATGGCGGCGCGCTAGGAAATGTAAAGTGCAAGGGGAAGCAGGCTGTCCATAAAACCCGCCTGATTTTAACCATTTCAACCATTCTTCTGCACTTATGGGCAAAAATTGAAACTAATAGTAAAGGCCAGTATTTGTTATGCTTTGGATCTATACAATGTTAAATGGATGGAAAAAAATCTAAATAAAAAAAAATCATTATATTTCAATATATAATTTTTTTTCCAAGTTTGTGAGAATATAAACAAGACAGAAAACCCTGAATTACTATTTTTATTTTTTAACTCGGAGTAACAGTAATAATTATCTCTCAAAAGCCACATCTACATTTGCCTTATAATAGGTAATTCACTCACAATGTGTCACTTTTCCAAGTCGTACAATTATAATAAGGTTCAATGCATCTATTTTGACTGACAGTTATTACCCCCCCTTCTACTCACGATGATTCCCGTCTTTTCCTCTCCTTTATAATAGCCGACAAACAAACATGGCGCCGAACCCACAGCTTGCAATTTTTCTCGCATATCTCCAACTTCAATCAAAGCCGTAAAAGAAAAAGAAAAAAAAATGCACAACTGGTTTTGTGAATGCAGACGGACGGTGTGAGCGGATAAGAAGTCTGGGAGGTGATAATATTATGAACTAAGTCGGCACGTGCCTAATATGTCACTGCTAATCACTGAGGCGGGATGATGGGAGCCAGACACCAGACAGACAGACAGACAGAGCAGGTCAACCCCAGAAGAGAAAAAAGAAAAAAAACACTTTGAATAGAGCTCATTTAACTCAAAAAGGAAAGAATAAGAACAGCTACTTGACTTTTATGAGAGGGAAAATGGAAAATTCCTTTGTTGGTGGTACAGAACTGTTATCATCGTGAAGGAGTCCAGCTGGAAACGCAGTCACTGTTAAATGTAAAGTCTTTTGAATAGACAGAGCTAATGTAATGCATCTGTTTAGCAATACTTTTTTTAAACAGCTGCTCAAAGGGTTGAGAAATGTAAGTAAGTCAGTGAGAAATCTTTACTATTTATATATTTACGCAGAGATGGGAGCGAGGTCGACGAACAGGAGGCGCATGCCAGACCTATTGCACATGAGTTTAGTGCTAGGGGCAACCTGAGCACCCGGAGGAAACCTACACAGACACGGGGAGAACATGTAAACTCCACTCAGAAAGGCCTTCTTGCTGAGAAGCGAGAGCGAAATGTGAATGTTTTCATGTGGGATAAAACACATGACTTTCAGAAGGTGTCGGCAATTTGGCAAACTACATTAAAAATATATGGTCTTTTACACACTTTTGGGAAGTTCCACTGTTGCCGAACACAGTAAAGAACAATGAAAATATAAAAGGCACTCAAAACAAGATGAAATGAATAGTGATTTAGACATATACATATAAGACATATAAGACCTCAAATTCTCAAAATTCGTCTTTTCTTAAATTCTCAGGCAGAAGTGTAAAGCTATCAATCATACAATCACTAGGGAATGCACACGCCACTGTCATTGGGTCAATCCACTTGTCACGCTGAGATTTACAAACTCTGCCCAATTAAAATAGATGAAAGCTTTGAGTGGCAAAGAACAGAAACGAGAGAATCATGATGGGAATTCACAAAGAAAATCCATTTGTTTACAAAAGGATGACTCCATCAGATGCCTTCATTCGCAGGGTTACCTTCCAGCTCGCCATGGCAACCATCTTAGCAACACACAACCACATTACAGTATGAAGTAAACCCTGTCGGAATAAATGCCCATATAAGGCATTTGGCAAACACAAACTCTGCCTTTTCTTATATGCTCTCTTCTTATCTAAAGTCTATGGTCCAAACAAATGCGTTTCAAATATAAACATGGCCTTTCCCTGTGCTCTTAAACACATCTGCTGGCCTTGTCTTAGTAGGATCCATAGAGAGAGTAGAAATGGCTTGATCCTGTTTCACCAAATGAACAGGAATTTCAGGTTTTCATAAGTCTTGCTCAATGAAATCGGACTGGACAAGGGATCCGTTTTTCACTAGTCCTTTGCAAAGTCCTCGACGTCACACTTTCATTTTCTTACAGCAAAACCAAACTGCTTTACATAAAAACTCTCTCTATGAAACTCTCACCCTGGCCATGAGCTCGTCCCATCTGATGTTGAAGGCCTCGAGTTTCTGCTGGATCAGCTCATCCAGGACCCCTCCGTCCATCAGGGTCTGAGCCAGCTCCCGGATCTGGTTCCTGTTGTCCTCTGGGTGCTGCAGCAGAACCTCCAGACCCTAGCAACACAACACAGCACAACCCAACACAATATCAGGTCACAACTTTCTTTCATATTGATAATAAACGTGTTTCTCAATGCGCCAACCCTCGTCAGACATAACTCATACAATGTCTATCAAGAATCAATTATGCAAAATTATCATTGACATTTTTTGAGCTTTTGAAATGAGTTTGCACTAAAAGGCCTGAATGGTTGTTCTCTTGATAAAAGTTAGTGAAGTAGCCTGAATGTTGAGTGGAGGGCACATAAAAGCAGAGATAAATCAATTAGCACTTAGCCCTCGCCGCTGCCCATGCTCTTAAAACATGTATATTTTATCAGTGAGTGGGAAGATATTAGCATTTTTACCGGAGATGGGTTGGAATATCAAAACACTGTCTATATTTTTGGCGTGAAACTTTTGACGTTTGGGAAAATGGTTTGGCTTTGTGTATGTTTCAGGTTCTTCAGCTTGAGAATTGTACAGTATGCATTTTCAGTCTAATGCGAAATGTAGTTGTGAGAATATTTCCGCTTGTCTGTCTCCATTTGTCAGGTGGGGGCTCCGTTCGTTTTTCCATTGTTCTCCGAATGTACTTTAACATGAGAGGAAACACTTCTCATTTTCCCTCAAAGGATTGTGTAAAGAAGCAAACACAAAAGCATAGCCTTTTTTTCACACGCATATCGTATTTCCAGTCTAGACAATAAGAAAATAGTATGTGTGATTTTGCCTGTGTGTCAGAAATACCAAAAAAGCATTATCAATACTCAATAGTATCTTATAGGCAGTTGTTATAATGGTAATTTGCATGTATTATTTATGTGACATCACACTATATATAGAGTAGGGGGTTCACAAATATGGGACCAAACCATATTTAATACCATAATTAGCATCGACAAGTCCTAAGACCTGCCTATTCTTTTGAGTAATTCTATTTTATTATGCAGTCTCTGGCACTAGAAGCACAGGTGGGTGAGTGCTGGATTTGGTTAATACTGAAAAAAGATGGTTCGAGGTCCGCCAGCTGCCTGTTGTCTGGAGATGTTATGAGTAAAAGAATAGTTTGTTGTCTTTGTGGGGAAGTTTGTCGTCTGACTTTGACCTGTCCTGCTCTGCACCTCGGGCCCCTGTCAGGAGCATTGGTCAGGTCTGTCAGGAGCAGAGTTGAGGCTCAGATACGTCAGAACGATCTTTCTTGTGGTACATGTTTTGGGTGCAAACATGCAAACCCCACAGAGAAAAGCCTGAGCGTTACCCACTCTGCCGCCTCTAAACCTCTGGACAATATAATATGTACTGTCTGTGTTTCTCAAGCAGGGGTTGGCAATTGTTTTCTTCAGGGGGCCACATTGGGATAGGGTTGTATCGTGAAGGACCGAAGGAAGGAAGGATATTTATAATGCAAAACAAACATAAATCCAGTGTTTTATTTGTGTTTCTGGAGAGCAGATTACTACTAATAAAAAAGTGGGTAGAAAAAGAATAAATGTATCATATGCAACCTATAAGTATTAACTAGGTAAAATCTAGCCTGGCCTTATCAATCCGTACACTCCACTCAATCATCATTTCTATGCATGTAACGTCTGGGTCTGGTCTCTGTGTTCGCGATTACAATCGGTTGAATTCCATCCGACCAATCAGAGAGCGCAGGAGGCGGGTGTTATAGTTAGTTGTGGGTGACGTCAAGAGTTTGCACCGAACGGGCAGGTAGTAGTTTGGCAATGGCAAAGAATGTTATAGTAAAGTAATCCGGTCTGGTTCTATCTAGAAATTGAAGCCGGTGCAAGAGGAATGTTTAGCAAATGTAATTGCTGGAAAATGATGGCTAGGCTAAATGCTAAATGCTAATGACTCACTCGGGCGCGTTACATACGTCACGGTAAACTCGGATCCAATCGTTTCAATCTGCAAAAGGCGTTAACCCCTCCCACCTGTTAAAAGAGTCAATGGAGCGCCTCCAGACCTTAAAGCTGCACTAACTGACTTTATTTTTGTATTCATTACGAAAATGCTATCCATGTCCATGTAGTGCATTGGGATATACATCATTTTGAAGAAAAAGTAGCGCAGATTTGTGCTGGCGTGACATTATATTTTAGATCGAGTTTTGATGAAACAAGGAAGAGAATGTGTTTCGGGTCGCGGATTGTGACCAATAGCAGCGCACCACTAGCCCCCACTTTTGTGAGAAATCTACAGGTCCGTTAGCATAGACGGCTGAGTTAGCACAACAAGCCGAGGAGCTAACCTGAAACTTTGTGTGTCTTCGTCACCGGTTACTGCTTACACAGCGAGACAGCCATCCAAAAGAAAGTCCCGTTCCTCCGCGCTTCCCGGTTCTATCGTTCTATGGTCACGCCATCCACGTACAAATCCATATTCGTGTATTATCCATATTGGGAGACACTAGCTCCGTCCCAACACTGTGTGTGTGTGTGGGGGGCGATAGCTTCGTGGGTGCGGGGAGGGGAGCAGAAAGAGAGAGGCCAGCGAGTCCGCGGCTTCAAAATCCCTAAGTCAGTTAGTGCAGCTTTAATATAAAATGTAATTTGTACTATGGTGTGGTACGACCAGGCTAGATAAAATCCTCCAGCTATGGGAATCCTGACCAAGCTGAGCATCAACACCTGGAGATGGGTCCCCGGGTGCTGTTACTACGGCGACCACTGCTCCTGACGGAAGCCTTATCGGCCTCAGGATGGGTCAAATGCACAAGATGAATTGCGCTACGGGGATTGATGAAGTGCATTTACCTTTACCTTTACCTCTATTAACAAAGTCCAGTGCATCATGAATAGAAACCAAACAGAAACACAAACAACAAATCTTAATACTTTAAATTAACATTCACAAAACACAATCTCCCACTCTTTTCTCTTTGATATGTTTGAGATGGTCTTCATTCTCACCTCCAGTGCTTCCTGCAGCTCTTCGGGCCTGCCCTCCAGGCTTTCGGTTTCATCCAATTTCTGCTCCAACTGGTCCAGAAAGAGGTTCTCCTGCTCCAAGTACGCCAGCAGCTCGCACCAGCACGCCCACACTTCCTGCAGCACATCACAACACACTCCAAACATTACTCTTTGGGAGACACACAATTCCACTGGCGCGGCGCGAGTCTTGCCATATATTTTGCCGTTTCTGGATGGCATCGTCGCCGCCACATCTGTTCGCCGCCATGATGTTTAATGAGTTTACTTTTTTTCTTTTTGGGAGCAAACTTGCAACAGTTGCTTTGTCGCAGCCGAAACAATTTGATTAATTTAGCAAGCATATGAAACTTGTACGATTATCCTCCCAGCGACTTAGCATTGAGGTACGCTGCAAAAAATCTGGGGAGGAGAGGCGAGTGCACAGCCTGCTCCAGCCGAGACAGGACCGCTCTCTCCCGGGGAAAATCCAGCTCAGCATGGCGCCACTGAGAGACCCAGAGTCAGGTGAGAGACCCAGACCCAGACCCAGGTGAGAGATGGAGACCCAGAGCCAGGTGAGAGACCCAGACCCAGACCCAGGTGAGAGATGGAGACCCAGAGCCAGGTGAGAGACCCAGACCCAGAGCCAGGTGAGAGATGGAGACCCAGAGTCAGGTGAGAGACTGAGACCCAGACCCAGGTGAGAGATGGAGACCCAGAGCCAGGTGAGAGACCGAGACCCAGGTGAGAGACGCGTCTAAAAATTTTAAAATTTGGCAAAATGTATCTTAATTTGAGCACAGATTAAATGGCTTTGTCTCAATGGTAAATCTTGTTTTGAGACAGTCAGAATGTATTTAAACTAACACTCAATTCAAACCATTATTACTACATATCTTTTCATTTTTTGCTGTCTACCAAGGACACTACTTTCCATAAATGCGTTTGACCGATGGCATTTGGTGACCCGCGTAAACTATTCCCGTCTTTAGCGTATAGAAAGCAGATGAAGGCGATTCCATTCGGCATTGATGTACTGTATGAACGGCACATCCTTGGCCTTGACACGGTAAGATAGAAACGCGTTGCAGGGTCCTCCCCGTTTGCCATTTGGAGCCAAGGTTAGCCTTATTAAAATGTCCCGATCACAAAAACGATTGGGCTCAGATGTCAACAGCCTTATGTCCGAGCGCTGAATGCGTAATGGGGGTAGAAGCCGTTTTGTTGAGTTGATATGACAGTGTTCTGGGATTATTTATGTCGCTAGGTTACATTTTGAATAAAACATTTTTATAGTATTGAAAGCAGTTCTATAATGTTCTATACACACTGCAAAAAATGGTAAAATATGAGGTAATATGGGCCAATGGGACAAAACCATTTAGTCTGATTTCAAGAACGGTTGCTTTATTTTCTCATTCCAAGGGAGAACAAGAGAAACAAGATCATTTTGCTTTCTCCCATTGGCAAATCGTGTTGTTAGGCAGTCAAAATGTGCTCAAATTAAGATACATTTGGCCAACTTTTAGCAATTTTTTTGACTTATATTTCAACCATAGACTGTTTATATTACCGGACATAGTTACACCTATCTCCGCCGTTCTAACTAATGGGCAAAAAAATGGGGCTTTCATGGAGTGATTCAAAATGGCTGCGGGGGCTGGAAAATGTGAAAAAACACATCTGCGCATGCGTCAGTCGGCACGAGCCCCATTCATTTAAACGAGTGACTTCAAAAATTCACAATGACTAAACTAGACTGGTCCAAAACACTCCCCTCAGCATTGACACACATGTGGAACGGAGCTTTGGGCCAAGAGACAACTTTTGGTCCATCCTGTAAAGACGTCTTTGAGAGGTCTGTCAACGCTATATGTTAGCATTGGCTAATTCTTATTCCGGGTCCACCCCCACAGGCCCGGGGTGGTATTGCAGCATGTCAGCGCACGTCATTTTGGCCACTTTTGAGCCGGGATCCGCCCCCATTGATTTCAACCCTACAGTGTGATCTGTAAAGAAGCATAGACCTGATGTAGGGAGGCCATGTACGCACAAAAACACTATTTCACTACATTTGCCACATAAATGAATATAGAGACATTATTGCATATTTTCCCATATTTGTTTCATTACTTTTGTGATAGTGACTGAATAGATTTGAAACTGTGGAAATGAGAATATATCGTTTGTTTGTTTATTCATTTATTTGTCCATGTCATCACATCACATACATTATATATATTAACTTAAGACGGAACAGAAGGAAGAGCCTAAATTGTATGTATCCTGTCCCTCGTTTTGTCTGTTTGCAAATGTCTGTTTTACTGATGTATGTAAAAATAAGTATTGTGCGGGTTCGAAATAAACAAATGAATACATATTGCTACTTGAAAACAGCAAAAGGATTGACATATCTCTTGACAAATGCTGAGTCTGTCATGTAAAAGTTTCACAGTGAATGGACTTTTGGAGAATATTCAAATTTCCAGAGTTTGGAAATGCAGTATTTAGAATCCTAAAGCTTTTAGCAATCAGCACATAAACGCTGCTCCTGCTCTCTCCCTGAGACCGCCGAGTAGTTCAACCGAAGAATTAGACTTTTTCAAAAGGTGCTCTACCACTTTAACTTCTCTCTACATAAGAAAGGTTAAATTTAGCCTCTCCTTCTTTGCTTCAACATAACCAGCGCGTCTAAACGACATTACCCAGTAACTATACACGACTGCTTTATGCAAATTGTAGAAATTGCAATTTACGGGGGAACTTTGCTTCATTTGACTTCCACACGTGCAATTTCATATGAAAAAGCGTTAATCTAATAAGCAAAACAGGAAATGAATACCTGCAGCTTTGAAGCTTTAGTGGACAGGAATTGTGTGAGGGGGAAAAAAATCATTTATATAAACGGATATTGGAAAAAAAAGTATTTGGAAATTCAGAAGAGGGTTTTGCTGTTAATAACTATATTTTCTATTCACAATACAATAGTTTTAATCAATATACATCCTCATGCTTGAATATGCCTGTTATGTTAAGAACGTGAGAGTAATGGACGCCATCTTTCGTGCCTGTGAAGCATTTTGGGAGTTGGTGTTGTTGTAAATGTGCCATACAAATAAATCTGGCATTGATATTAACATAAAAAGCACAAGAAAAGGAGGAAGGGAAGAGTAGCTGTGGTTCAATACCTCGAGCGTCTTGCACTTGCCGTCCAGGCGGCTGCAGAGGCGCTGGTAGTTGGCCACGAGTACGTCCAGCTCCGAGCGCAATGCATCGTGGGCCGTGGGCGGAGCTTTAGCGATGAAGCTGTTCACGCTGTCGGTCAACAACTTCACCTTGATCTCTTTGGAGTGCACCTCCTCCTGGCCTTTCTGTCAAACACACACAAGATTCGAGATTCAAGAATGTATTTGCCATTTGCAGTAAAACCACATTGGAATAACTGTGCAAGAGTACCCCAGTGTGCACCAGATCTTGCCACGGTGCCATTTTACCAGCGCAATGCTAACAACAACATTTAGAGATGATCCTTTTTTAGTTTTCTTTTATGAATCAACTCTGCTTTCCGTTTTAAACACAGTAAAACGGCTAAACTAAATTTAGCTTGAGTTCGTCCAATACCTTTCAGTGTCTATAATACTAAACATAGGCCTGTTCAAATTGTGAAGATGGGAGGGACGTTTTTCGGATGCAAACAGCAGTTGGACTTCCTGGTTGGACACAACGAATTTGAATCCTTTGTAGTCAGCTGAGTGTCCCATAGCAAAACAAAATGAACCCAACACGCAGAACTCCAAAAATGAAGAATTTAATTGAATCGAAAAATGACGCTAAAGTTACATAACAGGGCTCGAGGACAAGAACTAAAACTGACGTGGGATGGCGGGAACTAAAAATGACGAACAGGGAGTGAAGGAATACACAGGTGATACACATGAGGGCGGGGCAAGTAATCAGGAAACAGGAAGTAACAGGGTTGACACATTACAAAATAAAACAGGTAAAAACTGAAGCCCATTACATTATCTCCTCCAGCATATATTACTAACGGCTTATTAAACGAGCGTGAGGTCTGTACAGAGAAATATCAGACCGCAGCCATTCTCTTCTTGACTGTTAGGGAAAGATGTCAAATTTGATACGAGCTGCGGACCAATTGTCATGGTAACGGCCCGAGATGGGAAAATATCCGACAGCAAATCAACCAATCAGAGCGCACGAACAATCCAAGTCATCTAATAATGATGCGTATTCCATGGGGAGGAATGGTCAAAAATTTGTATTATACATTTTATTGTGGCTCCACCTGCATGTGGAAGCCAGATCACGTCAGACCCCTGAAGCTAAGCAGGAGAGGACTTCATTAATACTATGATGGGAGACCTCTGGGAACACCAAGGACCAAAGTGCGACGGCTGCGACTGTACGTCCCAAACTGTTGTTGTGTCCTCAGGCAAGACACTTCACCCACATTGTCTAGAATGAGTCTGGTGTACGTGTGAATGGTTGGTGGTCGTCAGAGGGGACTATGGCATAGACTGATGGCCTTGCCCCTGTCAATGCGCCCCAGGGCAGCTGTGGCTTTAGTAGTAGTTTATCACCACTGTGTACAATGAATAATCGCATCTTTGAGTGTCCAAAAAAGAAATATATAAAACAGATGCATTATTATCATTACTATATAAGGAGAGGAAATACAATTGAAGTTACAGACATTATCTATAACATATTTGTATATAAGAATTAACAAACTAGATTTGCAATAGAAGCACCCAGCAAAGCCAATCTCTTTCAAATAGGCCGTTAGATAATAACATCCTTTCAAACTCCCAAGTAAACCATGGACAGGTTTGAGAAACATTGTGTGGCTGAATAAAACCGCATTCTTTAATTACAACAAAACCATCTCTGTCGGACGAATATGAATACCCACAAAGGGGAGCGACAATAAGAGGCCTAATGGGCTGAAGGAACAATTGAATCAATGTGTTGACAGAGCCCAGCGTGCGTGAAAAGACGGCGGACGCAGGACAAGCAGCACATCGAGGGATTAGGACGGGAAGCGATTGGTGGAAATTTGTTTTCTTTGAGCTGGCTACATGAAGGGGTGAAGCCACAGACCAAAACAAGGGGAAAAGGAGATTAGCCAGAGTGGGAGACGCAAAATCAATGTTTAATTTTCAACTTTGGTCTTGGGTAAACTTTTGCAGGGGCGGCCGGAGAGGGAATGGATTTATGACAAAACAAACACAGCTTGTGTATAGGCGACGCTGGAACTCAGACAGGAAAAGTACGTAGACGTTATTAAATGTGTATAAGACTCCGCCAATTTGCCGTGACCCGACTAGCCCGACTAGACTTTGAGAAACCGGACTGCGCCTCTGCGATCTTGTCTCTGAGCATTAAAATTTAAAATAAAGCAAAACAAACACAAGGATAATTAAAATTGAACGTACTGTATGTGATAGACAATGGGCCGTGGCAACACCAACCCAATTCTCAGATGAAGAAAGGAAAAAAGTAATCTCCAAAGTGTGTGTGTGTGTGTGTGTGTGCGTGTGTGGGTGAGGCGAAAAGAAAGTCAAGGCGACCTGACTGCAGCTGTGTTGGGCTATTGTTGCGCTAGAGACAGAAATTTATAACGCAGAAGGGAATGGGGCCTCTTCTGACATGGCTTTTGTGATGGGAGGTGAGCAAAAGTCAGCTTTTCACACAAACATAATCCAGCGCACATTGATACACACAAAAGAAGCAAACAAAAAATGCGTTCTCTCAGGTAATGCGACAGCTGCTGAGGATCACCAGGTTTGTGTGTAGCTTCTTGTGTTTAGTTTATGTGTTTAGGAAGAGACTTTTTTTCTTTTCTTGGTACTCACCGGTAAGACCCGCCCACTCTCACCCCACTATTTCCTGATTGGACGAAATGTGTTTAAATCCTTGATGCATGGACTAGGCTCTTTGTCGTTGGTCTAACCCTAACCACCAGTTCAAATCATACAGATGGTTGTTATACCAAGGAGAGGGACTATACTTATGTGATACTGCATGGTCATACAGTCAGAAATATGTTTAAAAATCAAATACATATTGTTAAAGGTATTATACGTGCTATTGAGAACTGGGGAACAGAGAATTTTAATATTAACACAAAAATATCGCCTCACACAACCTCCTGAGTTCATGGTTCAACTGTATAGAGTACATTGCAATTTGTTTTTGAGATTCTTCTGATTTCTACTACTATTGCTACTGCTGCTACTGCTGCTACTGCTGCTGCTGCTGCTGCTGCTAAGTCTAAATATGTTGAACTGAACCTGCAAAACGCTGATTATGACTCCCTTGTCTTTACCCACATCCACAACATTAAACTTCCCATTTCTTCATCTCTATCTGCTCTCTCCATGCCTCACTCCGTCTTTACCTTAAGCTCCTCCACAGCCTTGCGCAGCTCTTCTGGGGTCTTGTACGTAAAATCTCTCTCCAAATAGTCCTCCTCCGCCTGGTTTATCCACTCCTGCATCTCCTGCATCTCCTTCCTCAGGGCCATAGTCTTATCCAGGCCGCCTTTCAACGCAGACTTCTTTGCATAGGCCTGGAGAGAAGCGGAAAAAAGGTTAAAAAAAAGAGACACACTCAGAGGAAGTAGATGTGGTGTTAAACGTGTGGAACAGACCTGCTTGCAAACCATCTCCCATTGGGCGTTGAGCGAGTCCAGTTCTTTTTGGATGTGAATCGCAAATGGGGGCTCGGCTTCCTTCTTCAGATACAGGCCGACTTCGTTGATGCCGTTGACGCTGGGCTGGATGGTGTGAATATCGTTTACCAAAGCCTAAAAAAAAGACAAAAGTATGGACAAAAGAAAAGCAGGGAGAATGCATGTAGCTTAACACATAGTCAACATTTGAATTTTCTTTCTTTTTGCAAGTCTATGTTTAAATTGTATGATTGTAAAAGATTTCCCCAGTCATTGTCCAGTATTCTTTTCATCATACTGTCTCAACTTAAAGCCAGGGTATCTAACTTTAAAACCACTCAAACTAGCTTCTTGCCCTTATTCAAATTCAAATTACAAGTAACTTTATTTATCCGTGAGGAACTTCATAGACTGATCTCACCTTGTACGTACCCCCCTGGTTCCCAGGGGGGAACCAGGGGGGTACGTACAAGGTGAGATCAGAGGGGGACCAGAGAGAGAGCCTAGTGAGACCAGAGAGAGACCAGAGAGAGAGACCCTAGTGAGACGAGAGAGACCAGAGAGAGAGACGCGAGTGAGACCAGAGAGAGACCCAAGTGACACCAGAGAGAGAGAGACCCGAGTGAGACCAGAGAGAGACCCTAGTGAGACCAGAGAGAGACCAGAGAGAGAGATGCGAGTGAGACCAGAGAGAGACCCAAGTGACACCAGAGAGAGAGACCCGAGTGAGACCAGAGAGAGACCAGAGAGAGAGAGACCAGAGAGAGACCCGAGTGAGACCAGAGAAAGACCAGAGAGAGAGACCCTAGAGTGAGATCAGAGAGACCAGAGAGAGACGCGAGTGAGACCAGAGAGAGACCAGAGAGAGAGACCCTAGTGAGACCAGAGAGAGACCCAAGTGACACCAGGGAGAGAGACCCGAGTGAGACCAGAGAGAGACCAGAGAGAGACCCGAGTGAGACCAGAGAGAGACCAGAGAGAGAGACCCGAGTGAGACCAGAGAGAGACCAGAGAGAGACCCAAGTGACACCAGAGAGAGAGACCCGAGTGAGACCAGCGAGAGGGACCCGAGTGACACCAGAGAGAGACCTGAGTGACACCAGAGAGAGAGAACCAAGTGAGACTAGAGAGAGAGACCCGAGTGACACCAGATAGAGACACCCGAGTGAGACCAGAGAGAGAGACCCAAGTGAGACCAGAGAGAGATACCAGAGAGAGAGAGCCCAGAGAGAAGACTGTGAGCTGTGAGCCGCCTGTTCTGGAGGTTATTTACAAATCCAGACTTTTAAACCAAGAATCTTAGAACAATCAACGACTCTTCTAGCCACAATGGAAAAGCCATGTTCCAGCTTCTTCCCCCTGGCAGAAGATTTCGTTCACTGAGATGCAGGACATCTCGATATGCTAACAGCTTCTTTCCACAAGCAGTGATCTTGCATTTAACTGTTTCAGTCTATCGATTTCACTGTGTCCATTTTTTCCCGTTTGAAGTATTTTTAACCTTGTTTTATTGATGTACTTGTCTTGTGCTCACTGGGGACTTTTGCGGATGTATTCCAATGGGGTTTTGCTGCAGACGGCAAATAAATGAATCTGAATCTAACTAGTCATTCCATGCTTGTACAGTATCTTTGGTTCCTGTCACACGTTTAGATCAAAACAAAAGAGGCAAAGAGAGAGGACCACCCTCACCCAACAAATTAGTGCTCTTCCCAAAGTGTCAAATAGTGACTCCCAGGGTTCTTGGGAATAATATGTTTTTTTTTAGACAAATACAAGTGATGTAGTAGTCTGAAGACTCTACTACTTTTCAAACTATTCATTTACTAGTATGTGTTCTTACTGCTCGTTTTTCTACTCCCCACAAAGACATAGTATGTATTTTCAGCTGCAGGGAAAAAAATAAAATAATTCTAATGTGTGTGATACAAATAGGTGTGTTTTTCTCAATGCTGAACTGAAGCACGGCGTAATAAAAAGCCAATATCTAGCTCTATACCACGATTGAATTCAGGCGCATAAAACCGTATATTTGATTTCTCTCACGGTGCACTGCTCGAGCTGCTTCTCCAGAGCCTCCGAGTCTCCCAGCGCCGGCCACTCCTCGTTCAAGAACACGTCCACATCGGCCATCCACTTCTGCAGCGTTTTGACGTCATTCTGAGGCCGGACACACACACACGCACACACACGCAAAAGCACGAAAGCAAATGGTGATGCACGGATCAAACTTCATCATTTATTTAAGACTCACCTCAAATTGCATGAGCTTGGCCATCAGCTCCTGCAGCCTCTGAGCGCCGTCTGCGAGCGTGGTGCCCAGGCGTCGCCACCGGGCCAAGATCCCATCCAGCTCCGCTCGGTATCTGAGCAAACATACAGACTCATGATTCAGAGGCCTCATGAATCGAAAATCAAAGAAATGTAGGCTCGTTCTGTCGTGGTGTGAATATTTAGTTCTTTGGCTTTATTTTGAAATTAAGTGAGTAAGTAATGTTTATTTATGTAGCACATTTTACAGGCCAAGGTCACCGGAGGCGCTTTACAATGATCAGAAATCAGATATTTTTCCAATCACATGCGGTGATGACTGAAGCAGAGACGCCGAGCGCACTGGCGCATTAAAGCCTTCCCAACACCATCCATTCAATCACTCACTGCATTAAGACCTATTGTACATGTTTTTATTGGTAGAGGAAACCGGAGCGCCCAGAGGAGACCTACGCAGACACGGGAAGAACATGCAAACTCCACTCAGAAAGTCCCTGTTCCGACCGGGATTCGAACCAAGGACCTTTTTACTGAGAAGCGAGAGTGCTATCCACTCAGCCGCCAAAAGGAGTTCTCTATGGTTTGATTTTAGTGCTACTTCCTGTCTTGCCGGCCCCGCCCAGATCTGTTTCACCTGTGTCTATATGTACCTGTGCTCCTCTCCTCTTGTTGTTGGTCCATTGTATTGTCAACGTCTGTCTATGATGAAACGTCTGAATGTAGGTCCACAATAACTTAAAGGTACAGAGGAGGATTTTCCCAATATTTAGGAAAGAACCGCCTTCTCCACTTTCTGAACAAAACTCTCTGGTCTTATTTGGGGAACCACGTATCACCAGAATGATTGACAATAGGGAGGACCAATAGTCTTGATGATCCACCAGGAAGTAGATTATCCTCCTATATACCTTCAACAGTATGTGATAAGGTGTTGCACAGTTGAATGCTTATAAATTGATAGATTTTTTTGGGCGTTTTAGGGTTGGACCTGAACTATTTTTTGTTGTTCTTCAATAGCCTCAAAATCCCACCATGACAAAATTCTGTAAAAAATATGATTTATTTTGGATATTTTAAGATTTTGACTGCAACTTTATGGTCTTGATCAAGGGTTCACAAACATTTCAGACTATTTACTTTATCACTACTTTCTTAAATGTTAATGAATGTCCATAAATGTCCTGGATGATCACCACTTATAGCAAATCGCACGACTAATTGACGTTTTGTATACTGTAATTCACACCAAGAATGTAATGTGCGTGTCAATAACGTCTACTCTGAAAATATAGCTTTGGCCGAGGCAATTGCGGTTTTCTTACATCACAAAAACACAAACTTTACAATACAAAACTGAATGTCTTTCTCACTTCTGACAGATTTCTGGAGGTGCTTTCTGGAAGACTGGCTCCACGGCGGCGGTCAGGTAGTCCACCTCCCCCTGATGCTCCTCCACTGACACCTGCAGCGCCTGCGGACCCAAACAAAACCAAAAACAACAGTTCAACTCTGGAGAAATTATACATAAATAGATGAATTCCACAAGTCAAAAGTCATTCCCATCAGATGTGTTTGCGTGTCGACTCTGCTCCTCGGCGTGTCAACATGTCTCTGGGGGAGTGATATCCCAGCATCCTCTCTTCATGTGATTTATTGGCTTTCCCTCGATCAGACAGCGCTGCAGGCTACAGAATGCACTATCGCTCACTGAACACACAACGCTTTGCTCAAGAGATCAAGAGGCAGACGTACTCATGTCTTGTCATAGAAAACATGTAAGATTTCTTGTGTATTTTGTGTGTATTTTCACATTTTATTCAATTTCAATTCAATTTATTTTGCATTTCCCTAAATCACAACAATAGTTATTGAGGAGGACTTAACAAAGCTCTACAAGTGAGTAAAGCAGGAAAGGCGATAAGCTTCTTGAAACTAAAATCCAACTTAAAACTGAATCAGAGAAATGTCTCTAAGGTCTAAGCAGGAACCCCTTCTCAATACAATACAATTGAAAGTAGTAATAATTTGCGCAAAAATATTCTAAATTTGTGTTTAAATCTATTTGATCAAAATGGTGCATAATACAATGTGTAATACAAATATGCGTAATAAAAAAATGTATCCATCCATTTTCTTCCCCTTAATCCATTTCTGGGTCGGACAGTGGCTCAGCTTTACCAACTGAGCCACTGTCGCCCCGTAATACAAATATTACAAATTTTAACTATTATGCATTATTTTTGGCCCTTTAAAATCCTAATGAGACTATTATTTTGTAATTTCATGAATGTGTAATAATGTCTTCAGTAGAAAGTATATGGAGAAACAAGTATAAAAGACAAAATGCTATTAGCCATTCCTTTCCATATAGATAGATACTTTATTAATCCGCGTAGGAGAAATTCAGGTGTCCAGCAGCAGACACACATCATACAAACATACATACATAAAGTTACTCACAATAGTAACAAAGTGAGAGATCTGTGACATATCTAACAGATCAGATATGCCACCACCAGAGCGAGGTGAAGAATGTAGTGCGTTTATTTGACTCTGCCATGCGACTGTAACGATTAAACGTTTTAATTTAACGTACAATAGCTCCTTGAAAACACAAACGCTTGTATCAAACAGATTGGATAAACACTGTGCATGTGGTGTTCCAGTCCTGCGATGCCACAACCAGGAGTGAGACAATTCTCCATCTCTTTGGAGGGAAATTTGGAGCGAGACAAAATCCACATTTGAAAGCAGGTAGCTCCATTCGGCTTAGGTTAGCTTAGTTCCAGCATTGTATATCCTTTAGTCGGCATGGTTAAACAGAAATCCTCCCTGAGCAGGCCAAAATCCTCTCTATATACGTGTTTTTTTTGTCTCCTTGAGTTTGCAAAGTTTAGCAAGATGAAGGAGTTGCCCTAACGGCGTGATGGAGGAGTTACAACACTTTGCAGCATCATTTGGAACAAAGTGCTACCCATTTGAAAGTTTTGACCGCCGCTAAATGGGCCATTTCCCTTGCTTTATGTGATGGCAAGGCTACGGCAAAGCTATTCTATTTAGCAAATTCCATGCCATTTACAAGCTAAATGGAAAATGTTGGTTCTGCTACACCGGAATAATGTCAATGGTCCGAGTAGAGCGTTCTAGTGAAGACGGATTATATATATTTGTTTTAATCAATTTTAAAAAAAAGAAAGAAATGAATTATGCGGCGCAGGGGTGGTCAATATGTTGATCCTGATCTACGTCGATCGCGAAGGCAGGGTGGGGCGCGAACAGTAAGAGTCTGACACACAACTAGAAAGAGAAGTCGGTCAAATAATGTATGCAAACACGTCTACTGCCCAATGCGTTTTTACAGTGCATCCTAAGCGTTACCACAGGGGCGTGCATGGTCAAAGTAGACACTGGTACACGACACCAGAGCGTTTATGACAAATAACATGAGCACTAAGCAGCTAAAAGTGACACGTACTATATGAAAAACACTTCTTTCCTGCCAACAAAATCAAGACTTGATTGTTGATCGCATATGAATAATAAATGTGATATTCTGAGTGGTAACACCCCCATATAACCCCGAATTGGATCACGGCTCAACGGTTGCTTTGAGAGTGGTTTTTAGCTGCGTAAAGTAGAGAAAAGTAAGCAGAAAATGGCTCAAATTTGCCAAAATGTTTCCTAATTTGAGCTCATTTTGACCGACTTAAAACAAGATTTGTCGAATTATCTTGTTTTAAAAAGATAAAATAAATGTCTCCCTTGGAATGAGAAAATAAAGCAATAGTTATTTTTAGTAGTACTGCAAAAACTCCTTCAAATCTTGTTTTAATCCAGTCAGAATGTACTCAAATTAAAGGAGCAGTATGTTCAAATCTGGCCAAAAGTGGTACTGCAACCTCTCCCACTCTCCCTGACTCAGGTTGCCAGATATGCAGAAAAATCCAGCTGGGAGTTTTGTCAACAACAAATCTATAACCAACACCTTTTTCACAAAGATAGAAATCCTGGTTTTATTCCTTGTTCTGTTGTTAAGGATTTGAGAATCATAACAAGACCTTTCTCAGTTCTGCGGCCACATGTTACTTTACCAGTGAGATTAGCTTGATGAGGTGAGTTCTGGCAACCCGGATCACAGACTTTCTGATTGGTCAAACAGTGGAGTGCGGGACAAAGATTTAGACGCTGTAAAACTAACTTTGAAATTGAAATATCCCTGAACTACTGTTATCCGTTAAAAAGTATTTGAAAAGAGGAGGTTTATTAATGCCTTTTGACAGAATAGGGCCCTTTAATGATGACTTGACATGAAAATCTTACATGTTGCTACTTTAAGATAACAAACCTCTAGATTCAACCATTTACTACATTATATATGGTCATTTTTTGCAGTGTTGTTTGGATGAAGCGTGAAGGATGTATTATTATGTAAATCTATAGGCTTAGATTATCGGCCCTGTGCTGGATGTTATGAGACGTTACGAGTTCCTTCCAAGCTGCCTTTCACCGCCACAAAGCACTATTTAATAAGTCGGCCATTTTGTTTCTGGTCACCCTTAATTTCTTCTATCTCAGAGTACAAGAAAACATGTGTATCCAATCAGGAGGCGCTGTCTTATTGAAGGATTAGACAGGAAACAGCATTGAAATTAGCAACGCCTTATCAGCATGCGGGATGGGTCGCTAATTATTATCTGCAATCAACTTTAATTAATCTCTGTGTAGCTGCGATGCTCCAAGGCCTCGATCAGGTGGAAGGAGGCGCATTACACGGGCTCTCCAGCGAGGGCGACCTTGAGTTAAGCTGATTGGGATCTGGACATAATGACAGCACAATATGGATCGTGTGCCTCTGACTGCGGGTGTGTACAGTAGAAAAGTCACTGTCGGCTTTTATTTTCGCAGATATATTAAGACATTTTACTCTGAGACCCGTGATTACCCGCTTGGTAAGTGTACAACTGTGAAGATAGTCCTTACACTGCAAAAAGGGATGACAAATAAGGAAAACATTGGTAACTTTGTCCATTTTGCCCAATTTGAGCCCATTTTCAATCAATCAATCAAATTGTATTTATAAAGCGCTTTTCATACAGGAAATGCAACAAAAAGTGCTTTACAGTTTGATTAAAAACAATTCCACATGCCCATGATCCCTCCTCCCTACCACTCACATCAAGTGAGTGAAATAGATGTAACCAGTAAAAACTAAAATATTTGTAGTGGTTTTTAGTGGTAGGGGAAACCGGAGCACCAAAATAAAAACCAGGCAGATATGACATGGTGGCTGAGAGGTTAGCACTCTGGCTTCTCAGCAAGAAGGTCCTGGTTTCGTATCCCAGTACGAACAAGGCTCTTCCTGAGTGGAGTTTGTATGCTCTCCCCGTGTCTGCGTAGGTTGTCCTCTGGGTGCACCTGTTCCCCCTACCACTAAAAACATGCACACTAGGTAAAATCCTGCAGCTCTGGTAGTCCTGACCAAGCCAAGCATAAACATCTGGAGATGGATTCAAGGGCGCTGTTACTACGGCGACCACTGCTCCCGATGTAAGTCTTAGTGGCATCAGGATGGGTCAAATGCAGAGTATGAATTGCCCTACGGGGATTAATAAAGTCCACCTTTATCTTTACGGGGAGAACATGCAAACATGCCATCATACAGCCCCAACACCCAAAGCTTATGACCACAGTGTAGGTGACAGTGAACGCAGGTTGAGCAGAAAATCAAGACTTAACTTTAGGTTGTTTGATTTTTGTTTGGTACACACTGAGAACTTTGTATTCCAATGTGGTTTTATTGCAAATGGAAAATAAAATGAATCTGAGCTTGAAGATTGAATAAAATTTTCATGGACCACACCCATTAGACAACTCATTTCGCTGTATTTTTTGTTGTCGCAAATGCTTGTTCTGAGTTTGCAAAGTTGGCGAGCAACAATCTGAAAATGCATTGACTCCTCGACATTAGTGCTTTACAAACGAAACAAACTCTCACCCCTCGCCTTAGCGGACAGGAGCGGTGATAAGATGGCAGCCGTGCTTGTTCCAACATCGCGTTCCTTTGTATCGGGCGTTCTGCTGTTTGTCTGTTTGTGCATGTATCAGGGCCTAGTGTGAGGAGCGAGATAGTGACAGCCATTTCCTCCATGGGGACCGAGCCTCTCCGACTCTCATAACCACACAGGAGACACACACACCCCAGCCACGGCACAGACTGAATCTTAAACAACCTCAGCTACCCCCTCAAGAACTATCATCTTTGTATTACAGACAATAAGTGCCCGCCCAAGTTACATTCTGTGTCCGTGTCTATTTAAAAGTATGAAATGAATAGTGGATTGACTGAAATATTTATGATCCAACATTCAGGGCTTGAATCTTAATTGACTGACGATACCTGCAGAGGGCTTAAGTTGTAGTAAAATGGTCTCTGGCGGTATTAAAAGCCAGTCAATAAAGGAAATGGCAATCCAATGGGGAATTTAATGTTGGTTGCAGTTTGGTCCGCTTTCGATCTGTTATTTAAGGAGTTTTAAAGACAGAAGGAATAGCATTATGATTGAATAAATTGCAATCCATTCATAAGAAAACTGAGAATTTCAGGATAATTATGTAGTAATAATGTAAAGTTTCATAACTTGGTGTTTAAACAAAATAATCTCATACTTAAAGGAGCAAAAATCTGCCCAAAAGTGGTACTGCAGCCTCTCCGACTCAGGTTGCCAGATATGCAGACGAATCCAGCTGGGACCAAAATATGTGAATATGTCACAAATCTATAACCAACACCTTTTTCACAAAGGTCTCGATAGAAATTCTGGTTTTATTCCTTGTTTTGTCAGTAATGATTTGAGAATCATAACGTTCTGGCAACTCTGGTAAAACGGATGGATAACAAGATTAAGGGGCTGTAAATATCTCGGCTGAACAACTGTGATCAGTTAAAGAAGTATTTGAAAAGACCATGTTTTATTAATGCCTTTTGAGGGATTAGGGCCCTTTAATGATGTCTTTACATGAAAATCTTGCATATTGCTACTTTAAAGCTGCATTACCTCACTTTATTTTTGTATTCATTACGAAAATTCAAACCAATTCCATGCAGTGCTTTGGGATAAACGTCCTTTTGAAGAATACTGTAAGTAGCGCTGGTTTGTGCTGGAGTGTCATTTTATTTTTAATCACATTTTCGTGCAACAAGGAAGAGAATTTGTTTCGGGTCCAGATTGTGACCAATCACAGCGGACCACTGGCCCCCGCTTTCTTGAGAAAATCTACAGGTCTCTCGTTAGCGCAGACAGCTGAGGTAAAGCCCAGCGCTCCCATTCGAGAATGTCTCAAAGTGAGTTAGTGCAGCTTTAAAGGGGTATAATGCAACTTTTATGGATTTTACCTTGTGTGACTCGGTGGTTGACTTTTGATCATGTTTGTGCTTCAGGATACAATTGTTTTGTGGATTTCTGGTTTCTCTAAACCTTTCAAACATTTGATTCTTTCTCAGCCTAGAAACCACTGTGATAGAAAGTAATAACAAACAGCTGCTTAATACACCTTTGAAGATTTAGTTTCACACAGAAACAGGTTGGGATTTGCTGTTTGAAGTTCCATGCAGTACAAGGGGTTGTTCCCAGCGGACAGTGGACAGTTTTCATAAAGACAAACAGAAGCATCGGTAAAACAGACCTGATTGCTGTAATAATTTGCTCTGTATGTTATATCTACCTAAACAGCTAACGTTTACAGAGGGGGTTCTCACAGTCTGTTGCATCCCTCGTCTCTGCCTCTGGCTTAATGGTGCTTGTCATGTATTTTCCTCTTCTATCCACTAGTCCAATAGCATCGTCTAACCGTAGGCCGTTTTGGCACTTTGGCATCACCGGCGGCAATATAACTTTACGGCGAGTAGTAAAAACTGATTACAGTCTTATACAGCCCTGCGGGATTACAGAGACAGTGTCATCCGTTTTATGAGGATTTGCAAACACTTGGAAACAAACGGAGAATTACCTCGAGCACTTTGCAAAAATCCATCTCACAGTAACAGGAACGGACACACATTGTAATTACGGAAGTGGGACTACATTACCCATGAGGCTTTGTGTGTGCGTTTGGTGTACCTGGAGGTCCTGCAGGCGCTGCTCCATGACGGGGTACTCTGTGACGGAGGTGGAGGGGATGGCTAGCTTGGCCTCGCATTGTTGTAACCATGCCAACAGCGCCGCGATGGTTTCCTTGTACCGAGCCGGTGGTAAACTGTCCAAAACTGAGGGCAAAAGAGAGAAAAGATAACAAATGGAATCAAGCTGTGAACAGGTTAAAGCAGGCATGTCCAAACTCAGGCCAGGGGTCCAATCGCGGCCCTTAGTGTCATTTCATGTGGCCCTCTGCCTTACTAAAGTATTCTTTAAGATCATAAACACAAGTTCACTGTGTCATCCATCCAACTTCAGCTCTGCCAATATAGACCTTGTTCTAAAGCCCTTGTTCTGACCTTATTTGCACAAACTGTACTGACGTGGTTTTTGATTGTGTCACTTCTGTTATTTGTTGCTAATGTAGCTGGTGAGATGGTAAACATGTGTCATTCAGCCAACTTCAGCTCTGTTATAGATCGTCACAAAGCTCAGATGGCAGTCAAGACAGTTTTTCAGTCCTCGATGTCGGCCCCTGGACCAATCTGATGAACTGAAGTGGCCCTCTTACTAAAATGTTTGGACACCCCTGGGTTAAGGTGTTAAAATAATTACTTCAGCGGAAATAATATTCAGGTTTTCCTTAGCTATTTTTCTTTCTCTTTGTGTCCTCTCTGGCCCTGTTTTATTCTATCGTAAATGCATTAAAAACCATTTATTGACCTGTTGTGTGGCTTGGTTGAACCATGGACCCAGAGTACATGTCTTTCTCTCCTCACAAGGATCCTCAGTGTCCAGTGCGGTGTGCCCTGAAGTACGTGAAGGTCTAGGTGGTGACGACACCAGTGTTCAATTCTTGAAGCTGCTTCTTCAATAACCACAGTGTGACATAGGATACACTAAGGGGCGTTCTACACGGACTTAACGGCACGGCGTCAAAAGCGTCAGGTTGCAATTGAAGTGAATGGTGAGCGCGTCCAGGTGAAAGACCGCGAGAAGCCCGGCGTACACTGGCGCGCGGTCAAAGCTTTCAACGGTCTACGCGCTACACTTGAAAGCTTTGACACGCGATATCGGCTAGGCTTATCAAATACAATCCTCTTTGACGGTCCACCGAAGTGAGCTAAGCTGATAGCTGTGTAAGCTGGGACGCTGGGATTAAACAATCAGGTAGGACGAGGAGCAGCAGCAGCAGCGGGTACGGTCCTCTGTCATGAGAAGAGAAGTAATGTATACGGTTGCTGCTGTTTTGTGTTATTATTGTTATTAGTAATAGTATTTGTATGAAGTAGTACACGTTCTGATGTAACAAAAATCATAGAACACATGCTGGGTAGTAAATGTAGTGTATTTATCTAGTAAGTAACTGGCTGACCAGATGAGTCTGGAGCAGGAGCAAGGACGCTTGGGGTAGAGGGTCAGGGTGAAAGAGGCGAGAGAAGGGGGTGAGGCAGGGAGAGGCTGTCTGGGATTCGAGTGCGAGGAGGGGTAGAGGCGAGCGAGAGCCGGGGTGATGCAGGAGAGGCGAGCGAGAGGCGGGGAGAGTCGACGAGGAGGGGGGAGAGGGCGAGCTCCGGGGTTTGAGAACTCTAGATCTGGGTGTGTAATGCGGACAGTAACGCTGTGAAATCGGAAACTGCCTCCGTACGCAGCTCCTGGAGTAAATGACGGGAACTCTGCAAACATGCAGCCTTCTCAAGTCTGTGGTGAACACCAGAACATGTTTGTTGAAGCCCTACGAACCAATGTTATTTTGCTTTATATTAGACAATATATAGGCGGTCTCGCTGCTCATTGAAAATCAACGCTGTCCTGACTACAGACAACAGAGAAGCTCCCACGGCGTCAGGCGCGTCACTCGCGTCAAAAGTTCAAGCACAAATACCAAACTATCTGCGTCTGCATGAAGCGCAGTCAAGAAAGCTTTTGAAGCGTTTGGTCTGAACGCGCTTATCAATGATTCTGGACTTTAGTTTACATTTATATTTAAAGTTTACGCACTGGACAGAGTGAGTTAGTCATAGATTCACCAGTGGATTAAACCATGAACAATCCACATGTGTAAAAGAGGGCTTCTTGGTCCATGACATGGAACGTGTGTATTTTAGTAATGTGCTTTGTGAAAATTAAGTGTATTTTGTTGAAAATTTGACCTTGTTGTGAGGCTGCATGTGCTCATGGTGATTCACAGTATCATCACGTGGTCTGTACCAGGCTTTTGGATCCAGGTTTAGGAGGTGTTGCTCGCTGTGGGACCCCCGCACCAGAAAACATAAGAACCATTGATCCTGGAGCTCTGTAGACTACAGGATCAGTAGGTACCATCCTGAACAACAGCGTACATACGTGGTCACAAACACAAAAAACAACATCACCTTGACTACACACAAAGTCTCATCAATGTTATTTTTATATACTTTTAATAAATCCAGTACTGCTCTAATATCAATGTTTTTGTCCATAGCAAAAAACTCACTGCTGGACTCCGCCACAGGGCCCACAAGACCTCAGGACCCAAGACCTCAGGACCAGACCTCAGGACTCCAAGACTCTTGGCCCAAGACCTCAGTTCCCAAGACCTCAGGGCCCAAGACTCAGGGCCCAAGACTCAGGGACCAAGAGACCTCAGAGCCAAGGACCTCAGGCCCAAGACCTCTAGGACCAAAGACCTCAGGGCCCAAGACCTCAGGCCAAGACCTCAGGGCACTAAGAACCGCAGGGCCAAGACCTCAGGGCCCAAGACCTCAGGGCCCAAGACTCTGGGCACCAAGAATACGGGGTCCTCAAGCCCATAAGAGCGACACAAGGTTTGTCTGTTCCCTGTTATGACCAGATGGTATGGAAAAAAACATCACCAATGCACTCAGTTCATAAGAAACTGTGTACTTTGTAATTGTTTTACTGCAGTAAGGTGCATCTAGGAATTTATAATTGTGACCGAAACAGGATATAAACAATGGCAAGTAAAGGCTTTAAAGATAGTTTTTTTCTCCATCTATCGTGTGAGATCATATTTTACATGTCAACTCTCTGAGCGCACGCAGTTAATGTGCAACGATATTAGTAATCCCTGTGAGATCACAAACTCGATCCTCGCCACGTCCTTTTTTTCTTATGTTTGTGTGTTTTTGAAGAGTGGTGCATTCACCAAGGAGCGAACTTCCAGGCGTCATGGACATTTATAGGTCACATTCTAAGCCTTTAAGGAATTGTTCACCGTTTTTACATACTGACATATGTTCTGACCTTACCGTTGACGAGTTAATACGTACTTGTCTGGTGTAGTCCGTGCGCTAGTCATGCTAAACGGAGCAAAACGGGAGCACAACCGGCAGCCTACTCTGGTCAATGTATAGTACCAAAGGTGCTCCCGCATAGAAGCTACCGCAAATTCATCTTCAAGTGTTCCCTATTAAACTGTATTTAGTAGTGACGTGTTACTCTGCAAAGTATTGTAAACTGTAACTGTAACAAGTCGATTTGCTCAGCGGATAAAAGGGGACTATATTGTGAGGCGTAGTAATCTGCAGGTGCGCTAAGTCGCGCACTTACTTCTCTAAGGAGGACCTTCTCTCTCGCTCACTTTTCCGTCAATAGAAGCAGCGTGACTTGTCGTACGTACACAGTAGCAGCGAGAGAGAAGTCTCAGGAGCGAAGTTAGGAGCGCTACGTCGCGCTCACTAACTTCTCTCGGAGACTTCTAAAATATTCCTTTACATCTATTCACAAATATAGTGTGGGGAATTATCTTAACGGTCTCATTTTGATGTTTACATTTGGAACAAAGTGTAAATACTGGTCTGTTCTTTAACACTCTCCTAATTGATAGAAACATTTCCTCCTGTTTAATCTGAATATAACGTACCTGGGGACAAACCAGTCATGACACCTGCGTTCATGAATGTACTTCAACTCTTCCACTGTTATTTCATTTTCACAGTGATGCACGCATATATTGGTTAATATTCGATATCAGCGAGGGTGTGTGCAATCATGTTCAGCTTTGATAGAGGATACTCTCAATTAAAGAACTCTAAATCTCTTATGATACACAACAGTATTTTTATTAGAATGATATGTACCACTGTTAATATATGTTAAACCTTATCTAGTTTTAATGTTATATTTATATTGGTGACATATTGATTCTTGTCTATTTTGTTCCATTACTCTTTTTATAACTACTCACATACGCTGCATTAAGTAGTTTTCAGACTCAATAAGAGCCACAAAAAGATCCTGTGTGACTTTTCCCACATCGCCATTTAACTAAAATAAAAAATACATTCTGAAAATTAGAGAAATAAATGCAGTGGTACAAACTTTTATCATCTCAGAATTATTATTATTATTATTTTAGTAAACATCGTTATCAGCAATTTCTGGTTATCGGCCTATAAGTAGAATCATTAATATAAGGATTCAAAATCGGCCAAAGTGTTCATATCGGTGCATCCCCTAATTTTCAATTCTACAGTTGAATCTCAAACAGGTTTGTCATTTTACTGTCCAATCTGAATCGGAATTCTCTTGACAATGTTTATGAATGTTTTTTAGGATTCTTTGCGTTTTGGGTAAGAATCAAACACAAAGATCCCTTGTTCATAAGTGTTCAAAATATCCAATTGCATCGATGGTGGTTGGAGTGACTTTCTGGATGCACTGTGCCACTAAAGCTGAAGTAAACATCTGCTGAGGACTTAACATCTTTCACAGATAAAGGCAGACTCTGGAAAACAGGGGGATAAGCTCTATATGAAAACATGCGGAATAGAAGTAATATAAAAGAAACACATGATTAAACTGTTACGTCTTGCATTCCTCGCACAGAAGAAGAGCTCCAGAAGTTCGGCACGGCATCTAAACAGCGTCTGATCAGCAGATGTGGGAGTGTGCGGGGAGAACTGAAGGAAGCAGGAGTACTACCTATGAACAGAATCTTCACTGTGCTGTTACATCTCAGATGGGCCTCAGTGTAAAACACCCACAGCCCAGAATGAGGAGCGGAGGCTGAGGGTACTATCCAAGAAGACTGCCAGATGCAGGGGCAGAGGCTGTGGGAACTGCTACATGAGACTGCCAGCCATTGAGGAAGTCAGTGGCTGATGGGAAAACTCTCCAAGAGTCTGTG